CTAATAATAGTAATTAATAATATAAAGAAAAAGCTTACTAAGTATATTAACTACCTTTAAAAGGAAAAGGAAGTATATATAATTACTACCTTACTTACGCCCCTATTAAGTATTAGTAAGCTTAATATTTATTAAGTAAGATTACCTATTTTACTAAAAAAGGAGACCGAAGCTAATCTACTTAGTTCTAAGTAAGTATATAGGACTTATAAAGATATATTTATTTCCTATTACTAATAACAATTCTTATAGCTATTAGTATAATCCTTTAATACTAATATTACTCTTAACTCCTATAAAGACTAGCTTACTTAGTTTCTTAGTTTAATAAAGGTAAATAATATAATAATTTAAACTAATTATTTATACTAATTATATATTAAGGGACTTTATAAGGTAATAAAGGTATTTTAGTTTATAGGGCTTTTTTTAAAAAAGTAAGTTTTATTTATTTATATTAATATATAAGTAATATACTAATCTTAGCTAAGGAAGTTACTATCTAAGGATATATATAGCTTTTAGCGCTATATATCTTAGTATAAAATATATAAGAATATTTATATTATAGTATAAGAATTTCTAGTAATATAACTAAGTAGCGTGCCGCTTAAGCGCGCTTAGAGTATTTACTAATAGATTAATATATACTAGCGATCTAAGATAAAACTCTTAAACTTAGAGGTAAGATTTACGCTATCGATCCTATAGTCTCTATTTAACGTATAGGATAGTATCCTTCTTTAAGATATAAAGATTAATAATAGTATTAACCCTATAAAGGAGTATAAAGATCGGCTATATAAGCTTAATATAGCTCTAAAGATATCTTATACTCCTAGAAATAAGAATCCTTTTAGTAGAATTCGTTTTAATAAAGAGGCTATAATACTATATAAAGAAGATTAAGATTAAAATAAGAGATTTTATACTTCCTTATAGCCTATAGGTATTATCTAATAAAAGCTTTTTATAGACTCTCTCTAAATATAAACGTAAAGCTAGTAAAGGAGAGATAAGTATCGCGATATAATTAATATTACTTTACTAAGTAATAAGGAGTTAAAGGAAGTAGAGGAGTTAAAGGAAGTAAAGGAGATAGAGGAAAGTAACTCTTATTAGGAAGAATAAGTTTAAAGCTATAAGAAAAAGCGAAAAGGCCGTATAGTAATAGAGGTAATAGTCGCCTCCTCTATAAAGAGAACTAGATATAGGGAGAATATTCGACCGCGACGATAGGACTTTAAATATTAAAAGGATAGTTAAGGTAAAGAATAAATAATATCTATAGGATCTTATCCTTTAATTTAATACTACTTTTAGCTATACGGCCTATGTATATTTTATAGGTGCCTCGTATTAGGATAAGTATAAACGATTAGTATAATAAAACTAAATAGGTAATGCCTATAGGTAGCCCGAATATACCTATATATATATTTTAGGTACCTATTTTAAATTTACCTACCTACTAAGTATTTATAGTGGCCCTAAAATAGCCCGTGGGTAGGTATAGGTAGCCTATAAGCAAATACCTATGGGTATTTTTAAGTCTACTAAGAAGCATCCACGCGTACCACTCCGTCATGGCTGACTCGATCGTCGACGAGAGCGCTAAGTTATCGGCTTCGATCCTATTTCAGGTCAGTGTTGAAACATAGCTAGTGAAGCTTCAAGAGCTTCCGTCTGCTGATTCTCCCTCCCGGTCTAACTAAGACGAAGCCTCTCCCTCGAAACAGGACCCAACCCTCCCCTTCGAATCCTGCCACTACGACCCCTGGACCGGCCCCGGCTCCAACGTAATCGCCCGCAACACCACCGGGCCCGTGTACTTGGCGCAAGCCATCTCGCGCATCGTCAATGGTCTAGGCCTGTGTACCTTTTTAGAAGCCGGCGTCGGCGGCCCATCATCACCATGGTGCGGAACGCGCTGCCGCAAGCCCAAGCTCGGCCCAGCACACCTTTCGTGGCCATCAATGGCAAAGACTCGATGCGGTCCCTCGTAGGCGCCACGGTCACGCTGTGGAGGAGCGGGTAGCCGAAGGTGCATTTCTGGCCGTTCCGCCGGATCCAACGGGCGAGCTACGTGTCCGTGGCTTTGCTGCCGTACCTGTTCGAGAATAATAAGGCACTGGCTGGAGTATATTGGTCTCTCGCGCGACAGGGGAAACAAGACAGATGATCAGGCGACAGCACGGTCTAGATCATGTCCTCACTGCTTCAAGAATATCAATGTTTTCTCCTACATAGCGCGGGACAAGCCCCAGAGCCAGAGCTTGCGCAAGTCCGTATTCAAGCTCGAGGCCTCGGAGATCAAGGCCCCTCTAGGCTTTGACACGCAACGTTCCGTCCAGCTAACCCTAATAAAGACTACAGAGAGCGCGTGGGGTTTCGAGTTGTCCTCTACTAAGAATAAGGACAAGTCAACCTCGCACGCCACGGGCATCGTCACTCTGCGCGACACCGGCAGCGGCAGTATCAACAACGAACAGGACGAGAAGGGCAAGGGGCCCGCACCTCTAGCCTGCTGGAAAAGAGCATGGACACGGAGGCTCTGCGCGGCACAATGGTATACAAGGTGTTTAGGAAAATGGCCAGTTAATGTCCGCGTACCGGGGCCTGCGGTACTTAGTCGGCAAGGGCTCTAATGGCGTAGGCGACATCGTGATGCGCGCGGAGGATCTAGATGTTATAGCCAGGACACCGAACAACAGCATTGCCGACCCCCTGGTTATGGAAAACTTCTTGCAAGTGCCGGGCGTGTTTGTGCACTCGCTGCGCACCATCGACGAGGAGGAAGAGGACGGCGGCATTTCTTACATCTACATAGGTATAGGTTCCGTACGACCCCTGAATAGGCGCTAGGGTGGCGGCAAGTACGGAGCGTATACGAAGATAGTCCGGGAAGATAACAAGGAGGCGGTGCTAGACGTATTCGTGTTTAACAAGCAGATCGGGAAGATAATTTAGTCTGCTAAAGGACTCAAGTTCTCGAGGGTCCCCCGCAAGCTGCTGGCTAAGATGCTGGCCGGAGCTAATCCGGGCATGGAGTTCAAAAAGCTGTCAGCTGGCCCATCAAAGCCTGCTGCTCAGTCACTGGCGCCCAAGAGCCAATACCAAGCTACTCCTGCTGCTCTTCCAAAGAAGTTCAGCAGAGGTGATAAACACTCAGCCGACGTTCTTGGTTGGGTCTAAGAAGTCCTTAGCAAGTCCCTGGACGTCCCAGTCGAGGAAGTTACTAAGCAGGCTTCGCTCGAGGAGCTTAGTACAGACTCATTGGTCCGCTGGGAAATTCTAGCTAATATCTCCGACAAATTCAAAATCGACATTTCGACCGATGATTTCGCAATGGCTATAGACGTCACGTCTTTATGTAATTTGATCTCTCCCCGGATTAGTCGCGACGCAGTTAATGCTAGCGGTAACGATAACGAAGACTAAGGGGCCAGATTCTATTTTTAAGACAGCCGATAATACGAACTTAGAATGGCAGATAAGTCTTTTCTAGATACTCGGTCAATCCCTCGACCTACCGGTCGCAGAGATCTAGATATATTCGAAACTCGAGGATCTCGGTGCCGACTCTCTCGTAGCGGCGGAGATCATTAGTAGCCCAAACGAAGCGTTTAGTCTCGCTATATCATTAGCCGAGTTCGCTTCAATAGTCACCGTGGTATCCCTCTATAATCTTATTGAGGGCGCTTACAGAGTTGATTTAGTGCAAGCTCCTACGGCCACTTCATCGGCGCTTCGCACGCACTCTTAACTTTAAGGGCCGGCTTCCCAGTGACTCCCTACACTAGCGCAACCACTCTGGTAGAGAGGGAGAAGCCAACCCCGACAAAAGGCAACACAGTGTCGATGCATATAACTTTTCAGCAGGTACGTCGCGGCTTCGATGCTTATGCCAAGGACACCAAGTTCATAGGCTACTAGGATCAAGTATACCCGCAGCAGCTAAGCACCGTCGCGGCATTTATTATCGAATCCTTCGAGAAGCGTCGGCTGTCCTATTAGGAAGTTCAGAAACGGGGACAAGCTCCCTGCTCTATAGGGGAAGTTGACCAAGTATAGCAGATAAGTCATATGGCTCTCGGAGATCCTAGAAGAGGCCGGCGTCGTCGAGAAAACAAGGGATAATATTCTACGCGGCCCAGTGCCTCTAGACATTAATATAAATAACAAGTCTGCCGAGGAGCTAAGCACCGAGCTTATCTCGGACTTTCCCCAGTACGCATCAACGCACGGCCTATTCGATCTCCTCGAAGCGCACCTGGCCGAGTTTCTCAGCGGCAAAGCCGACCCTGTCTCCCTCCTATTCGGCAGCGAGAAGGGCCGCAACCTCCTCGAGGACTTCTATGCCAACGTTCCCAGCCTCGACACCGCCACGAAGGCACTCTATGCCTTCATCACAGCAGCCGTCCGCTCTTAGACTTCTAACGGCGAGCCCTTCCGTGTCCTCGAGATCGGCGCAGGTATAGGCGGCACCACCAAACACCTCGTGCCGCTCCTCTAGGCCATCGGGCTCCTCCGGGCTTTATAGCTAGCTAGGACTATTAATAAGGGCCTAGGCCCCTATTAGCCTCGCCATGGCCCTAGAGGCTGCATGCGAGTAATAAAAAAAAAGCCATCGGGCTCCCTTTTACGAACACCTTCACCGAGCTCTCGGTATCACTACTTGCGCGCGCTAAGAAAACATTATTTAAGGGCGCCATAGGCATAGAGTTCCTAAAACTATACATTAAGGAGGATCTTCCTAGCGAGCTACTAGGACGCTGCCACGTCGTGATATCGAGCAACTGTGTGCACGCGACTCGCGACCTGCGGCGCAGCCTAGGCAACCATCCACAAGCTGGTGCGGCCCGACGGTTGCGTGTCGTTGGCCGAATTCACGCAAAGTTGGCCCGGTACGACCTGGTCTGGGCCTGCTAGACGGCTGGTGGCTATTCGACGACGGCCGCGGGTACGCGCTGCAGAGCCCGTAGGCCTAGGAGCGGGCCATGCGGGATGCTGGGTTCGTGTACGTCGACTGGCCCGAGAGCGCGAGTCGCGAGTCCAGGGGCGTCCGGGTGATTTGCGGCATGGCGTCTAAACTAGAGAGGCCGAGTCCTACGACATCGATGCTCTTGCACCGCGGTATTTCAGCTCCAGGCAACCGCAATCTATTCCTGGCCCCTGGTGGATTTTGGCTCCGGAGCCGTGTTTAGGGCCCTTTAGCCGTTGCTAGGTGCTGCCCGGGACGTGTCTGTCTACGCGCTTAATAGCCCCTTCATCAAGAACAAGCCTTATCCGGACCAGCTGCCTACCATCGAGGAGCTCGCCGCCATCTACGTGGCCGAGATTAGGCGTAGGCAGCCCGAGGGCCGGTACCTGGTCGGTGGGCACTCGGTCGGCGGCGTGGTAGCCTTTGTGGTGGCGCGACAACTTCTCGAGGACGGCAATGAGGTCAAGAAGCTATTCCTGATCGACATGGCGTGCCCTATTTTCGCGAGCTCTCTGCCGGGCGTCCTGGTCGACGTTCTGGATTCTATAGACCACGTCGGCATAGTTGACGACGAAATCCGAGAGAAGAATATAGGCCGGCTAATAACGAGTGACCACTTTACGCTAGCGAGGCAGCAGTTGCTGAGGTACAAAGTTAGCAAGCTGCCGTGTAGGAAGATGCCGTAGGCTGTGCTGGTCTCGGCGAGGGATGGCGTGATAAGCAGGATAGGGTGCCCAAACTAAAGGTTCTTCTCGAGGAGCAGAGGATCGTTGAGTGGTTTCTGAATGATAGGACCCGCGATGGATCCCTCGGATGAGTGGAGATTCTGGACAGCGTGAGTGTCATTCGCGCCGACGCTAATCACTTCTCTATGATGATGCCTCCTATGGTAAGCTAGTTGGTTCAATGAATCCTCGTGAGCGATTATATATTACTATCAAACATAGCAAATACCTCTTAACTACCAGCAAAATAGGGGCACTGTTAAAGAGAGTGGGCATAAGAGGCTATAGTCATGCCTAGTAGACCTAATAATTATGCATAAGGAAGCTTGCCTAACTAGTATAACTCCCCTAGCCTAAGGATATTATATAGGCCTAACTTAGGTATAGGAATATCTTAATGCCCTCTTTTAGCTAGCTATATATAGTTACTATACCTATATAAGCCCCTCCCTTATCCTAATAGATAGACTAAGATATATATTACTAAATTTACCTTTCTATGCCCCTATTTCTTTTACTATGCTCTTTAGCCCTTACTTAAGAGTTATAAGCCCGGTCTATACGACTAGATTATCTTTACCCGCCGATATTACCTTTAAAGCTATTTACGAGCTATTAACTCTATTATAACGCTTAAACCGTAGTATTAAGGCAAGGAACCTAGCTATACTAAGGGGCACTACTAGAAATATACGAATTACGTATCCCTTAAAAAAGGATATTACTTATAAAGCTAAAACCCTTAATTTTCCTAATATAACGTTAAAGGAAGTAAGAGGGGATAATTATATTATACGACTAAAGGAAAGCCTTAATTAGACCTTATAGATTAAGGGGATTAAATCGTAAGCTTAGACTTATAAAATTTAGGAATATACTAACCTAGAGAGTATAAAGGAGCTTAAATAGCCCTAATAGCCGGACTAGGAGTAATTTATTATTAACCTTAAAGGGAGACCTTCCTAATAATAAGAAGATAAAATCGAGGCTATATTCCTTATAAGGCGAATAGGCTATAACGAATAATACTAGGATATAAAGGACTCCTTTTATAACCTTAAGAAAAGGTTCTAGCTATAATTCGATTGCTATAAGGTCTAGTAGAAAGCTCTAATCGTACTTAAAGAATTAATTAAGAAAACGATTAGTAAAGGGCTTTAAGGGGCAACCTTAATATATAATAGCTTAAGAGAGAAAATTAGGGAATTAAAGAAGTAAGCCCTACCCTTAAAGGTAAAGGAGAAAAAGCTAATTTATAAGAGATATATAACCATTATTAATAAAAGAGGTATATAAGACTAGAAAGTATAGGTAGAATAGCTCGACTAATTATTATAGATTTATAAGACCTTAAGGTCGATATACTTAATAATATAAGAATTAGATAGGATTTTCTTATAGCGGTAGATAAGTAAGAACTATATTAGTCTATAATAATAAGGGCTCTTAACCTCTATAATAAAAAGTATAGTAAAGACTAACTTCCCTTAAAGAACTTAATCGCTAACTTTAAATAAGAATATACCTATAGAAAGAAGTTATAACTACCTATAAAAAGGGGAAGCGCTAATTAAATCTCTAGGAAAGTAGATACCTAAGCTAAATATATTAGCTATAAGTAGTATATTAATAGCTTAATAAGCTAGTAGGAAAATTACTACTTACTATAGGTAATACATAATAAAATTAGTAGGCTCTTATAGTATAATTAAAGACGAAATATAAGCTTAGTATAGCTTATTACCTATAAATAAATAGATAAATAGAACGACTTAACTAAACGCTTAAATAATACTTATAATACTATATTAGCTACGAATAAAATAATTAAGTTAAATAGCTACTAATAGTATAACTAGCTTATAATAGCTTAGTTATAGAGATAACTAAGCTCTTACTAGTATACGCTAATTATAGATATAACCTAGAAGTATTTAAGGTTACTTAATAAAGACTATAAGTAGAACGAGTAATACTATAAGTAGATTAACTATAAAAATTATATAAAGAAATATAATAGGAACTTTAATTTATTAGAGAATAAATATCTACTTATTATAATCGGAAAAGATTATAGGGACTAATCTTTTAAGAAAGAGATATAGTCTACCTTATATAACGAAATATTAAAATAAAACGACTAAGTAATAAATTAGATTTTAAGAAACTTAGACTATTTAAGGTTAAGAAAACTATTTTAAAAGTTAACTATAAACTTTTACTACTAATAATAATATAGATATACCTAATATTTTATATCTTATTATTAAAACTAATGCTATAAAACTCTAAACTATAGGAAATATTTAAAGTTAATAACGTTTAAGAATATAAAGTAGAATAAATACTAGATATAAGAAAATAAGTTTCCTTATTCGATAAATAAACTAATTTATCTTAAGAAGAACGCGTTATACTATCTTCTTTATTACTAGCTTATATACCTTACTAAAATAACTTACTACCTTAGTCCTTTAAGAAACGCTTTTATTTCTTAATCTAAGCTAGGCGAGCTATCGCTTCCTTTAACGCTTCTTTTACTTTCCGTTCGTTTAAATTAATCTTTTACTATTAATTTATAATATAGCGAACTAAAAAAAAAGAATATTAACGAAAAGAATAATAAGGAAGGAAAGGGATAAAATAAATAAGTAAACGCTATATTATAACTATTATAAGAATAGCCTATAAAGGTATATTTAAAATACTAATTAAACCGCTTACTAACCTTATAAGTTAAGCCTAGCTAAAAATAATAAGAGTAAGGTATAATTTTAATACTATAGATCTCGGTCTAAGATACTAGCTTTAATTATTAACGCGATTTATTAGAATTCTAAGAACGGGATTTTTAAATATAACTAGATATACTATTAGTAATATATCCTAAAAGGATAAAGAAATAAGGAATAATATACTTACGTATAACGCGATAAGGGTATATTTATATATAGCGGCTAAGGTAGTAGGTCCTAAGGGTAAGACTAAAAGGAAGGGAAGTATCTTATTATAACTACGGTCTAGTAAACCGCGGAGACTAGTATATATTACGAGAATATATAATATAGGGAATAAGGAATATTAAACGGACCGACGGGCTAATTAAGTTTAAAGCAATAGGTTACTTTAGCGCTCTAACGCTTTATAGCTAGGATTATAGGATCGCTTTAGCGCTCTAGTACTCTTAAGCGATAGGATTACCTAGTACTCTTAGCGATCTAAGGAAGCTCTCGAGATATATAAGGAAGGAATAAAACACTCCTTTAAATAGATAGCTCGATAGCTTTTAATATTATAATTATTACGATCCTTATTATAATCTTATCTTTAATTTTAATTACTTAATTACCTAGTTATAGTCTATAGTCTATAACCTTTAACTTATTACTAACGTAATATACTTATTATTACTTAGACCACGCCCTATTATATCTATTAATATAAACCCCTCGATAGGTTTATCCCTTAGGAATAATATATAAGAAGGTATAAGCAATAAGCGTAGAATCGGGTAATCGATAACGTAAGCGGAAAGATCGGTCGAAGGAGTATAGGGTAGGATTTCGTCCGGAATTTATAACGAGTATATAAGGGGCTGAATAATATATTAAAAGAATAGCGTTGCAAAGGATGCTTGTAAACTTGCTTATTCTATCTACTACTCCTAGGGAAATCCTTCGTCTTTTATAGACTATTGCTCGCCTACTAGTAGACTAATTAGTTAGCTTTCTAGCACATTCTATAGTGCTTGAAAAGCTCTATCTATAGTATATCTTCCTAACTTAGTAGGTGGTCTAATTATGGCGTGATAGTTAACGTAAGACTATAGGTTCTGGTATAAGTAGTGGATTTAACTAGAATGTTCTATGCCCTCCCTATTCTCGTATCGCGGATATCTTCGGAACCGCTAGGCCAAAATAGGCAATAGGGTATCCGTTCTGCTCGTAATTGACTTATGCATTTTATGCATATTTTTGTTTGTAAGGATAGGCTTATCTGACCCTTTTCCTAAAGGAAGGTATTAATATCTAGTAGAGGTCTTTGTCTTTAAGGGTTATTCCCTTAGACTATATTATAGAGCCTCTTTTTACTAGCTTATTCTATAAAGCCTCTATATGCCTATTATTTCTTTATAATAGTAAAATAGGAATATAAGGGTATATTCTTATATAATACTAGTTATTATACTAAGCCTCTTTTAGCTAGCTAGTTAGTAAGCTTATTACTAACGATCCTTAGGTAGCTAAGGTACTAGTATAGCTATACGTTATAAAAGGCTTCTAAGCTAGATAAGAGCCTTTTAATATATATAGCTAGGTCTAAGAAACTTATAACCTTCCTTATAGTAGCTTAGCTATTTATAAAGATATAGGTATCTATAAGGGGGTTAAGGGGGCTAAGCCTTAAGGGCCGAGGCTTCTTAGCTATATCCTTTAAAACCCTTAGTATCGTAAATAGCTTTATATTAACTACTTCGATTAAGGGCCCTAGGTTCTTATAGTATACTTTAATAGGCCTATTTCTAAGCTTATTTTATAGAAAGAGTAAGTATTAGTCTTTATAAGGGATTCTTTAAGGCACCCCTTAAAGCTATTAGTATAAAAGGCTAGGGGCCGTAACTTAAAGTCTTTTAGGCTAGCTAAGCTAGCTAAGAGGCGTTAGTACTACTTCTTAGCTAAGGGCTTAAGGGCCTCTATTATTATAATAAAAGCCTTAGTCTTTAGGGCCTATAAAGGCTCCTAGCTAGCTTTCTTTCTTTCTAAGTTATAATTAGATCCTATAAGAGCTACTAGGCCCTTAAGGAGGTAAAAGAGCTATATATATAGCCTAATATAGCTTAAGGCCCTTAGGTTAAAGCTTAAGTTAGCGAGGTCGTTTTATATAGCTAGGTTATAAGCTTATTTTATAAGGTAACTAAGTAAGAAGTATAAGGTCTAGAAAGTATACGAGAGGCATACTTTTTTAAATTATACCTTTAGTAGTAGTAGGGCTACTTTAGCTTTTAAAGCCTCTTAAGGTATATAAGCAAAAGCGGAATTTTGGGAAATTAAGGAATCACGTAAGACTACGTGATAGAGGGGAAGAAGGAGTATAAGGTAGGATTTTCAACGGAATTTATTGGTAGTGTATTAGTGTGTGGAAGAGGTGTTAAAGTTAATGATTCTCTCTCTATCTACCAGCGGACATGCTGTCTTATATAGACAATTGTAGCTAAACGGAAGAACCTTTCGGGACCAGATTTAGGCTGCCGTATAGCCCTAAGACTAGGGAATTCCGTGATACCTCGAGTGAATCTGGAAGTGTCTTGGTTCCTCTGATATTCGTGTTTAAAGGAGGTTGGTCGTGCCGGTGTTCTTAAGAGGTCTTAGCTAGCATTCTAAGCTAGCTCTGTTCCTTCGATTCCCGATTATACGATAACCGGCAACCCGTTTAATGCATAATGACATGCAAAATAACGAGCGATTCTTGCTCTATAGGATGAGGTTTTGTCTATAATTAATATACTACTTATTAGCTTATATAATCGGGAGAGTATATTATAGCTGCTTTATTTATAGTAGGAACACCGTTCCTTATAAAGCCCTAATAAAGGATCCTTTAAAGGCCCTTAAGACTTTTAAAAGAGCTTAGTTTTAAAGCCTTTAAAAAGGCTTTATTAGGCTCTTAAGGGTCTTAGGCCCCCTATATTAAAGCTAGGCCCTATAGTCTACTATAGAGGTTATATAGGCTTAGTAAAGCTATCTAAAGGCTTTAAATAATAGGCCTTTTTATATAAAGGTTAGGCGGGATAGTCCTTTAAAGGTAGCTTATATAGAGGCTACTTTCTTCTTAATATATTATTTAAATAAGAGCCTAGAATTAAAGAAGACCCCTAGCTACTATACTAAGAGCTTTACCTTAAAAAATAAGCCTCCTACTATTATACCCTTTAAAATAAGCTGCCGTTACCTACTAAAGTAGATAAGTTCTATCTTTAAGGGGTTAAAGTAGACCCCTTAGTCTTTAGCTTATTTAAATAAGTTAGTAGCTATTACTTCTAGCTATTAAACGTTCTTCTTAGCCGAGATTAACGTTATAAAGATACTAAAGTTATCTATATAAGATAGCTAGTATCCCTTAGCCGCTAGTATCCCCCTTACGTATAAGAGGAATAAAATAGGGCTAATAAGAGACCCTTAAGGCACCTTTATTACTAGGTCTATAAGGGGCTAGACTTACCCTTTAAAGGCTAGCTAGATCTTCCTTTTAGTAAGGAAGTAGTTTACCTAGCTTATAAGGGCCTTAAGGAGGTTTAAGTCCCTTAAGACCCTTATAAGCTATTCCTTTAATACGAAATCGAAGGCGCCCTTTATATCTAATAAGAGGGTACTAGTAATAGCCTTCTTATTAGACTCCCGCTTCTTTTTATACCTTAAGGTAGTATCCTTAGTTAAATAGAGCTTTATAAGCCCTATTAAAGACTATAGGGATAGCCTTATATATATATTAAATAGGGAGGAAGCTAAGAGAGTTTAGGCTAAGGGCTTTCTTATTAAAAGAGCTAAAAATAGCCCTCTTAATCTTAGGGTCCTTTAGCTCTAGCTAGTCTACTTATCTATACCCTTACTACCTATATAGCCTAGAAGCTCTTCTTTTTCTAGGCTTTAAAGGGGGCTAAGGGGGGGGCTAGGGCTAGGGTCTAGGGTTAAGAAAAGGGTTATTAAGAAGGCCTTATATTTTTCTATAAAGGTATTAGCTTTTACTTTTATCCCTTCTTTTATATATAAGATACTAAGAAGGTAGGGTTAGCTCTAGCCTTAGTATAGGAAAAGGCTATAAAGATATCCTTTCTTACTACTTTTATTAAGAAACTCTCTTAGTATTACTTTTTAATAGCCTTAATAGTATACTTAAAGCTATTTCGGGCCTCTATAAAGCTCCTTTAGCTCTCCTCGTCCTATGCTAAGAGATTCCTGCTAAGCGATCATGGAAAGAAGGAGACGAAATGCCCAAGGATCCTGCGGTTCAAAAACGGATTGAGTGCGGAGGGTCGTGGACCTTGATTTGTTTGCCTAACCACCGCCTTCTTTGAGGAGCGCCCAACGTCACCAGTTTTCCCTCGTCTGTCACCAATGCCCTACGAGGTTCTGGTACAAGGGACGGAACACGGAAGGTCGAGCATGTCAGGTAACGCGTCGCCATGCTATGAGCAGACCAACAGAACCGGAGCAGAACCAACAACGTCGCCGAACTGCAGCCCCTACGCACAAAGGCTCTGCACCTACCAACTGCATATTCAGCATGCATTTCACTCGCTGGCTTTCCCCCACAGCCCCAGGCCGGATTTCTTGTGACGTGGCTGCGATAATTAGCCTGTCCAGGCCAACGAAGCCCTAGGCATGTATCCAGTGTGGTCGTGTAGCTCCTCTCACTGAGGAATGTGGACTTGCGATGGAAGCGCTCGGGGTCGAATTGCCTCAATTATGCGATCCTATTGGCTTGAGACTCCGTAAGAGACGGACGGGCGGTTCCGGTTTCGTTGCGACAGCCTGCCAAGCCGATATGTTGCGGTGTACCAAGACACAACGAGGAAACCCCTCTGTACTCGGGACTCAAAGAAAGTCACCATCAGCCGACGACAACACGCAACGTTGAAGCGGATTGCAAACCCACGCTTACTCTCCTGCCCTAGCCGAACCCACATCACGCACCTCGTGCCATGAACAGCAGGCAAAGTTCACCAGCCGGAGATGGGACTCTGAACGCTTGAAGAATACTGCGTAGCCTCCACTGGTAGTGCGATGGAATCGTGTGTTAGGGCACAAGCTGAAATTGACGCTACAGTGGCGTTCAGGGAAACGAGAAATGTCCAGTGGCAGATGGTAGTGGCTCTCAAGCAGGGGCTTGAGAGCACAGTGGAAGAAATAGGGGCTAGAGTGTATGTGGACTGTTCGCGGCTAATCCACTATCCCTCAATACCCTGAAATATCGAGTACGCCAATTGTAGTGTTTTCGTGTGCCCTCAGGGTGCCCTTGCGAGGACGGTCACCGGTCCTAGGAGCCAGCTCCGAAGCTTGAAGATATCTACAACTGCATCCAGGATCTCTCACAGTATCAAATAGAGTTCCTTCTCTCTGACATTTGACCGAACCGTGTAGTCACGGCTCTGCGGTCGGCGAACGTAGGATAAGTCTTGGGCATCGTTGAATGGTGCAACGTCCTTCACCGGACCTTGACCGGGTCTTTAAGATATACGGCGCGATGGTGCATCGAAATAAAGGTCGCAACGACTTTGATGTCGTGAGTTGTGACAGACCCCTGCCATGATCGGCGGCAATCGGCGCTCCGTCCGCTCATGTTGAATTGGACTGGGTCACGTTGAGAGGAGAGAAGATTGCATGCAAGGGGTGGTTTTCGTGAAGTGATATCTTTTCCACAAGCATGTCCCCCAGCGCTACCCCCCGCCCGTGGCTTTATGCGTCGATAGAATGGTTCTCCGAGTAGCTCGATGAATGCAAATCGTGGCTGGCGGCCATGACGTGATGTTCGCGGACGAGTCGGCATCATCTGGGCTCATTTCACTGCAGCCCTACGCTGGCACGAAACTCGTGGTCGTGGCCTTTCCGACAGGCCGGCAGCCACGTGTGCTATCTGGGTGTCTCGTCTGTATTCGTAACTGTGCGCTATTGGGTCGGGCGACCATCAGGGGGGGGGAGAGGGTTGGTCATGGTCGCGTTGCTTATGCCTTTTTTTGCGGGGACTGCGATTTCGTGCGCTTGGCAGGAGGCTCAAGAGGCTGAAAATCCAGCGACAGTGGGTCATCCGAACTGTCGGACTCGTATGTGGTTTGCACGTTCGAATCTGGATGAAGCACCGTTGTTTGGCTGGTGACTACAGTGTCGGCGGCTGACGTCTCGCTTGTGAAGCTCGATGCCAAGCCTTCCGTATCCTGCAACGGTGAGGCGCGAGTATATCGGAACAATCTTTCGTTGGCCTCTTTAATGGCATTATCTCGCTGTTCCTTTGCCCAGTCCCGGAGATTCCGATACGCGGCAGCCCCTTGCCGGAAGATATCGGCATCCCCAGTCAGGCCCCACGTTTTGATCTGTGTCATGACAAAACCGGGGCGTCCGTCTGGAGCAGAGGGTGGGATTGGATGAGCTGTGTACATTTTCAACGTCCCCCCATAGTAAATTGATGTGATAGCATAAGCCCTGTTATCGAACCTTGGCTCTACATGGCCATATGACCGGAGCCTGTCTATCGATCTTGCGCTGAGAGCCCCATGGTAGGAAGCTTGTCGAGATGCGACTGATAATGTTCCGTCCGGGCCCTTTACCTCTAGGCAAAAATTAGGCACGATCGGAAGATCGTGCTGCGTAGAAGGTATGATTAAGTTGCTTAGTTCTCGGCGAATGGTTCGCTCGAGCTGCTCGGGACCCGCGCCGTAATATAGGTCGGGGTTACCGGGTACTAGCGAACCATCCGTCAAATGGTCAAAGTTGGTGAATGGGACCTGGCCGGCAACACACTTCCTATCTCCTGTATTGCCCTCTAGGACTGGAATTACAGTTGCTATGACGTCTCTTTCTTTGGCTGCATGGGTATCTGCACGCTCAAACTTGCGGAAATCGTCGCCTGTAAACTGGGACGGAGAGAGTGACCTCCTAGGCTCGGCCAGAATCTGGCGGATCTCAGCTATGTTTTCGGGCTCTGGCGGCAAGCGGCCATCCGGATATTCGTACCCGTGGGGTAAAACGTCGTGATCGATCAGGTGTTGTTGGAAAGCACGGTCGTACGGACCAGTGCTCTTCGTGCTTGTCGTATTCGGAGTAGCGCTGCTTTTTGACGGTGAATTCGAGCTCCTCCTTGTCGGAGACTGTGATCCTCTCTTTCGACGTCGCGAACTGAACTGGCTTGAGCTCATCTCGACATGGGCCTCGGCAGGTATCCGATACTGCTTCCCTGTCAACGACTGGGTGAGTGAACGGAAAAGAGACTGCTCAGCTTACCCCTCGTGTATCCCACAGGTCCGGGCCGCCTTGCCTTGCAGATCGTTTGAGCCGCCTCAGGCAAGCTGGAGACAACTGCTCGACGAAACAATCCGCGTTGATTATATGGATGTGATGTCGCGGTGCACGGCCGTAACAGTTTCGTGTCTCTTCTTGGCCGCAGGCGGATCGTGAGATTCTCCGTTGTGACTCTTGCAGCGCCCTCCGCGTGAGCGGGATAACTGACAATCGGTCCCAGAATCTCGGTGGCGGAAATGCCGGGTGGTTGAGCTTCTGCTTCTTGTGCGAATAGCCGTCTTCGTCGTGTTCCGTTTCACGCCAAGCCGAAGGCGCGTGGCGTTTGCGCAGACCAGACGTGCATAGACCTGTTTGCGAATGTTCAGCAAGAACCATGCTCGACGGGTTGATATCTGGTCATGTTGAAGTGGCGCTTTATAATCGGAGAAAACAGTTCGACAAAGTCGCCATGGCCCTGGCACGCCGAAGTTGCGGCGTCAAGGCTGCTGACTTGTCAGCAGCTGCGGAGCCCCACTTTTTGAGTCAGAGTGCTTGGAGCCCAACCAGTAGTAAGCGCTGCAAAAACATCGCACACTCTGCGGCGTAACGCGCAGACGCGTCGACCACTGAATGTCCTCATGCACCTGGCGGCGAGTACATACGTATGGGCAAGCTGACCATCCCCCCCCAAGGAACCCGACCGGCGACCCGCTTTTCGTAGCAGTCAAGCCCGCATAAATTTAAGTATCAGATAATTAGGGGGCAGTCTTCAAGCGAGAGAGACTCTCGGGTCGTCGACGGTTCCATGAACCGCGGTTGCTGCACACGCCGTGCCATGTGCTTCGTTTGCGTCGTCACATGCCCCTGGAAAATGCAGCCTGGCAAACAGTCGTGCAAGCCGCCGGCTGGCCGATGCGTGGCCCGGCCGCCACGGGCTTATCGGGGCCGATGGCCGCCGACCCTCACTAAAACCCCGATAACGGCCACGATTGCCACTGATGTAATGCCTCAACGCCGCCGCGACCACAAGGCTCCGAGGGCCACAAACAGCTGGCTTCCTCTCGTCTCGCGCCATACGCCGTGCACGCTGTTGAGCTGAAACTCGCCAACCGGCCGCCCACATTCCTTTCAGTTCCCCCCCTTTGCCGGCGATTCCATCCAGTGTCATTCAGACGCTCCATCGTCCCCGCAGCTCATCCCATCATCAACCCGACGTCGCCAGCATGGCCTTGACTGTCCTGTCAGACGAACAGGTCAGGGTCCTTCTCGAGGGCCTGAGCCTCGACGAGCTGGAAGAGTTTCGACACGTCCTAGCCTCGGCGCTTCACGAATTCTCGACAAACGCCGAAGCCGACGAGAGCGGCTTCTATCAGCAGCCGCACCGAACCACGACGCTCCACCCAGCATCTCGGGCCACGACGCTGTACATGCCATCATGCGGTCCCCAAGGCATGGGATGCAAAGGTGCGGTGTCGGCAGCATCCCACGGCAACGGTTACTAACGCCTCAGGCAGTCGTCTCCTTGACTTCGTCCGAGGCCACCGAGGACCCTTCCATCAAGCCCATTAGCCCGACTGGCGTCGTCAACCTGCTCACGCCCGACGGCAAGCCCCTAGGCCTCATCCAGGCGAGCACGCTGACTGCCTTTCGCACCGCCCTCGGATCTGCGTGCCTTCTCAACCGACGCAACCACGTCAAGACCATTACCGTCTTCGGCAGCGGCCTGCAGGCCTACTGGCACGTCCGTCTCGCCCTCATGATGCGAGGCAGCACCATCAAGCACGTCAACGTCATCAACCGCCGCTTCTCCGCCAACGCCAGTGGTATTCTTAAGAAGTTTACCATCATACCCCAGGCCATAAAGGATCGCGAGGGCTGGGCGCAGGCTAAATTTGGCATCTTGACGCCCACCTTTCACGAGTACGAACGCCTGCTCAAGGAGCAGATCCGCAACTCCGACGTCATTTACTGCTGCACGCCGTCCCGGGAGGATCTCTTCGACGCCTCCATCCTCACGTCTCACGAGGGCAGGAAAAAGGGCAGACTCATCGTCGCCGTGGGCAGCTACAGCCCCGAGATGAGAGAACTGCCAGAAGGCCTACTTCTGCAGGCTACCAAGGTTCACGACAAGCATCACAGGCATTTCCACAAGCACGCCGAAGAGGCAGGCGTCGTCATCGTCGATACCCTGGAAGGCGTGCTCAAGGAGGCGGGTGAGATCATCTCCGCCAAGATAAACCCCAACCAATTGGTCGAGTAAGTACTCCTCGTCCCTTCAGTTCACATGCTCACTGAACTGACGCGATGCCAAGACTGGGTGAGCTAGTCATGCTCCACCGCCTGGCCATTGAAGAGTCAGAAACAGATACGACCGGCTCGCAGACGCCCCCGTCGATGGATTCGGAAAGCCTGGATCTCAGTGAAAAGGCGTCGTCCATGTCCACAGTCTACAGCGACCAGCCGCGACGGCCAAGCAGACCCTCGAGCCCCATGTCATCTGGCCACGTCCGCAAACCCAGCTTCCCGCTGCCGTTTCGAAAGAGCTCCAGCAGCTCCATCGAACCGGAGAAGAAAAAGGAGGATTCGCTGTCTCGTTGGCTTCGGGACGGCACGGTTGTGTACAAGAGCGTTGGGTTGGGCCTCATGGATCTGGTGGTGGGGATGCATCTGGTCAAGCTTGCGAATGCGAAACAAATTGGCACGCAAATCGAAGGTTTTTAACATGAGTGTGGAGGGAGACGGATGCCGCTTTATGCTCCATTTGTGAGCTGATAGATCCAGGTCCTTGACTCTATGTACGGGTATCATACCTGGGGCAAGCTGACCAGCATTTTCATAAGTGGCTCCGAAATACGGATATCATCCAAGGCGGCTCGTCTCGACGGTCTTTTTATTGTATGATTTGACTTGCAACGAACCGTCTGGACAGTTCGATTGCCTTAACTCCATAGACATTCTATTCATACAGCGGATATTCAACTTTACATGCCCCAAACCATTTTTCTCTACTCTGCGACCCAGACAGCGCTCATGCCCATTCCCGTGCCGATACACATGGACGTGTTGCCTACCTTCTTGCCCGTCCGCTTGAGCTCGTACAGCAGAGTCGACACCTGGCGGGCGCCGGTGCAGCCCAGCGGGTGGCCAAAAGCAATGGCGCCACCCTTGGGGTTAATCTTTTCGTGGGGGATGCCCAGCTCATTGGCGCACCACAGGCACTGGCTGGCAAAGGCCTCGTTGATCTCGTAGATGTCGACGTCGTCCTTGGAGATGCCGGCGAGGTCAAGGGCCTTGGGGATTGCCTTCCACGGGCCCTGGCCCATAAGGAGGGGCTTGACGCCGACAATGGAGGCGCAGACAAACTTGCCAATGATCTTCTGGCCGAGCTTCTCGGCGGTGGAGCGGCGCATGAAGAGCACGGCGGCGGCGCCGTCGGATATTTGGCTGGCGTTGCCGGCGTGAATGCTGCCGTCGGCGGCAAAGGCCGGGCGGATCTTGGCGAGCGACTCGGCGGTGATGCCGTCGCGGATACCGTCGTCCTTGGCGACGGTGATTTCCTTGGTCTCGCCCGACTTGGGGTCCTCGAACTTGGCCTTGAGGGGCACAATTTCGTCGTCGAAGAGGCCCTCCTTTTGCGCCTTGACGGCCTTTTGGTACGACGAGGCGGCAAAGGCGTCCTGGTCGGTGCGGCTGATTTTGAGGTCCTTGGCCATGTCCTCGGACAGGACGCCCATGGGCACCTTGCAGTTGGCGGCTTCGGGGTGGGACTCGAGGAGCTCGGAGAACTCGGTGACGGCGGCAGGACTGGAGGGGAGGAAAGAGAAGTCAGCTAGCTAGTCTGTACGGCTCGGGGCTCTTCGAGAATGGAAGAAGGGCGAAGGAGAGCAACGCACCCATACTGCAGGGACATGCTCTCGACACCAGCACCGATGCCGACGTCAATCATGCCCGTCTTGATCTGATTGGCGACGTCGACGCAGGCCTGGAGGCCGGAGGAACACTGGCGGTTGAGGGTGCGGACGGCTGTGGACTCGGGGAAGCCGGCGACGAGGCTGGCGCCGCGCATCTCGGTGGCGCCGCCGCCCGGGGGCAGGACGGAGCCGACGCAGATGTCCTCGACAAGGGCCGGGTTGATGCGGGAGCGGTCGATGATGGCCTTGAGGACGCCGGCCATGATGTCGGCGGCCTGCGTGTCCTTGAAGCCGCCCTTGCCGCCCCGGGTGAAGGCGCTTCGGCAGCAGGCAGTGACGACGACCTGGGGGGGTTAGTGTTGTGCTGATGGGGGGGCAGGGCTCTGGACGTACATCGTCGGGGCGCTTCTCGAGAATCTTGTCGCGACCGCCAGCGGTCTGGTTGCCGGAGAGCTGGCCTCCGATTTGAGAAATTCTATCGAGGGCTGTGTTGAGACGGAAATACGTCAGCATGGGCAATGGGGAGGCAACGACGATGACATACCACCCATGATTGGTTTTTTTCGAGGATACCGGCCTTGTAAGTTGAGAGGGCGAGAGAGGTTGAAGAAACAATGAGGACAAGGTTGAAGAGATGCTCGAACCAAAGCCGAGGCGTGCGGACGCTCTGGGGAAGCTTGGCTTTATAAGCGCATCCCTTTACTCTCAGGCTCCCCTGGGCAGACCTCGGCGCGAGGGAGAATGCGGACAGTGAGAAAGACTCCGGAGCCCCCGCGGCCGGCGGGGGGGAGCTTGAATCAGCTGGCACCGCTTGACCGAGGCATCTTGCAGGCGGGGCTTGGCGGTTTTTAGCGCCTTTCACATGCCGCGGCGGCGCCCCGTGGGGTAGAGGTTCGAGCTCCTGGACAGTGGGAAACGGAGGACGCTGGCTGCGGCTCGATGGAGGTGCGGCTGCAGCTGTAAATCATATTAATTAATACAGGCTTTACGGATATGGGGTATGTCTATGCGCCTCGGGCACGAGGATCGTTTCCCACGTGAGCTTGGTCGGCTTTTAGCCGGCGCACGTTTCATCGACTGCGGGTGACTTCTGGGGGATGGGGGGCTAGCTGGATGAAAGACCTAAATGCTGCCAAATCTCTTTACTCGTTGATTTCTTTCTTGTTCGTGTTTCCGTCCCATGTACAAGGTAAAGACAGCGGTTGACCCCTGGCATCCTCCCACCCATGCGCCAAACTGCAAAAGACCGCAATATCAGCATATCATGTAGAACTAAGCCTTGCTGCTGGCGCCGCCGCCCTTCTCTACTTTGTCGTCGGCCGAGAAGTTCAAACTGACGCTGTTGACACAATGCCGTTCATCCGTGGGCGTGGGCAGGCCCTCGCCTTTGAAAACGTGTCCCAGGTGGCCGCCACAGTTGGAGCATACAATCTCGGTCCTCGTCATGCCAAACGTCTTATCCGCGTGCCGGCTGACGGCGCCGGGGATGCTGTCGAAGTATGCCGGCCACCCGCAGCCCGACTTAAACTTGTGACTGGCCTTGTACAGCGGCGTGTGACACCCGGCACACGTGTATACGCCCTCTTCGGGGTAGTGCTTGTCGAACTTGCCCGACCCGGGGGGTTCGGTACCCTTCTCTCGGAGGATGCGGAATTGCTCTGAGGGCGAGGGTCAGCTGGATCCTGCGAAGCGAAAGGGCCTTTGCCATGCCTTTATTGAGGACAGCGCGCCACTCGTCGTTTGAGCGCGGGTCGGGATACGACATCTTGGAGGAAGACGAGCCAAACAGTGCGCCCAGGAAGGGAATGCCCGACATGGATCGCAGAGGCACAGATCGGGGACGGGCGAAATGGGCTTGAAGCGGCAGTCTGTTTCGTACGAGGTGGGAGAGGATGGAGAAGCTGGTTGAGAAGAGAGGAGAGAAGCGCATGGATGGCAACGTTGGCATGCAGCGGAGACGACGAGGCTTTAATAGTAACGGCTGGATTGGGGACATGTAATCTACAGCAACTGTCGATGATGATTGACCAGGGCTCCGAGGACCTTGACAAATCGCAGGCTGAGTGCTCTGGAATCACTTGCATCATCCTCCGCTATGATTGGATTAGCGGCTCGATGGTCGCCACAGCGGATAGAAATGGCCTATCGGGCTCCCTCCCCCTCTTAAAAAGTCCAGGCCGGCAGCAGCTTGGCCACTGCCGGCAGCACAATGTACAATGTCGTATTGCCTCAGCAACAAAGACGAGAAGAGGGCTGCCTCTCCTCCCGGAGACGGCAAGCATGGCAAGATGAATGGCAATATATATAGGCACTGGAGACAAAGAGGGGCTGCAATACACCTACGGATAGGAAGATTCCAGCTTTCAGGCGCTTGTGCCTCAGGTACCCACTCTCCCACTGCCCACCACTGCCCAAGGCAACCAAGGCTACAGGGGGCTAGGCGCTACAGGTGGCTGATGGCTGATGCGGTAATGCCGTGGTTGACTTCGTGTAACTTTACCCCCGGTCGAACCCAAGGGGCGGCAAGTTCTTTGACTGCTTCATCACCGCCACCGGCAGACACACGCTCCCTGCACGTTGCCATTTGGCACAATCAGCCATCGCCATAATTCCGTGCTCGCTTCAAATCGCAGCTCATTCTCCCACGCACCAACTGCCGCCCGACCCCTCTCCCATCTCCCCCGGGCCTCGCCATCTGTCACAGGCCTTGCCCGCATCCACCATGTCGAGACGTGCCCCAAACCCGGCCGCCGAGCGGGCGGCGCAGAACCAGACGACCATCAAGAGCCTCCTCAAGCTCGAGCCCAACAAGGTCTGCGCCGACTGCAAGAGAAACAAGCGTGAGTGCATCGCGTCCCCCTCTGCACACCGCCCGCCCCTTGCTGACCCCGCCATTGCGACGACGTCTAGATCCGCGGTGGGCCAGCTGGAATCTCGGTATCTTCGTCTGCATTCGATGCTCGGGCATCCATCGCGGCATGGGCACCCACATATCCAGAGTCAAGTCGGTCGACCTCGACTCCTGGACTGACGAGCAGCTCCAGAGCATCCTGAGCTGGGGAAATGCCCGCGCAAACAAGTACTGGGAGGCCAAGCTGGCCGCCGGCCATGCCCCGTCCGAGGCCAAGATTGAGAACTTCATTCGCACAAAGTACGAGCTGAAGCGCTGGGTCATGGATGGGCCCATGCCTGACCCGGCCTCGCTGGACGCCGACGGCGACGACGACGTGCCACTCAGCCTGGTTAAGGAGAAACAGGCGATTGAGAAGAAGGAGTCCATCAGGAAGGCGTCCGTCGGGCAGTCGCAAGCGCCTCAGGGCGACCTCATCGGCGGAGACGACCCCATCCCCTCTCGAGCGAGCACCGCTGGCCCTGCGGCTGCCAAGGTGCCGTCAAAGGCGGAACCCGCGGCACCCAAGACGACAAATACCAAGGATTCCTTGCTAGGATTGGATTTCCTGGGTGAGGCCAGCGCGCCGCCACGGCCGTCCAGCACCCCCGGGCTCATCTCGCCTGGCGGACCATCGCGGCCCGACCTAAAACAGTCCATCCTCTCGCTCTACGCCTCGGCCCCGAAGCCCCAGCCCCCGCCGCCACAAGCCGCGCAGCGCCAAGGGTCGTTTGGCGGCATGGTTTCGCCGACCATGGGCCACCAACACCAGGGCTCTTCCGGCGGGTTCAGCGACGCGTTCGGCAGCCTTAACATCTCCAACAACGCGCCTGCTCCCGACCCCTTTGCCGGCCTCGGGGGTGTTTCTTCGAGTAACCGGGCGACATCACAACCACCAAGCGGCAGCACATTTGGCGGGCTGAGTGGAGGAAGCTTCTTCGACGCAAAACCAACGCAGCCCCCGGCTGTGTCGCACCAGCAGAAGCCATCCAACTCTGGATTTGGCATGTCCAGCTCCTTCTCGACTCCTTTCTCGTCGCCTCCGCCCACGCAGCCTGCGGTGGCGCCCAAGCCTGCCCAGCCATCCTCGTCTGCCATGGACGATCTCTTCGACCTTTCCTCGCCAGTCACCCAGGCCAAGTCTCCCCCGCCGCCGACCAACGCTGCTCCTCCTGCGTCGACGACCTCGGTATTCAACCTCTCCGCCACCCAGAACAAGCTCGTCTCGTCTCCCCCAGCGACAGCCACGACGACCTCGACGGCCATGGGAGGGGCTGGGGCGTTTGGAGCCGACGTCTGGGGCGGCAACGAATGGAGCACCCCTGATACGACTAGCGCTGCGCCACCAGCGCTGAAGAGCCCGGAGTCGGTCAAATCCCCTGCGAGCAACATGAGCTGGGGCGGAGGCGGCGCTTTTGCCAGCACGCCGATTGTGCCTGGAACCGGCGGGGGTTTCAACCCGGCGCCGAAGGTGACGGCAGACGAGGAGTTTGGCGGTTGGGCAAGTAGCGCAGGGCCGTCAGGCGCGGGCGGCGTGGCGGCGCCCAAGCCAAGCGGAGGCCTAGGGGGAGACGATGATCTCTTCTCCAATGTCTGGCAGTAAAAACGACGAACGAATATGAAGGCGGGGGCTTGGCAGGGCATGTCGCGGGCGTTTTGCATGTTCGGATTCTTGATAGATTGCAAACGATGACTAGAACTGTAGGGTCCTCCCACTCTGGTTTTGACGGTGGCCAACGTTGACGACTAAAACGAGTCAGAACCCGAATCAAAGTAACATTGAATTATATCGTGCAACGCCAAATATGTACCGAGGGTATTGTCCCATTCCAACCCATGAGAAACCGAATCCCTTCCTGCTTCCGGCCCGTCTCGAATGGAGCCGATGTAGACTTGATATGGGCCTTCCATCGTCGATGATCAGTCCACTCCCTTATCCGACCTGTTGCCCTTGATTCCGACTTTGGCAAGTCCTGGCAGCATCGCATGCTGTGCGCCGTGCTTAAAGGAACATCCTCAGGCCGTAGTAGAGGACGAGGAATAGGCCGATGATGATGCCCGAGAGCTTCATGATGGCAATCTTGTTGCCCGACGCGGCCATGCGGGTGAGTCGGGTGGCCGAGCCCTTCATCTGGGTTGCCATGGAGGAAAAGGTCTCGGACTGGGCAGAAGCAAGTGTCAGCAAGGGAGCCGGCCGATGACGGCATCACAAAGTTCACCGGGAGGGGAAGGAAGACGGACGGTGTTATCGATGACATCTTGGGCACGGGCGTTGTCGTAGATATCGATGGTGACGCCGCGGAGGGCGGATACCTTGGCCGAGAGCTCATCTAGACGGGCGTTGTTTTGGCGCTCGCGCTCGTAGGCTTCCGACATGGCGAGTGTGGCCGGCGAGGGGGACGGTAGAAGAGCGGAAGCGGAAGCGCGAAGGTCGAGCAACTTTTGTCGGATTGTTGAGGACGGGCCTCGGTAGCAGGGCAGTTTTGGGGGCAGAGGAGTAGTTGCCAGCCCCCGTCCGGGGAAGCGAAGGGGAGGCGCTGCTGCTGTTGCTCGACTGCAATGGAGGCGGCGGCTCGAGAGTTGGTTCTGCGTCGTCGGAGATGGGGGAGCGCCTGTAGCGGCAAGTAATCTGGGTTGCGCAGGTTGAGACTGGGAGCGGAAAGGCTACTCCATGCCAGAGGACGAGGTGGTGGACGCGACTCCGGGGATTTTGGAGGGTGAAAGCCGGAAGTCCGGGGAATCCAGGGGGGGCGAAGCAGCGACGCCGCCTGTTTGGAGCACTAGCGCCAGTTGCACCGCCACAGTTGCTGTGGTGTTCAACCGCGCCACGCGTCGAGGCACGCTGCGCCACAGAGCGGGGCGGATGAGCGAAAGGCGACGATGCACGTCACCGCGTAGGTACTCTCAGCTACTTGTACTCGCGGCGCACAACGAGGCAGCCAGGAAGCCTCGGCATGCGGGCGACGGGCTTTGTGTAACTTCACTGGATCATTGAGTGCTGTATGTACGTGCGCTGCGGCCGTTGGGCGGCAGGCCGCATTGCCATGTCAAGCAGTCGAGGTCGTTTGTTGGGTGAGCAGAGCCCAATATCTCGATTCCTCGAGACCTTTTCTTGTACGCGTAGAGGGCTGCTCGAACTAGGTACCTACCTAAGTTAGGGAGTACCTAAGGTAAATATGTACTACTAAGTTGCATCCTCGAGATAATTCAGGGCATCATTAGAGCTTGTTCCAGGGCAAAGGATGAGGCGCTGTCCGAGGGATCAATGCCTAAAGCAACAGGGCTATATTAGAAGGGTCAGGTGGGAAAGGGTTCCCCGTCACCCCGCCGCGCCCACGGCACTAGGGAGCAAGCAGCTCAAGCTTCGGCACGCGAGAGACCAGGTACAAAGCACCACTACTCTGCCCAAAGAAAAAGGTGCGCTTCTCCCTTCCCCAACGGCCGTCGCCACTCCATCCTCTCTTCCTCGCGAACACGCCCTCGACGACCGCTTTGCGAACCCTGTTATCGAGCCCAAGCTGCCCGCGCCGAGATGGGTTTCAACCTCAACAACCCTCTCCCCTCCTCCGTCAAGTGTTTGTCTCCCTCTTGCGCCAGGAGCCGCGTGGCCTCGCGCCCGGCTCAGAGAGCTTCGCGCTGACCAGCCCTTCGCAGCGGAATGCAAGAAATGCGGCAAGATCCTCTCCTCGTTTGTTAGCCCCGGCCAGGCCTTTGGCCCCGACAAGGTCATCCCGCCCTCGATCCTGTCCAACGCAAAGGGCCTCGCCGTCATCACCATCCTCAAGGCGGGCTTCCTCGGCTCCGGCCGCATTGGCAGCGGCGTCGTCGTTGCCAGGCGCGCCGACGGCTCCTGGAGCGCCCCGAGCGCCATCGCCCTCGGCGGTGCCGGCTTTGGCGGCCAGATTGGCTTCGAACTCGCCGACTTTGTCTTTGTCCTTAACGATACAAACGCCGTCAAGACGTTTGCCCAGGCCGGCTCTCTGACCCTGGGCGGTAACGTATCCCTGGCCGCCGGCCCCGTTGGCCGCAACGCCGAGGCTGCCGGTGCCGCCTCGCTCAAGAGCGTCGCAGGCATCTTCAGCTACTCCAAGACGCGCGGCCTGTTCGCCGGCGTCTCCCTCGAGGGCTCCGCCATCATCGAGCGGCGCGACGCAAACGAACAGCTGTATGGTACGCGCTACACGGCCCAGCAAATCCTGACGGGATCCGTGGACCCGCCGCCCGAGGCCCACGCCCTCATGGCCATACTCAACTCAAGGGCCTTTAGCGGCATGAGGGACGGGGCCGTGACCGGCGATGCCATGTACAACCACACCCCCGTCTACGCCAGCGAGCACGACGATGTCGTCTGGGAGGGACGTCGAGGAGGCGCCATGGGCGAAGGGTCGCCCAGGCCAGGCGCTGGCGAGTTTGGCCGTCCCCAGCGGTCAAGCACGTGGCAAGACGACATCTATGACCGGCCTAGCGTCGGCGCCCCCTCGCGCTCCAGCACCTTCAACACAAAAGGCGACGGCGACAACTACGTCTACCGGGACAGCCCGGCACCCGACAAGAAGACGGGCCCGGGACGGCCAGCCGCACCGAAGCCCAACTTTGTAGCCAAGCAGGCGACGGCCAATAAGAACGAGGCGGTGGCCCTGTTCAACTTTGATGCCGATCAGCCTGGCGACTTGGGCTTCAAGAAGGGCGAGGTCATTACGGTGCTGAAGAAGACGGACAGCGATAATGACTGGTGGTATGTTGCCGAGCTCAGAACCCTCACCGGGAGACGCTCTAACGTGGACTATGTGTGCCATTACAGGACCGGAATGATCGGCACCCGGCATGGGATATTCCCGAGCAACTACGTCAAGATGAAGGAATGATGCAGTGGGTGAGCAGTCACCCTGGCCGACTGGCACGCTCCGATATACTCCCGGTATCTCTTTTCTACGCCAACTTGGAGGCCATTGCGTACACGAATTCTGGTGATGTGACGAACTGCCTTGGGTAGTGTTCTTTTTGAGTTTCTCATGTCATTATTCATTAAGCATCTGTAAGCTGGGGAGAGCCGTACAGGATTTTCGACTCTGGATTGCGGCAACAGGTTTGATTCATGGAGAAGGGTGGCAGCGACGCTTTTCCCTTCCGTTTCCCTTACGATACCCTCGCTGGGCGGGATAATGGGCACTGATGAATCATGAGAGATCAATATTACGGGGATATGTCTTTCAAGGGCTGTGCTATTTTTGCTCCGAGGCTCCTTGTACTTTCAAAACCGTGCAGGCGAAGCGCTGCGTCGTTACGACCGTTGATCATTAACACCGCGCACAATGAGGAGCCGTGGAAAGGGCTGAAATAAGAGCAACAAGCTTCCAAGATACAGGATATTGACATTGCGTCGAGACGTCTACCCATCCGGTTCTTTTAATAGCCGACACCAAACGCCGCAACGTGCTATGCTAAACTGGGCTTCATTGACCTAAGGAAAATTCAGTCTGGAGAGACAGTTGTTTGCGGCAATGCTGCCCAGCTCCCACCGCTCGCCTCCCCGCGCCAGGGCCTCGGCGAAGCGGGTGAGCCAGGTGGCAGCGTTGCAGTTGCAGACGGTGGCGCCGTGGAGCATGATGCCGCTGCCGCCTCGAAGGACCCAGTCGTCGATGTCGGCGCTCGACTCGGCGCTGAGGGGGCCGGCGCTGACGTCGATCTTGGGCACGTCGGGGCCGCAGATGCAGGCGGGCACGGCGTTCATGGTCCAGGTCCACAGCACCATGGCGGCGGCCGAGAGGGCCATGTAGACGATGGGGTCGGGCGGATTCTGGTGCAGGTCGAGGGCCGGGGCCGACTCCTGGTAGGTCCTCCAGACAAACATGGCGTGGAAGAGGGCGGCCCTGCTGTCCGAGGACATGGCCCATTCCTGGATCTGCATGACCTTGCGCTGCCACGACGGCGAGGTGGCGCCGCCGCCCGACTCCGGGCCGGGCATGGACGAGGCCGTGTGGCTGACGTCGCGCATGGCCTGGACGTCGGCGCGCAGGTGCAGGTTGAGCAGGTGGTAGAGCATGCGGACGCTGAAGGCGTACGAGTGGATGCGAGCCTGGACGCGCTCGCGCCACTTGGGCTCGGTGGGCAGCTCCTTGGCCGAGTAGGCGCGGATGAGGAAGTCGGTGTACTGGCCGTGGAGGTCGGGCCTGTCGGTGGCCTCGACAATGGCGTCGAGCTGGATCTTGCAGACCTTGAGCTGGCGCGCGATGGCGTCGGCGCGGGCGGCGGCGGCGTCGTGGCGGTTGCGGCGGAGCTGCTGCAGGATCCAGATGTCGTTCCAGGCCCCGAGCAGGCACGCGTGGACGTCCTCGACGAGGATGCCCGACGGCAGCAGCTGCGGGTTGGTCATGTCGAGGCACGACATCTTGAGGGCGCCGCGGCGCCACGGCTCGCTGCGGTGGCGCGGGAAGAAGATGTGCAGGCCAAAGGCGTTCCACATGGCAAACGTCGAGGGCAGGCCGAGGTCGAGCTCCTCGCGCCGCAGCAGCGGCGGCTGGTTGCACAGCAGCGACAGGTATGTGTCGACCTGGAAGGTGCAGAAGGCGAGGCGCTTCCACCGCTCGACCGAGGCGAAGACCCACGGCACGAAGTCGCCCGGGTAGTGCGTGTTGCGCTCGCGCTCGACGGCCTCTGCGCTGAAGCAGCCGTTTTGCCGCAGCACGGCGATGAGGAGGCTGAGGAGGTGGCGGCTTCGCTTGATGCAGGCGGCCCTCTGCATTGTCTCGACGTTAGCTTGCACCACGGCCAGCGCCGGGAAGCAGGGGGGGAAGACGAACCCCGCTCTCAAAGGCAAAGATGATGTTGAGCAGGGCGACTTGATATATCTCGGCGGGCCACGGGCGGCTGGGGTCGAAGGTGTCGTTTGCCTTTTCCGAGTCTTGTTAGCAGGCCGGTGCTCGGCCAAGGGGGGGGGGCTGACATACCAGTTGCTTGAAGGCCTGCTCGACGAGGACGTTGTGAATCTCCATCAGCAGCGGCTTGAAGCTGCGGTCGCAGTGAAGCCACGAGGTCATCATGACAATGGAAGCCACAATGGCCACCTCGTCGGTCGTCTCGTCGGTGCCGGGCCCATGCAGCACAGGCCAGCGCTGATGGACGGTGGAGAAGTACGAGTCGACGCAGGCCGACAGCCACAGCTTGGGCACGGGAGACGGCGACGGCGGGGGGCCGTTGGGGCCGGCGTCGGAGCGGGAGACGACGGCGCGGTGGATGGACTGCAAGGCGGCCCAGGTGGCCGAGTTGTTGTTGTGCTGCTGCTGCTGCTGCTGCTGGCCGGCCGAGGACGACGTGGTGGAGGCGGCGGGGGAGGCGCACGGGGGCAAGCCGGCAAAGATGCTGATGGCGGCGAGGCTCGGGGTGGTGCCGGAGCTCTCGGTAAAGGGCGGAGAGACGGGCGCCGAGGCAGAGACGGGGCCCGGGCCGGAGACGTCGTCGGGGCCGGTGGGGGAGATGCGGACCCGCTTCGTCGGCGGCGAGGAGCCGGTTGCGCCGGCAGCGGCGGCGTCTCGGCGGCCGTAGGTGCAGGCGACGCCGCGCTTGGCGCACAGCGAGCACTGCGGGCCACCGTCGCACTTGGTCTTGTTTGCGTGGCACGTGTCGCACGCCTTGCCGCGGCGCGAGTCCGGCACGGCGGCCGCTCCGCCGTGGATGCCCGCATGGCGGCGGAGGAGGTCGCTGCAGCAGCGTTAGAAACGGGGCATGTGTGTGCATGGACCGAAGCAAGTGTGTGAATGTGCATTTTCATCCATCCCGTCTCCTCTCTTCTTTTCTTTTTTCAAATACTCTCCGGTTGTCCGTGTTTGGATGACGGATGGGATATCGGGAGGTGGTGTGTGGTTAGGAGGTGGGCATAATGCGGGAACGCGGGCTAGCAGGCGTTCGCGAGGGTATCGAAAGGGCATGGGATAGACGGAACAAGGATGGAAAGGACGACGGGACAGAAAGGAGGATGGAACAAGTCTCACCTGCGGCTAAAGGAGCGGCCGCATACTTGGCAGCTAAAGGTCGGCCCGCCGTGGGTGGCTTGGTGGCGACGGAGATGCTCCTTGCGGAGGAAGCTCTTGCCGCAGTGGCAGGCGTGGCGGTCGGGCGTCTGCGAGGCCATGTCGTGCTACCGGGCGTTTGGGCTGGATGTCGTCACGGGCTGGGGTTTGGCTTCCCCTTGCATGCATCTGCTAGTCGTGGTGGCGTATCTTGGTCTGTCGTCGACAGGCAACAGCCGTTAGCCGAGTGTCTCTCCATGTCTCTCTCTCTTCGCTGTGTGTCCGGAAGTCAAGAAAGTGTGACACGCCTTTTTCCCATTCTTGTTTCCTATTCCGGGCTGAGACAGGGCGGATGACGGGACACGGTGCAGGGCCAGCAAGCGGCAAGCAAGGGCAGCAATGTGGGATGAAGATGACAGGACGAAGAAGAAAAAAAATAAGCGAGCCGAGATATGGAGAGCGGAAGGGAAACAAGGAAAAAGAAAAGTCAAAGCCCACGCCCCCCCTCCCCCCCTTTCCCTTCCCCCGGCCCTCTTTTACACTGCCAGAATTATCCGATAGAGGTCTTCGGACGAGAAGGAATGAGAGGGTGGGGGGTAGGGGTATATTCTGTCAAGAGACGATGCGGGATGAGGAAAGAGGATGCGGGATGAGGGAAGGATGCGGGATGAGAAAAAAAACAAAAATCAATAAAGAACGGGCAGCTGTGGGATGAGGCGAGGCTGGATGCCGATATCCTTGTGCTCTTGCGGCATAGTCTCTTCTCTCTCTCTCTCTCTCTCTCTCTCACATGTCTCACAAACGAAAACGAGCACGAGCCGCGTGGCAGTTGCAGAGATTCCATACGTACATTGTCCGCTTTGTTCCAAGTCTCGGGGTCCGAGATGTGACGGGCGGCTGTTGATGTCGGTGGCTTGCGGTAGTGGTGGACGCACAGATGGGACGGGGGGCGGCGGGATGGAATGCATGTAAGAAAAAAACAAAAAGGGAAAATAAAAGGGAGGGAGACGAGAGGCCGGCTGCATGCGGGAGCGGGCGGCAAAAGGACGATTGTGGCCCCCCCCGATTCCGAGAGAGAGAAAAGGTCGGAGACGGAGAGGGAGAGGGAGGGAGGAAGAGGAAGTATGATGAAGTGGGAGGGGAGGGCGTGGTGTCAGCGGTTAAGCGCACGCACAGGCAAGGCAGTCTGTCTGTCTGTACGCCACGCAAAAGACCAATTGCCGCGGACGAGGACAGGACGGCAGGATCTGGGGCTTTTTCATGGCCTTGTACGGACAAGTACGGCATATACCTGGACTGTCGGCGCAAGACGTGGGATCGACGACCGTTTAAGTTGTGCTCTCTCTTCTGTCTTGTTTGGATTAAAAAAAATGCTCCATTGACTAATTAATGGGTGCGAGTTGGATATTATCGCGGTGTTGAAACAGGCAGGGCAGGCATCTCGGGCCATCCCATGCGTCGTCGGTCGGCCATCCCACTTGTCTTTTCAACCTGTGTCTCGGCCATCCCACCGGGCCAATCCCTGTCCTGGGCCTCGAGGGGGGGGGGGCGCCCATATTTAGGAGTTCCACAGCGGTGGGGCGCAGGTCTAAGCCGAGACGGGAAGTTGCCTGGCATCAAGGCCTTTTGCGCCCTCCAGCGGGTGTATCTTTGGGCATATGCGAGCGACGGCCTAGAAGAACGAAAGAAGGACATGGAATAGGAGCCGGGCCCCACCAGGTCGGACAAGTGCCGGACCAAGAAAGCAGCGAGAAGCGTCGGCTCAGTGCATACAGTACATACATACCCTGGGACGAAACGTCAGCCCGACTGCCGAGAGCTGGACGGATCGACCAGACAAGACGAGATCAAACCGAGCACCTCGAGTCTGGCTGGCCACTGCAAAACCCAAACAGACATGTCTTCCTTCGGCGGCTCCTAATTACCCAGCGCACGCAGAGCGCCCATGCATCCCCCCCGGGCGGGCTGGATGGATAGTCCAGGATGCCTGCGAACCGACTCGAGGCTACTTGCTGTATAGTCGAACAACGTATCATGTACGGAGTGACAAAAATGCTATTTCTATGGATTCTATGGATTCTATGGATTCTATGGATTCATGCCTATACTTGGGATACCTTGTCGCGGCCTAGGGTTTCCACTTGACGTCTCTGACTAGGTGGCTTTTTCCCAATACGCACTGGGACATGCCGCTAGTCATCTTCCACCTCGTCTTCTAGCTCAACCGTCGTGCCTTCTTTCCTGTTGCCTGGCTGGTTCTGACTCGCCGCCTTTGTTCCGGCTCTTGCGTCTTGCCTGTACGTACTCGCACCTGCCCGAGCTATAACTTCCATACTATCCGCCAACTGCCAAGCTAGCCCTCTCTGGGACCGCCCACAAAGCACGTGTCGGCTGCATATGTCCATATGTCATCGGCCAGAGGCAGGCGATCTCGATGAGTAATTCCCACACCTGCTTGCTTATTATTCGCAACCGTGCTTTAGCATCACGACATTGCAGAGTGTACGGCTCGGGCGGGAGACGGATGGAGAGGCGGAGAGAGAAAAACTAGCGTAGAGCGGGAATATAAATAGTGCACCGGCGTCGGGCATGGCGACCAGCAGGAGCAGCCAGCATCCAGCAACACGCAGCCACCACAACGCAAGCCTCGGTCGCAGACTCATCACCTGAATACTCCGTGTACGCAGACATGTCGGCCCCCATCCAGACAGTCGCCGTCGCCGGAGCCGCCGGCAGCCTCGGCTCCGTCCTCGTCGCGCGTCTCGTCGCCTCGGGCCGCTTCAAGGTGCGCGTGCTGCGCCGCCAGGGCTCCGGCTCCACCTTTGCCCCCGGCACCGACGTCGTCGACGTCGACTTCGGCTCCGTCGACTCCCTCAGCGCCGCCCTCGCCGGCCAGGATGCCGTCGTCGCCGCCCTCGGCGCCCCGGGCCTCGGCCTGCAGCCCACCCTCGTCGACGCCGCAGTCGCCGCCGGCGTCCGCCGCTTCCTGCCCTCCGAGTTCGGCTCCGACCTGGCCAACCCGCTGACGCGCAAGCTGCCCGTCTTTGCCGACAAGGCCAGGACAAGCGACTACCTCGAGGCCAAGGCGAGCACCACGCTCCTGACCTACACCCTCGTCAGCAACGGGCCCTTCCTCGACTGGGGCCTGCGCCACAACTTCATCCTGGACAGCTCAAGCTACAAGCCCGCCATCTGGGACGGCGGCGATGCCGTCTTTAGCACCACGACGCTGGCCTCGGTGGCCGACGCCGTCGTCGGCGTCCTGTCACACCCCGACGAGACGCGCAACCGCACCGTCTACGTCGAGGACCTCAAGCTGACGCAGAACCGGCTCCTGGCCCTGGCCAAGGAGGCGGCCCCCGACAAGCCCTGGGAGGCCCAGCCGGCCAGCCTCGACGCCGCCACCCAGCGCGCCGACCAGAGGCTGGCCCAGGGCCTGTACGACATGGAGACGTTTGCGCCCTACCTCTTCCGCGCCATCTTGGACCCGGCTTACGGCGGCGCCTACCACCAGACGGACAATGAGCTGCTGGGGGTCAAGGGCAAGACGGAACAGGACGTGGTGCACTTGCTGAAGCAGATCCTGAGCGAGAGGTGAGGGCCAGTCAGTCTCGAGTCTTGCATGGATGGGACGCTTTTTTTCGAACAATGATGCACATGGACGTTAGGATACATACGGCAATACAGATACGTGACCACATGCACCGGCTCGACGGAGAGTGTCCGGGTCCCTGGACCTGGCTGGGTGACGTCGTGCAAGGGCGTAGTAAGAAAGTTGAAGCTCCAGAGGCTAGACCAAACCAAGGCATAAGACCAAGAATGTAAAGCTTTGAAACCGTAGGGTGCACGGCCAGCACTCCATTAACGGCTGATCTCTTGGAGATTGGATTGACAGCAACGGCCATGGCAGTGTGGAGCACCATGAGACTCAACAGGCGTCATCTTGGCGCCCACGCGCGAGGAATCTGGTGCTGATATCCTGCTGCCTGGCGTCTCTCGGGGGCGAGATGAGATTAAGTCTCTTGCATTGCGCGTCGCGACGTGGTCTGGTGTCTTGGCCGTTCTTTTCCTAGCACGGCATAAGCCCGTCAACTGCGGCTTTGCATGACGGGGGCTCATTTCGCAGCCGCGAATGACTGACTATACAGTTTCGCAATTCCGTTTGTCCACCCCTTTTGGGCGAAACCCAGCGACAGTCAAGGCCCTTCGATCCTTTGCTCATTTCTCGTCAATGGACGAACAAAAAAGTTATCCAAATGGCGTCTGCAGGCATGCCGTCGCGTCTCAGAGTCGTTGGGCCCTTTTCCAGTTTCACCCCCTATCCACCGCCCTCCTGGCCGCTCTTATTAGGTAGCCGTCTTCGCCCGAGCACCGTGCACCAAGAGGCGAGTCCCTCCGAGAAGCTGCCGATTCATACTGTGCCACTCTGGCGGCTCTGCGTTTAGCTTTCGCCCGTGCGCTCTTTTGACACGCAGCTACTGTGTCAACTGTGTGCCCGTGGCCAAGCTCATGTTGGCTAGTACAGACAGACCGGGCACGCGATCGTCATGCAGTCGAAGAGCAGAGGCAGGTGGGAAAAATAGTATGTAATGCGGCGGCGGCTGCAACGGGTTCTAGGAGCCCGCGGGTCGCCGGAAATCAAAGCCGGGGCCGGCTTGGGCCAATAGGAGTTGTATAGGCCGGATGCTTTGCTAGCGCCCGGCTTCCTCAGGGTAAGTTCCGAGATGCTTGGGGCCGTGGAGCCGCACTTGGATTTTTCCATTCATCGTGTTGGGAGGCAACTGCATGAACTTGGACATGCATAGGAACACTGCCCCTCGTCCAGTACTCCTTCACCTCACAGTCTGCTTCTGCCTCCATCCATCCTAGCCAAAAGAGGTCTCTGTGTGGTACATCACCATGACCGGATAGTCTCGGTCCTTCCGCTGTGGGGCGTTGGAGCCGATGGAGAATGAATCATGGGTCAAGTCGAGTCTAGATATCACCCGCCTTACTCGCCACGAAATTCATTCGCACAAAATTGCTCCGCTCTTGCAGCAGCTACGTAGATTGATAACGTGCCGGGATGGGCGAGCTGACGCTGAGCAGTAATCAAGTAAGCATCCCGCTCTGGGGCCGCGCGTCCATGATCCCATTGGACAATGCATTGCTATGTTGTGTATGCGTGACGCGGAAGCCAAGAAGCAAGCAGCAAGCAGCAAGCAAGACGAGGGAATAGAAAACCAAGGCGAAAAATCCGATGGGGAAAATCCTGAGCCCTCGTCGTGGTTCATACTGTACTGTACCTACCGGGGGCATGACTATTATACCTCGAGCTTACATGTATACGACATGGGTATTCTGCTCATCTACGAATGTGTGACGAGGTAGATACATAATATCTGGCATCTCCTGCCATTCTAGACCGCAGAGCCATCCCGTGGATCCAGGGGCACCACCGCGTCCAGTCTTCCCGTGGTTGCTTCTCGTGCTCGCAAAATGTTCCTCCCTTGGGCACTGTGGATAGTATTATTGCAGGTGCATACCTATGCAGGTGCATACCTATGTAGGTGGACGAGACGTTGACCGACCACGAACAGGGACAGCCCATCGTGGCCAAAATAACGCGTAAGCCCTCCTCGCCCTCCGGCCCCGACCAACATGAAGGCTGGCAGCGCGTCCTGTGGCTGAGCCTCGGACCAGACTGACACAGCTGGACAGAAACCCTCGAGCCTGGTAGCACCAAATCTCGAGCGAGCCCCGATGCCAACGCCGACTTCCTCGACAACTCCGTCCTGCTCGCCCACCTCCCTGCCAGGACGCAGCAGTTTAGATCCCTCCTCATCTGAGCCTCTTTCCGTCGTCACGATTCCATGGCTTGCCACCGTCCTTTGAAAGCTGCACGCCGACACGTCCTTCTTCGACCTGTGCGTGAAGAAAATCAAAAAGAATCATCCAAGGGGCGCTGGCGGCCAGACGTGGACACCCAACCCCTGTCTGGAAGACCTGGAAACCACGTCGTCCCCAGAGAGAACAGGTTCACGGGCTGGTATAGCCATCGGGTCCATGGTAACAATGAAAACGCAAGACTTCAACAAGGGGCATCGCTCACATACTTGCCTTGATACCTATCGACGATTACCAGGGGAACCAAGATGAGGAACGGGTGGCGCTAACTTTCCTTGCCTTGTCAAAAGCTGGCGCGTCTGCGAAACGAGACTTCCAAAAGCCTTTTGGCTGAGACATCCTCAACAGCTTTGCGTCTGAAACTGAAAGACCAACAACCGCACCGATCAGGTCATCGTCCCCTGAGAGCTTTCGCAACTGGTTTACTTGACGAGCCTGCCTAGTTGCCCAACACCGCGACAGCCGACCCAACACAGATCATGACAGACAAGCTGCCGTGAGTGTCCATCGCGCCTGACTGCGGCGGCTCTCTCGCGCGTCAGCCCCGCATAGCCCGCTCGCGAACTTGCAGAACCGTGACACGATGCCAACCTCCAGACATCAAGTCAGCGCTCCCTTGCGCTTTCTGGAACAAGGCTCCATCCTCGTCTTTGCCTCTCAAATTCAAGCGGGAGAGCGAGTAGTCATGTCATCCCTTGCCGCATGACGCCCATGAGCTGAGAGAGCCAGAATTCTCGCCGACAGCTCTGCATCCGCTCCACGTAGAATTGCGCGCAGACGCCTTCATCACACCCCCGAGACACGTCTGCTTGGTACTGCTCGAGAAGCCACAAGGTCATGCTGTTCAGTTGACGGATCACCAAGGGGTCCGCGACCACCACGGCAGGCTGCACAAAGTATGAGGGCTGTGATGAAACGGCTTGTTTAGGATTGCCGAGTGATTGATAAGTTGATTCCGCTTCACCAAGGTTCGGGCTGCTCTGGTCTGCGCTGTTTGCAGACTCAGGGGGTGGTTTGTCGTCCACACACGGCAAGCTCGTCGTTCTGCGAGACTTGTCTTGGCGATCCTGGTGCGCCTTGCCAAGTTCTATTTGGTCGTCTTCGAGGCCTTGCGGCGAGAAGGGCTGCTGGTAGTTTTCATCCCTTGAATTGCCTGACCCTGCGCTCGAGCTTCGTCTAGGCACTCGAGCCTTGTCTTGGGCAAACGGAAGATCACGGCGTTGCGGCATATGATCCCGAAAGCTCGAAGCCGCCTGCGATGCCTGACCCTGTTCTTTTTCAAACATGGTCGGCGGCGTGCCACCTCGCATGGGGTCCGTAGGGCTATCACGACTTTGTGGGCTGGGCGGCGTTCCTAGCTTACGGTGGTCTCCGTGTGCTCTCCATTCAGACGAGGATTTGGATCGGAGAATAAGCGGATGCCTGGCGGAAGGCTCATTGCGATTCACTTCCGCTGGATACGTACGAGGTCCCCACTCAGGCGTGACAGGTCCCTCAGGGGAAAAGGAGTTTCTTAACGGAGAGCTCACTCGAGGCCGATGCAGGTCGCCACTGTGTTTGCCGAGGAACAAGTTGTAAGGGTTGAGAAGCTGTGAAGCCTCGTCCGAGGTCACACGCCGCTGGAAAGCGTCTGGTGAATTGTTCACGAGGGGACTGGTGAATCCATCTTGCTCTGGAGTAGCTCTACGAGTCGGCCCAGCCGAGAGGGGGGTTTGCAACGGGAATGAGGGCAAAGTGTTGGAGTTGAGTAGAGACGCGAAGGCCCACCCGCCGTGAGCTTCGGGGCCATGGTCCATGCTCAAACCCGGTATCGGCGTGACGGAAGAGAGGCGGGGGCCCAGGTTGACTCCCGGTTGATGATGCGGCAACTGCTCGTGGGGGGGGGTTGAAAAATGCCTCGGTTCTCGCTGAGCTGCCTCGTCCTTGATGGCGAAACCAGACTTGCTGAGCATGCACGCCGAGAGGCTAAAGTCTCTGGCGTCTTGGAACGTGGCCAGAATCTCATGATGCTGCGCAGGGACGCTGACAGCCAATCGCAGAGCGGCCCTGTCGGCAGTAACCGCATCTGTCACACGGCGGGGATCGCGCAGAAGATCAGAGATTCTGATGGACAGCTGCGGCGCGAATCAGCTTGCCCAATTCAACCGCACCTCGAAGAAGGGGCAAGAGTACCATCTCTCGCAAGGCGCAATGAACGAGGAGCACGAGGCTATCCCGACCCGTGTCCCTGGACCGCTGACAATCCAGCGTCAACGTCATGCCGCCCACAAACTGCCCAGCTTCATAGACGCTCGTCTGCATGCCATCTCGAACCTCGAGTCGCGTCAGGGGACACGCAGAGACTGGGGTACGCGGCCGCGACATGGCCGACGGCTGCGAGGATGGCTGTATATGGGGCTGAAGAGAGGATCGTGAGTTCTCGATGCTGCTGTCGTGGTGGTTTGCATGAATGCCGTGGAACGAAGCCGATTGGTGTTGAGATGGTCACGTGGAGATAAGGTGGGCCCTGCATTTTCGTCCTCATCGCGCCAACGAGGCGTTCATGGCCTACAGCTGAGCCTCGAATCCGATTCCTATAATTCGCCAGCGACTGACGACCTCTGAAAGCTTCTGGACCTGCACGTCTCTTGCCTTGTCAACGTCCCGCTCTTGGATGCTGCTTTGCCGGCCGGACTCGGCGCCGCGCGACGCGACCAGAACCACGGCCCAGCTTGCGACGCGAAACAAGCCGATTCCCAGTCTCGACCGAGAGGCTCCTCAAGTACAGCTTGGAGAAGGCAGTCGCATATACAGTCCGTCTTGAGCGGGTGCCGGGGACGCCTCAATTGGCGGCTGCTAGGATGACGGCCTCGCCGGCAGAGGTGCAGATGCACAGCATCGAGCGCACGCCCGAATATGAGGAATTCATGGCCAGGCTCCGCGAATACCATGCGAAACGGGGGACGACGCTGGACCCCGAGCCCAAGGTTGGCATGATTCACCTGGACCTGTTCAAGGTCTTTAATCACATCGTCGCAAACGGGGGCTATGATAAGGTATCAGAAGAGAAGTTGGCCTGGCGACGAATGGCTGCCGAGCTGGGTCTCTTCTCCAACAACGAGGCCTCGACCGCCTTTTCCCTCAAGGAAAAATTCTACAAGAATCTGGCCGCCTTTGAAATCAGCACCGTCCACGGAAAAGAGCCTCCGCCAAAGGACATTCTCGAGGACGTCACTGCAAAAGGTGCCAGCCTGCTGACGCGCACGCGCGAAAACTTTCGAGGCAAGCGAGACGGCAACGTTAATGCCACCGACTCTGCTGCCTCGGGCGACGACGGAACCCCCACGCGTGAGCGCCCTGCCGCCGAGATCCCGACTTCCAGCGCCCGAGCCTCACGAGGCCTGCGCGAGGCCCCTCCCCAGCGAGTCATCTTCCAGCCCGACACGGGGTCGAATCGAGCGACAAGACACTCCAGCAACCAGCAGTCGACGCACGCAGCTTCACCCGCTGTTTCAAGTCAGCAGCAGCCTCCGCCGAACCATTCAAACATGCAGCCCATGCCTCACGGGGCCGGCCATCACCCCACGGGGCGCGGCCCGTCCATCATGCATCATCCGCCAAATGGCGACAACGTTTCTCAAATGGTCCTGTCGTACCAGCCGAAGCACCTGAAGCCTCTGCCGCTTCGGGCCGTGGCGACACCCGCCAGTGCTCCCCACGAGTTCCAAAGGAGTCGCCTGCCGCATCGCCCGGCTCCCGTGGATCCCGCCAACCGACAGCCCATGCTCCCTGGAAGTGAGTGGACTCCGTTCAAGACTGGGCCTGCGTGCTCCATGCTGACCTCGTGATTCACTTAGCTGGCTTTGACGGGCCCAACATTTACACTCGCTGCCTAAACGCCCTGCGGTCAGGCGTCCCTGCCGAGCAGGCGTTTGCGCTCAACCACCTGGTCAAGATATCGTATGAACGCGGGGACAAATACAGGTTTGATGCCTTTCCCGGGCTTGCCGAAGGGCTCGTCGACAAGGCGCTTCATGTCGGGAGCCTCTTCTACCATGTCCAATGGACTGTTTCGTGGGACCCGTACGTCGACGACGGCGACATTGGGTGCTTGGATGGCAACAATGGGACCCCCGACATACTGGACCGCATCCAGAGCTTGGTGGAAAGAGATGTCCCCGAAGCGCTGCAGACCGAGGCGTACGCCGACGAGCTCGTCCTCATCACAGAGGCCGTCTTGACGATACGCAACATGGTGACGCTGCCCGAAAACGCTCACAACATGTCCGACTTTTATCCTCTAAAGGACTTGGTGTGCATCATCATGCACTTGCCAGCCAAGGACTCGCTCATCGAGCTCAAGCACATGGCGCTGGACATTGCGGAACAGCTGACCCCTTTTATGGCTCTGGATGCCGACGACGCTCTCTACAAGACGCTGCTTTCCCAACTTGCCTCGGAAGACCGGGGGACGATCCTGACGGCACTGCGCGCCCTAGCCCGCATTTCGATGAATCTGGATGCCACCAACAACCTCGCGGACGTAACACCAGAAGCCCTGCGACGCATGGTAAACTGGCTGCTGCTCAACGATGACGAGCTGATTGACGCCTGTCTGGACTTTCTGTACCAGTACACGGCCGTGGTCCCGAACCTCGACCTTCTCGTTCGATCGACGACACCAGAGAACCTCGTCGATCACCTTGTTCGCCTGCTGTCTCACGGGGCCCGGAAATCGCAAAGGGAGTTTGTCTTGTACCCGGAGCAGAGGCTGCCGGCGCGGGACGAGATTGCGCCGGTGCCCGAGGATCTCTTGCAGGAGATGATGAAGTTGGAGGAGCCGGATCGCGTCCACCGCTGGGTCAAGTGCTTCTTTGACGAGGACCACAACTCATTTGTCACGCAGCTTGCGGCCTGGCAGGCATACCAGTCAGCCTTTGCCGGGCCGTTAAAGACGGCGAACAAGGCCATGATTACGCCGGCCGACTTCATCCGCAGCAGCACGTCGGTGTACAAAAACTCCAACGCTCAGGTGCTCCGCGAGCCCGGCGAGGCGCAGCAGAAGTTCATCATCCACGGCATCCGGGCCAGGGCTCGGCCGCTCAGCTTCGATGGGACCGAATACGGGAGGTGTTTGTGGGCGACGAACCCGGAGAAGAAGAATGAGAAGTGCGGGCAGTTTTACCTGAAGCCAGAGCAGATGGGGGAGCACATCCTGACGGCTCATCTTAACGAGGAACGGGGCGAAGGAGGACAGTTTGGCAACGAGGAGAGGGAGTTTCGGTGCACATGGGGCGAGTGCTTCAAGTACGAGAAGGCGACCAAGATGCGGTTGCGGGACTTTGCGCGGCACATCAACACGCACATCCTGGCGCTGCTGCCGAGCCACGATGCAGCGAGCAAGCGGTCGGCCAAGGCGTGGGTGGTTCCGGCCAAGACGATGACAGTGACGGTGGAGGAGACGATGACGACGCGAGACGAGAGGAACCCCAACGCACCCCCACAGGCGGCAGGGATCCCGCTGAGCGCGGTGCTGGTGCTACGCAACATTGCGCGCAACGTGGTCAAGACGGAGGCCGAGGAGGAGCTGGTCAAGCAGCAGCAGATGGGGGGTACGGAAGGCGGCGGGTGGAACGAGAGGCTGTTCCGGCCGGCGCTGGCACGGCTGTTTGAGATTTTGACGGAGAACAAGGCACTGGTAAGTGTTGATTGGCGGATGTGGACAAGAGGGAAAGGCAGCTAACGTGTGACAGAGCCCGTACATTGCGTCGTTGCTGGACCTGGTGCGGACCGAGGCCGAAGATGAGCAGGACGACGAGGCTTGAGCGGACGTGGCGGCTTGGGTGAGGAGGCAGGGAGAGGGCTGGGTGCTCACGGAAGGGAGAGGCAGGAATAGGGAGGATTGGGATGGGGTTTCGAGTCGAGTGTGATGAGTGCAGTCATACCCCTTGCGACGGCGTTTTGGAATAGTCTTACCGAGTACGTTTTACAAGGTATACTCTAGCATCGACGGAGCGAGACGGAAAAGGTTGTTTTGTGAAGCCAAGGTAGGTCTGTTGCCTTGTGTACCCAAGGTCTGCTGTTGATGTCGAGTCCGCCGGGTCCGGTGAGATGCCGCAGCGCTAAGAGCACGCGACACCGGCCGGATCTTGGTAGCCGAGGATCGACCCGAACGCCCTTAGCGCCCGTGTGGACCCGGGCAGGGGGGTCCGGGGGCCCGGCTGGCCACCAATCTAGTTCTAGTGGGGGTCGCACTATAGTTACGGGGGCTGCACTCCGGGGGCTGCACTGCACTACGAGTTTAGCGCCCGCCTCTAGACCTTGAAGTGAGGCTATCGCCTGTGGCCCTGGCCCTGTCCGAGTCTATTTATTTGCACGTGTTGTGTGATCCAAGGCGTGGATGCTGGCTGCGGATCTTTTGGATCCTTTTTTTGTTTCCCACCTTTCCCCTCCTCTTCAGGCGAGGGGGTGACTGGCTACCTCTTTGATCAGCGTCCTGTATATGCTCCACCGAGAGTAATTATCTGGCAGTCTGTTTTACGTCCCGAGGCAGACTCAGGGGCTTTTCGAGGCAATATGGGGACATGCTCGTCGCTTCATCAGTCACCCAGGCCATCCTTGTTCAGCTGGGGCCCTTTCTGACGCACTTCCAGGCCTTTCCCCCAAAGCCCCCCTCTGTAAGCCTGGATGATGTCCGATGCATCCCTCGGCTCGCGAGAATCCAACTCGGCGTCGTCCTGCCACCTTCCCAAGGGCGCCAAGAAACCCGGGCTTGCCTGAGGGCCACGCGTGCACGGCATGTCAAGCCCACTCTCTCGTCAGAAGCCTGATTATCCTGGCCCGTCACAACATGAGAGAAGCTCTGTTCCTTCAGCCGTGTTGCAGCGAGGCCCGGGTGGCTGTTTGGAGCTGCATGCAGCAATCAGCCTTTATCCATGTTCCTCTTTGCCTAGTCGAGTTCCTGGTCCAGAACTTCATGTTTTCGCCGTCGGCCAATCGCCAGGCTTCCGAGTCTAGCGGCTTACTTCTCTGCAAAGTTGTTGTCTTTCTTTGCGGCGCTCGTGTCTACCTCGCAGAGCCAGGAGGGATATCGCGATGGCCTTGGCCGACGACAATCTCGGTATTCAGTCCGCATCCGTTTCGGCGCAGCATCTTACCGACTTTTGACATTGTACCTTGATAATCGACACTGCCTCTTGCTCCTTGCCACAGCGGCCTCGCTCGTCGCCTCGGCACCCGCCGACGTCAAGGCCAGACAGAGGTAAGCTACTGTTGACGCGCCCTTTGATATAGACCTGCCTACCCGGGGTTTGTCTCTGCAGGCGCCTGACTCGGAATCACGCGTACAGCCGGCGGCCCTGGGCATCCTCTCCGGCAACCCGATGCAGATTGTCAAGGGCGCGCGGGACATTCGCGGCGGACACGTCAACGGCTGCCGGGCGCGAGGGGAATGCCGGTGCCGGTGCCGGTCTGGCGGCGGGGGCACCCGGCCTCTCCCATGCGTCTGCCTCGTCTTTGCTTCACAGGGGTCAACAGACGGGCATCCGCCGGGGGAGAGGAAATTTTTCTAATTGTAATATCCCAAGACAGAGCGTCACGACTGCGCAGGAGCATGGCACGACGGTGGCTTTCTTGGCCCTGGTGGCCTCTAACAGCGTAGTGTACCTGAACTCTCAATTCACTCTCTGCCATCCATTGCATAGAGCCAAGTGGCCATGACGGTGAGGTTCTGCCAACACATTCGCGGTCAAGGGAGCTAAATGGCTCAGTAATGGCAAACAAGGTCCGCACGGGGCGGGGGTTGAGGTGCTGACAGAGCCCGAGGAGAGGGGGGGAGAAGAAGAAAAGAAGGCTTTTCCTTGGTTGCCTGTTGGCCGGCTGGTTGATGCGGGGGAAGAAGGGATTGTTGGGGCACGGGGTATGGAAGAGTCTTGTTGTTGCTCATGTCTGTGCAGTGGCGGGCTCGTGATGGGACATCGAGGCCCAACGGGTCGGTTCTGGCATCATGATGATGGGCCGGGCACATGACTTGCAAGGACCGAGATTGGCCGACAGGGCTCCCATGTCTGGACTGCTGGGGATCCCGGGGAGACGGTAAGGGCATGGAAATGTCGGCTGGGCGCGTGACCGGTCGCGAGATTGCCATGCGTGGGCAGTCGGATGGGGGCGAGGGCTTGGCCCCCACGGGCACTTGTCCAGACCCAGGCCGGGCCGAGACCCAGACTTGGCGGGGATCTCTGGGTAAAATAAAATAAAAAGGGAAAAAGAAACGAGGATTGTACTGGGGGAAGTGGCTGTTGGTCGTGACAAACAGAGGGGAGGGGGAGGTATGAGGATGAGGGGGAGGAGGGATATGAGGGGGAGGAGGGATATGAGGATGAGGGGGGAGGAGGGAGACGACGAGTGACTTGCTGATTGATAATGATTCACGAGAGCAGCAAATGTTTTCCTACAGTGGCAAAAGCTCAGGTACCCGCCGTCGTGCCCAAGTACCTTGGGTAGCAAAGGAAAGGTGACGCGAGGATTGGCCCAAATAGACGCGAGCGGGCGGCGGCTGTCTGCAAACGACGCGAGCATTCTTTAACCCGTACGCTAAGGGAGACTCAAGGATACATGCTCCCGTATGCGACGCTGCTGCATTTCGCATGTACACTTTACCAAGCCGCCAACATGCCGTGCAGTACCAGCCAGGATGCATGCGGCGCGAGAGAGAGGACGAACGACCTTTTTTTTGTATACAAGCGAATGCGTCTCTCGGATACAGGGAACTAACTATCCGTGATTCAGGTACCGTGCGAGGCGCCGCGGGACCTACCCGCTGCTCCCCCCCACAGAGCGTTGGCTGGCGGAGAGCGCCGAGCCCCCTTTTCCCGCCCTCGATGTGTCCATGCATCTTCTCCTCATCCTTGGCAGAGCCGCCGACGGACTGGTTGGCCGATCGTGGACTGCCTCATGTTGCATCATTCATCATCGTGTGCGTGCGTTTCTCTCTCTCTCTCTCTCCAACGCTGAGCCGACCCTGCCTTGTCTGTCCCCCTACCTAGTCTTCATGTGTAAGACGACCGATGACAGGAAAGTAGAATGCGTTAAACACCTTCATGGACCGACTTGTAGACCATCATCAGCTCGTGGACCGACTTGCTCGAGCATCGACTCGGCAATGCCTGGCCATCATTCTCGTCGTGCTCTCCAGCCGCCATCTAATCCGAGACACCCTCACATTCCAGTCCCCCCCCCCGGAAAGAGAAAGCCCAAGAAACACCCCGTGGGGCTCGCTCTCTTCCTACAGCTTATGCAACCGTTTGTCTCAACAGCTGTCTATATGGTTGCAGACCGATATCGCACCCATTCATCCATTATTCAGCTCGCTCATAACCACGGAGCCCTCCCCCCTTTTCCTTGTATTTATGAAGTATTTCATTTTCATTTTCGCCAATTGTCTTCCCCCCAGTTTTTATTTTCCACCTCGACTCCTTTATTTTCGGTCCCCCCGTGCCTCACACCCTCTTGGATATTGGTTGTGTGTGTGTGCGCGCGCGCCCCGTTGACCTGCACCCGTTTTTCCTCGGCCCGCCATTCACGCCCTCTCACCAACTGCCTCCCCGGCTACTCATCCAACTAACAAAGAGAAAGGAGGCAGAAGAGCGGACAACCGTCGACGGATTTCGGACCATTCTTGAAACGGACACCGCACAGTTTCAAGAGTCATTCATCGACGACAAGCCCAAAAAAAGGAGGGCCGACTCTCGCTCCCATCCCATCCATCCCAGCTACCCACTTCTTCGGCACTGCGGGCCCTGCTTGACTCTTCTTTCGCTGCCGCCTGGCGCCAAGAGATTCACTTGCGCCAGCTTCAACTCTCTTTTTCGTCGATCCCGAACATCCGCTGTCAGGCCTTGACCCTTACCTTCCTTCCCGGTTCACCTCGCCACCCGTTTCTGTTACAGGACGAGGACACACCACACACACACTCTCTCTCTCTCACTCTCTCTCTCTCTGTTTTCCCTCCGACGGTCCAACGGTCGCTGAAACAGACGCGAGAAAAAAGTAGAGCGCAAAAAGCCCCCGACCAACACGCCAGGCCCTCATCCCACGCCCCCTGCTAGCCTCCTCCCGACTCCTGGCAACGCCGCCAGATTTGGGCCCCTCCCCCCTCCCCACTCGGGGTCCAACCTGCAGAGCTTTTCCGTCGTCGTCGCCAGGACGGACCAGAGGTTCCACTGTTGCGGTCAAGGAGAGCAAAGACCAGCCCTCGATTCACTTATCAGCTCGCTCTCGCGCGCTCTCCTTTCCCCCTCCCTCCCCTCTCACCTCTTCTCCTTCACTCAACTCTTTCTCACTCTCCACTTCCTCACTCTCACCCTCACTCTCATCACTTCTTCTTCTTCTTCCTCTTCTTCTTCCCTGCTGTGTCCTTTCGTTAACCTCTTAATCCCTTACTTCACCCCTACAAGTTGTCCCTCGACCAGAGAGACACAGAGGGAGAGATCTTCTCCTCTCGCCCCTTTTTCCCCTCCTCTCCTCGACAGACCACACCTTTCCTCCTCTCCCCATCACAACTTACACAATAATGGCCTCGTCGGCACGAAACGCCCTGCGGCTCTCCCGCGCCGCCGCCCCCCGTCGCGCCATCAAGGCCACCACCCCGTCCCGCTTCCTCTCCGCCACGTCCGCCCTGCGCGTCTCCGACACGCATACCAACAAGCGCGAGGTCAAGTTCACCGTCTTCGGCGCCAGCGGCCAGAGCGACAGGCATACCCTCCAGGTCCCCGAGGCCGCGCCCCGGCTCCCCGCCGATAGCCCCGATGCCCCCGTCGAGCCCCTGAGCAGCAAGGTCTACGCCTCCATGCCACACACGATGCGCAACATGACCGTCTTTGGCAAGACCATCCTCGTCACCGGCGGTGCTCGTGGCCTCGGCAACCACATGGCTCGTGCCTGTGCCGAGGCTGGCGCAAAGAACATTATCCTCTTCGACGTCAACCAGGAACTCGGTGACAAGGCCGCCGCCGAGCTTCATGACAAGTCGGGTCTGCCCGTCACCTTCTACCGCGTCGACGTGCGTGACGGCAACGCCATCAACGCCGCCGTCGAGTCCGTCACCGAGCAATTTGGCGCCCCCGACGTTCTCGTCAACGCCGCCGGCATCGCAGACTCCAACATCAAGGCCGAGGACTACGACGAGCAAATGTTCCGCCGCCTTATCGACATCAACCTCACCGGAACCTTCCTCATGTCCAAGGCCGTCGGCCGCGCCATGATGGACGCCAAGAAGCCTGGCAGCATCGTCCTCGTCGCCTCCATGTCCGGCTCCGTCGTCAACTATCCGCAGGAGCAGAGTTGCTACAACGCCTCGAAGGCCGGCGTCATCCAGTTTGCAAAGTCAATTGCCTCCGAGTGGGCCAAGTACAAGATCCGCGTCAACTGCATCTCCCCCGGCTACATGGACACGGCTCTCAACCGCGTCCCCGCCCTCGAGGCCCAGAAGAAGATCTGGAGGTCTCTCACCCCGCAGGACCGCCTCGGCGACGTCGACGAGCTCAACGGCCTCTGCGTCTTCCTCGCCTCCGACTCCTCCAGCTTCATGACGGGCGCAAACGTCCTCATCGACGGCGGCTACTCGTGCTACTAGGTCGCCCCCCCCGTCACCATCTCGCGAGACCGCTAGACGGCTCTCTGCACTCACATCCACCATCATCGTAGTGGCCGTCTTTGCCACTCACCTTGTCACCCTGCATCTTGACATTTCATGTTTGGAGTTCAGGATTTCTCCCTATTTTTCTTTGTCATACTCGCATGTGTGCGCGGAGGTTTAGCTGTCGTCTCCGACCTTGTGTGAGCTACTTTTGGCTGTCGAGAGAGAAGACGGGTGCGAGGGGAAAAGCATCGGATATAGAGGATCATAGAGAGGACAATGGCCGCATAGGCATGCTTCCATACAGATTCGGAATAGAGGGCGGCATCGCGGGGCACTACTGGTCTAGATGAATACATTAGCGAAAGTGCTTAATGATTTGCCATCATATATCCTGGCCAGCTTCTGCGACTGCTTCGAGTCCCCCTATTCTTGGTGGCGTTTGGGCCCTCGTTTCATTCAGTGTGCCGACTTGACCATCTCCATGAAACCTCGCATTGACTCCAGTCCCACTGTGTTTACCCCGAGCGGACACGCTCGGCCACGATTCCGACGGACACGCACGCAATCCATGGGCCCAGCTTTGGCATTCAACTGTTGCTATCGAATCGCTTTGCGATCGCACAAGCAAGCCAGCCATCCACTCCCAGGGGCCATCATCGGCTAAGGACCCTTGCCCATGCTCACTGCACACAGGGCTCATCGCTTCTAGTACCCTTTAGTACCCTTTCCCCTGCCTCGGCTCCTTGCAGAATCGCCAAGTTTCCTCTCCATTTCTGCTTCATCGTGCCGGCCGGCATCAATGGCCACCTCGCGCATTCCACATCGTCAGAAGGATCATCATCCCGCCATGCGGGGGAAAAAAAGGAGAATGCAGCAACCGGAGGTAAATGCCGACGGAATTGCTCCACTATCCAATGCCATCCATGACCAGCCGCCGGTTGTCCGAAGTACATTAACCAGCTTGGCCCGGCATAGACAAGAGACGGGGCGGCAACGCAATGTCTATGCAGCAGAAAAGAACTGTCCGCGAAAGAGGGGAGATTCATGCTCCCCAAAAGCAGGGCAACTTTTGTTTCAAAACCAAATCGCTGGAATCGTGTCTCCGTGCTCGAGATAGGGACAACCAGGCAGTCAAGTTGTTCGCTCAAGAGGGACAGGCTCGGCTGTCCTCGCAGTGCCTTCCACGAGGGGGGAAAGGAAGAAAGCCAGTTCGTCGTGGTTGCGCTATCCGACCACCAGGTCGACGTCGCCCGCGTCGCGGTGGCGAAGGTTGGCGCATGCAAAGAAGGAAATATCTCGCCATTTGCTCCCGAATTCTCACGATGCTAGCGTTGCTCCCTTCCATCTGGAAGGTGGGGCTCGCGTGACCCTGTGGGTTTGTGACACGGCATGATCGACTGCAGTTGCTGGTCCAAAAATGTATGGCTGTCACCACTTCGTCCAGGCACCGGCATCCGGGGTCAGTCGACAGCTGCCACGTCATTTTCTGAGAATTGGGACGAGACATCGTGGCCGATTAATGCTTCCGGGCCTTCTCCTGAGCCCGCTGCTCCCGCGCGGCTCGCACGAGAGGCGATAGTTGCGCCAGGTCAACGCACTGTTTCATGAAATCGTGCTGATTCGCGCGTTAGTACGGAAGACGGAAGCCGGTAGCGACTCGAGATGTTATGGGGGAGACGGGAAAGGAAAAGGAATGCTCTTACCCTGAGCAGATCGTGAGCGCTGGCTCGCTTCTCCGGGTCCACCTTGAGCGCAAAATAGAGAAAGTCTCGGAAAACGGGAGAGAGCTCGTGCTCGTTCTTAATCTGCGGCGTGCCGTTGGTGGCAATCAACCAGAGGGCCCGCAGCGGCGATTCCGTCAGGTATGGGGGTTCCCCTTCAATCATCTCAATGGCCATGATTCCAAGAGACCAGATGTCAACCTTGCGGCCGTATTCCTTTCTAGTGACGACCTCTGGCGCCATCCAGTATGGTGTGCCCACCATGGTCGTGCGCTTGTTCTGCGCCTCGTTGATCGTGGCACAAAAGCCGAAGTCGGCTGTGTTGGGTCAGTGAAGGACCTCGGCAATGTGTGCGCTTGCGCTCAACTTACTGAGCTTGATGCTGCCCTCATTGGAGAGCAAAATGTTGTCCGACTTGATGTCGCGGTGAATGACGCCCTTGGAATGCAAATGCTGCAGCCCTTTCAGCGTCTCGCGGCAAACTGAGGCGATCTGGCCCTCGGTCATGATGTTAAAGGTGACCACGTCCGTGAGGCTGCCGCCTTCCATAAACTCCATCACTACCCAGAGCTCTCCACCGCAGAGGTAGCTGTCAATGAAGTTGACAATGTTTGGGTGCGAGCTGTCCTTCATGACCAGAATCTCATTGATGATCAAGTCCTTCTTGGGTTGTTGCTCCAGATTCATCTGCTTGATGGCGACGAGGCGGTTGGTCCCTCGTTCGTAGCCCGTGAACACGCCGCCAGATGCGCCTTGCCCAATCTTGGTGAAACCTCGGAAAACATCCCGAGGGTCGCCCTCGTTGCAAATACGCTTCAGAGAGGCTATCACGTCGACCCCATTGCTCTGCCGGTTACGCTGTCGTGGTCTCGCCGCCGGAACGCCGGCGTGGCCGGGCTGCTGGCGGTGTGCGAGTTGGCCGTTTGCTTCAATCGGCCGGCCGTAGCCGGGAACGTGATGCGGACCGGGGATCACGGCTTGTTGAGGCGCTTGTCTCTTGCTCGGCGCCCGGCCGACATGGCCTGACATGGCCGCTTGGGCCTGAGCCAAGGCCTGCTCCTGCTGCTGCTGCATGAGCGCCTGCTGATAAGCGGTCGCTTGGGCGGCGTGATTCGGTTGAGGGGTCGGCGGGCTGTAGCGTGACTGTCCGTTGGCACGAGAGTTGGACCGTGAACGATGTTCTTCCGGCAGCATGGGCACGCCGGCCTTGCCCTGGCCATAGAAGCTAGACGCAGGATCCTCCACTGGTTGGGACATGCCGATGCCCGAGTCCTTGGTCGAGTACGAGCTCGGCGGCACAGACTTGTTGTTCATGCTGACCGGAGGCTTCGGTGCAGGTCGGCTGGGAATCATGTCTTTGCCGGGCGAGGGTTTCTGGCTACGAGCTGTCGGGACGGGGGGGGGAGGTCGAGGATTCTCAAAGCTTCCTGGAAATTGAAAACTGGTTAAAGGGAGTTCGCGAGCAGCGGGCAAGAGCCGTGATCTGGAGACTTACCCATGTAGTTGGTAGGGTACATAGCCGGCGACGTCGGATTCAACGGGGGTGTGCCGTAGTGACGCATGTCTGGAGATGCCGCGTGGTGGAATTTTTCCAGACTCTGGTCTTCGGGAGGCCGTTCTGTGGTTTCCTTGTAGAATTGCAGAATGTCCACCATTGTCTGCGGGTTTTCCCTTCGTTCCTTTTCGGGGATTCCGCTCTCGTTGATGAGCCGCTGCCATTCTTTGGGAAGACCCTGCACAAACGCGAGTTAGCACCGTCCTGCCATGGCCGCTAGGACCAACAGAGGTTGGGTGGGGGGCGGGAGAATCGACGAACAGTGAATTGCCCGGTCGAGCTGTCGTATCCTACGTGTGTGACGTGGACAGGATTCTCCGGGGCAGATATGACAGGCTTCTTCTGGGAGCCGACCAAGCTGTTGACGATGGCAGAGAGGCCTGACTTCTTGCGCAAGATGCCCGGCTTTGGCTCTTTGGCCTCGTCGGAGAAGCGCTTGGGACTCGTGACTTGGCTCTCGGGCATCCTCGCGATCTGCACCTTTTCCGAGTCGGAGGTGTCCATGCTGCTAAAGGTTGCCGCGGATCGGGGAGCCGGACTGGCAAGCTGGGAGTCGGTCGCGGGCTTGGGGGGCGGGGGAGCGTCTGGGCGCTGCAGCGAGGCTCGAGGACTAGCAAGGCCGCTGGCCTCAATCTGGCTGAGGATGGCGGCGCCGTCAAAGGGCGCGCCGAGGAGGTCGTCGGATACCTTGAGGCTCAGGCGGCGCGGGTGGAGATCGGCAAGGTGGTTCGGGGGATTGGCGAGCGCGGAGTAGGCGCTGGGGTGGTTGGTGGTGCCGACGCTGAAGGCGGCGTAATCTCCTGCCTGGGGCGAGACGGGAGATGCATTCGACGACCACTGTGCGTAGGGAGGAGACGAACTGTTGTTGGAGGCGTTGGAGTAGGAAGAACGGCCGCGGGGGGGAGGCCAAAGGCTCTGGGAGCTGAGTCTGCTGTCGACGGAGCGGGCGTCGAAGCCGCAGTCGAAGGCGGATGATGGGGAGGCGGGGTGTTTCTTGACGAGTTTGCGACGTTGAGAAAGGCCGTTGGAAGGCAAGCCCTGGCCGTCCATGATGTTGGCCACCCTTACCTAAAAAAGGTCTCAGAGAGCGGCCCGGGGCAGAGGGTGTGCAGAGCGGTCCTGCGGGCTCCGTTTATTACCACCAAAGGCCAATTTCGGCGCAGGCAGAGGAGAGCGGGAGTGGGCGGGCGTGCCAAAAGAGAGCGCGCGATGGCGTGGGATGCAGATGTCCCAGTGGAGCGGCGCCAGGTACCTCTGGGCGCTGCGCACTGGCAATAAACAATGGCCGGTACCCGTCGAGCCGTGGTTGCGAGAGAAGGACGTGTTTGGGGTACTGTGCTGTGCCTGTACAGCAGTACAGTACATGCGCGCACGTGCATGCGTGTGCGTGGTGCCTTTGTGCATGCGTCGACGGAGCCCGCCGGGCACCTCGAGTGTGGTGGCAGTGGGCGCGTTCAGGTGACGGGCCCGGGCTCGACTATCGCTGTCACTGTCAGTCTGGTGTCGAGAGGAGTGGTCGAGGACGGACGGAAAGCGAGGGAAGGGGGGAGGGGAGTGTACGTCTGATGGGCGGGGGGGAGGGGTGAGCTTTGTTGACGGGTATCCGTACAGGTAAGAAAGAAGGCCGTGCCCGTACCTACGGGTTGGGAGGAGTTGGGACGAGAGGTACCGATTTGTTTGCTCGCCCCAATGTGTTTTCTGCTGCAAGGAAGGAGGGGGCGGCGGCGGCGGTGGGAGAGGCGGAACAGAGAATAGCGCTCGTGAAACGCGCGAGCGAAGGAGAAGAAAACGAGCGGATGAAAAGAGAGAAAGGGCTGGAAATGAATCGGAGGGAGTGGCAGCCCGGACTTGATGAGAATGCGTCTGCTTGCTGTTGTCAATGCCGTTCGAGGCCATGTTGCAGATTGGGCACGTCGATACGGGTACTTTTAGCTCCAAGGGCAACCCAAACCAAAAGCGCCCCCGCCAGTGCAGCACTACAGAGGCATAAGTACGAGGCATGTTCCTGCCTTAGTAGGCATGTGGGCATGGACATGTACTGTACAGTGCGCACCGCTTGGGCACGCTAGGTTCAGCACCGAGAGCAGTCGGTTATTTCGGCGAGGGCAGCAACAAACAAAAAGCACGTCTCCCGCCTGCGATGCCGGCCTGTGGTGACCGACCCCCTGTGGAGTCCTGCCAAGTACTGTACCGACCAGAGCCAAGACGATGTACCTGGCGCGGGGCAGCAAGTATCGCTCAAAGGCGCTGGTGTTCTCTCGCTCATAACGAGTGCAGTGCAGGTCCCGTCTGTGTGAATGCCTGTACAGTGCCGGCACTGTCCCTGGTGCCCGGGTGGGTCTTGCGGGCACCTGCCTGGGTACCTCGAACGACGCTTGAGGCAGGGCTTTGTTTTGTTGATGAGTGGATGACCCTACAACTCGCTTGCAACTCTTTCAAAACATCCCCCGCGGCTAGACGTGCATCACAGCTCCCGTGCCCTCTGTCACGGCGTGGCAGCCCCTCGTGGCCTTGTGAGGTGCAGTTGGCTCTGGGGTTACAACACACACGAGGCAGAGAGCTTCAGTGGTTGGATGGCTGCATGGCACCCAACCAGATCCACTCGTGCACTTGGATGGGAAAGCCCTGAGGGTACTTTGTAGGCGCACTTGACTTTTCCACCTCATCCGATCAACACCCACATGTACTGTACAGTGTACAGTACCAATACAGTACCTACCTACCTACCTACCTACCTACCTACCTTACTTGGAACACAAGCTTCAAGCAAGACCGCTGGGAGCTTCATCGAGGCTGCGATTCAGGCAGAATACACAATACACAACATGATATCACTTTGGAGGCCTTACTAATGCAAGTTGGCTTGGCTTGGCCAAGCTCATTGCCAGGGGCCCAACCCAGCTTGCATTCCTAATCTGAAACGCTCAGCATCTCGTCGTGGGCGCAACAAAAAGCGCATCCACGACATGATCCCAGGCACCACCGTCATTGCGGGCGGGCGACGACCTCTGGTCCGTTGGCTGTTGGTCCTTGGTCCGATGCTCGCCCCCCAAGGCGAGAACAATGAAGACGTTGCAAGGGTTCGCTGCCCGAGTACAGTTATGTACTTACAGGCAGACCTGCAACCATGACAGCGACAGAGGTCTCATTACTGAGGCACACACATGCGGTACACGCGGCATGCTGCACGGCTACTCGAGATGATGTGTTCCATACGGACTGTACATACCTCCCTGACCCATCTCCAGAATCAAATCGAAATGAGCGTCTGTCGGCTTCCATGGCGCAGGCTCCGCACATGCCTCGGGCCGCTGCTGCTTCCGGCGGCTCAGGAACCACGCTTTAGGGTAGGTGGGCGAGCGAGCGCGGGCGTCACGGCCGCTGCATCTTTGGGCGGCCGCAGCGCCACCAACAGACCGACAAGGGAACTGCTCCAAGAGCCCAGGGGACAGCCGACGCGTCGCGCCTTGTTGACCAAGGCATCGGCCTCTTACCTGACGCATGGAGGTCGGGGATGCGGGCGCGAAGCCGGCGTTTGGCCCTCGTGTAGCCGGGTTATCCTTGCCATGGCCCCTTGATTGATTGCTCTCGTCTCATCCAAGCCTTGCTTGTCGAGGGCACGGCCGGCTCAGACATGTACCGTACAGTAATGCGAGCAAGCCTCAACGTCAGTGAACGGACAATTCCAGTGCCGCCAACAGACAGCGAGCCCGGGCTCCAGCCTCTCTGCTTCCCCTGGAAGAAGCCCAAAGAACGGCCTCGAGACATGGAGGCGCAGGTACCGCACCCCAATAAGCAAGTCAACAAATCATCTTGTTGGCAGGCGTTTGAGACAAGTTCCCCGCCTCTCCAGCGCTTCCATCCCAGCAGTCTGCCTCGAGGACGAGGGCAATCCTGGCACCGAAATAGACTACGGAGTAACTTAGTTAATAGCACTCGCATGCTCAAGGGAAAGCGCATCGGCGATGCAGAGCACGGGCTAGGAAGCCTATGGCCTTGGCATCAAGCCAGGTAGCTGTACAGTACAGATGACGATTCTTCAAGCGTCGTCCGGTGTCACCTTTGCATCCTGACCATCGGCAATGTCGCCGCTGGATTGGATATCTGTCTTCCGGCCCCGTCCAAAGTCATCTCATCCGGGAAGCGAGATATCTGCAGCTCACCGGGCGGGCACCTTTCCTCTCTTAATCACGGGAAATCAGACAACAATGAAACCTGGACCTTACTCAGAGTCCCAAGCAAGCAAAGGCAAGCCCCAAGGTCATCCGTCTGGGCCGGAGGCTCCCCCAGATAAGTTAAATTACTTGTTCTGCCTCGTTCAAGTCCATGGACCGCCGTACAGTGTGTGCGACTGTCGCCGATCTTTGCTCTCGGTCGTCGGATCATCTGCCTTGTCTTTCAGATCCCTCGTGGGATTAAGCTGCAGCAGTATTAGCCCCTGACCCATGATCCTCGGCTAATAAACTTCTGACGATGCGGAGGGTTCGGCGAGGTCATTCACGGAGACGCAAATCGCTCGTTCCCCAGACTCCAGGCTTGCTTGGCATGCATCCTCGGCGAGCAATCGATTAGTGTGCATTTTTAGTTTAGCCTCCCGTGAAGATAAAAAAACAGGCAAGTCGACGTCTTCTCGAGCTCGTCAACCACTGCAGCCTACCTACCTAATAATGGAACAGGCGCAGCTGCCCCTCCCACACCCCCTCTGGTACCTATCAACAGATTTTCCGCCACATCACCCTGGGGCATTTGAGGGGTCGACCACTCACCTCATCTGAAGGGAACGTGTCATGAAATTATACGTTGCACGGAGTACATGCCCGAAAGACACCGAGTGAATTAGGTACCCAACCGCCCGATTCTTCCTTGAACATCGAGCCCACTAAGGTAAGTAGGTACCTGCCTCAAGGTACCTTAGGTAAGGCAGTACATTAGGTACAGTAAGCAGTGGTCTTTGCCCACCGTTCAGCACGCACAAAGTCGCCAAGTCACCTGATCAGTCCCGTGACCTAATGGCCTGTCCTTTTTCAGGGCCACTCCCGCTCCGTCTTTTCTGTGGGGACCGTTTCACCGCCGTCGGCCAGATCCCTGACTGGCCAGAAAAGCCAACGTGAACTTGGCGAGGAAGGCTGGAGAAACTTCCACCTCGCCGTCATCTCTCGTCTCGCATCGCTGCTGTCCATCCGAATCGTCCTCAGCCTCTCTGGTCTCCGCCGCCTCTTCTGGTCTGTTCTTCTGGTAACCGGTAACCGTTGTCTTTGGTGTCAGCATCATGCTCTAGGCACCATCGACTCTTCTCAGCGTGTCTTGTACTCTCTCGGAAAGCCCCCGCCCAAAGCCATCCTCCACCGTCTCTCTGCTCGTGCGAGAGACGACTTTGCTACGCCCAGTAACCAGCGCTGGTACGTCGAGCAGGTGCGCCGGGACTCGCTCCAGCGCACACTTACCCCGACCCCATTTGTCCATGGCAATGGCTTGCTCACCATACCTATGCAATAGTTGTAACTCCCAACGACTACCCATCTGAATAGAACAATTGTCCCTCCTCTCGGTCGCCTGCATCGCTCGAAACATGTCTTCTGGAAACACTGCATCCGCTGCTGGCCTCGTCAATGGCGGCGAGGAATCTGCCGCTCAGAAGCTTCTCCAGAAGCACGCCGAGACTCCCCACCACGTCACTGTGGAGGATGCCCCGGACGAGGACGAGCCCGTCAAGCCCGCCGCCGATTCCGCCGGCTCGCAAGCCCCGTCCATGAGCGCAAAGGCCGCGGGCAAGCAGAAAGACAGCCAGGGTCCAAAAGCACGCCTCGACACCCAGTCGCATGAACTCTTCCCCGAGCTCGGAGCCCCCAAGGGTAAGAGTGTCAATGTTGCTCCCGTCTGGGGCGCCAAGAGCAATGCCAATGGCCCATCCAACGGTGCTGCCTCCAATGGTGTTTCGCGATCCTCGACACCGGCTTCGGGCGCTGCTACCCCAGCCCCGGCCGCCACTCCGTCCATGTTCATCCCTGGCCGCAACGTCGAGTCTGTCACCCTGGAACCGCAATTCATCCTGCCACGTGGCCAACTGAAGCGCCCGATTCCGGACATTATGAAGGACATCAACCGCAAGTCCCGGGCCAACGTCACCATGGCCACGGCTTCCAACGGTCGTCTCCGATTCGATGCTACCGGGCCCCAGGATGTCGCTCAACAGGCGCTCAAGGACCTGGTTCAGCAAATCGGGACAAGAGTACGAACTGCGCATTGAACCTCTTTGCCCATGAAATTGACTCCGTGGCTGACATGTACCAGACTTCTGTCAAAGTCCCCATTCCTCACAGCGCACGAGCCCACATCATCGGCAAGGGTGGTTCAACCATCAGGGCTCTCCAAGAGAAGACTGGGGCCAAGATCCAGCTGCCCAAGGTCGAGGACAATCCCGCTCTAGACGAGGACGACGACACTACAATTGACGTCATCGTCGAGGGCAATGCTCTCTCCGCCGCCTCGGCTCGGAACGAGATTCTCAAAATCGCGGGAGAGCGGGCGGCCAACGTGCAGACAAAGGTCCGCGGCATTCCCGCAGCTTTCTATCCCTTCATCGCTGGGCCGAGCAACTCCTTCGTGCAGACCTTGGAGGACAACAACGGCGTGCAGATCCGCGTCCCTGCTCACCAGGCCTTTGTGCGCGCTGCGCCGCCGGTGGCTCCCGGTCCCGGTCAAAGACCCGTCTTTTCTCCCGCCGGGGCTGACGATGACCACATTCAACTTGCTGGAGACCGAGCCGCCGTTCAAAAGGTTCGTGCCGAGATTGAGCGTCAGGCAGCCGAACTCCACAAGCAGCTCGAGACAGAGCAGCTGTCCATCCAGAGAGGCCGGCATCAGTTCATCGTCGGCAGCCGAGGTCTCCCGGCCGAAGACTTCTTTGCCGAGACCGGCTGTGCCATCTTGTTGCCTTCTGATGGCGAGGACGACACGGTGACCGTGGTCGGGCCGGCTGACCGAGTACCGGCCGCTCTGGACAAGGCCATGGATCTGGCCATGGGGATGCAAATGTCCAACATTGATGTTGCAAGATTCCACCGCAACGCTCCGGGCGGAGCTGCTGCCCATGCCGGCTATGTCACTCGCTACCTGCGGCATCGCAGGGAGATTGACCGTCTCGAGAAGCTGTACAACGCGCACATCAACACTCCGTTCTCGCCGGACGGCGCTCTGCCTTGGGAGCTGTATTCCCGAGAGGGCAAGAACGCCATCCGGGCGCAATCTGAAATCACCGGCATCATCAATGGCCACCCCCCGTCACGAATGCAGGCAATTCCAATTGACCCATTCTTCCACCAACACCTGCGTAACGACATCACGCCAAAAGTCAAACAGGACTATGGTGTTCAGGTGGTTGTTCCCGATACCTCGGAAGCCAACGCCCCAGTCTTGTTGGTCTACGAGGGCCCAGAACCGACTGAAGGGCTCTACCAACTTCCTCGCACCCGCCCGTCGGATTCGGAGATCCAGGCGTTTCAAAGGAGCCTCGAAGATGCGCAGAAGCACATCCTCGACCTCATCAACAAGCAGGAAGCCATCACCAGTGCATCTCTGGACGTGCCCCCCAAGTTCCACGAAAGACTTCGAAGGTTCATCAAGAAGGAACAGGAGAAGAGATCGTCGGATCAGATCCCTATCAGGGTAACAAAGGTCGGCACGACTATCACGCTCCGCGGCCCCGAATCTGCGGTCCAGTCGCTGGCTAGCAAGGCCGCGGCCTTTGTCGAGCAGGAAAAGGAGGATGAAAAGGAACGCGGATTCACCCTGACCTTTGACTTCCCCCAGAAGTACGCTAACCACCTCATCGGCAAGGGAGGCAGCAACATCAGGGAGCTCCGCGACCGCTTCGACGTCGAGATCCAGGTCCAAGACGGGAAGGTTGAGTTGAAGGGCCCCAAGGCCAAGGCTGAAGCTGCGCGGTCTCACATCCTCAGCCTCGGCCGCGCCCTGGCGGATGAGACGACGCATGTGCTCAAGATTGACCCCAAGTATCATAGGGAGCTGATTGGGGCGCAAGGCGGCCAGATCAACCGCTTGCAGAATCGCTACAAGGTTCTCATCTTCTTCCCGCGATCTGCGAAGAATGCGGCCGACGATCAGTCCAATGCCGACGCGGCAAGCGAGACTGGCAAGCCCCGCCGGCAGCAGGCGCCGGACGAGGTGATGATCCGCGGGCCCAAGAAGGGTGCCGACGAGGCCAGGGACGAGATCTTTTCCCTCCACAAGTACCTCGAGGAGCACTCTGTCACTGCGGCAGTCCCGGTGCAGCAGAAGCAGGTCGGATCCCTGATCGGCCAGGGCGGCGCTGCATTGGACGAGCTGCGGCAGGCTACGGGTGCCAGAATCGACGTACCCGCGGATCGTGACACGGACATTGTGGACATCTTGATCAAGGGTACTGCGTCCCAGGTCGCCAAGGCGCGCAAGGTGCTCGAGGAGAAGCGTGCCGTCTTTGACGACACCGTTGTCCAGACGATTGACGTGGACAAGAAGCTTCACAAGGCCTTGATTGGCCCTGGCGGTAAGAGCTCGCTTCCGAGGTGCGCCCTTGAGGCCCAGTGACTGACCAGCCTCCAGGCTCCATCCTCCGGAACATTGTGGTGGAGGCCGGCGGCTCCGACGATCGACGCAGTCTTGCTCGTACCATCCAATTTCCCAAACAGGATGCGGACGGCAATACGATCAAAGTTGAGGGGCGGACCGAAGTCGTGCAAAAGATTATCAAGCGCATCCAAGAGATTGTGGCCGAGCGAGGGAGCCAGGTGACGGAGGTGGTGGACGTGCCCATTGACAACCACCGGTCTCTGATTGGCCGCGGCGGAGACGTCAAGCGCCAGATGGAGTCCAAGTTGACTGTGTCCATCGACGTGCCCCGGCAGGGCGACGGCAACACCGGCGTCAAGGTGACGGGCCGACCAGAGAACGTGGCCAAGGCTAAGGAGCACATCTTGGACATTGTCAAGCAGCAGCAGGGTGAGACAATGCAGATCCCCCGCTGTGTCCACCACGCCGTGTCCAACAACGGCCAGATCTTCCGTCAGCTTCGAAACAACTACCAGGTGACGGTGGATCATGCGGGCCAGAAGGTGCCGGCCAAGTCCGACTCATCGACCAGGGCCAACGACGGAGCGCTGCCGTTGATCACAGACGACGCCGACGCGACAGCGGATGTGCACTCGTGGAAGGTGGTGAAGACGGCGTCAGGGGAGCAGGGCGACATTGCCTGGGTCTTGAGGGGCACGCCCGAGAACGTGGCCAAGGCCAAGGAAACGATCCAGAAGGCGCTGGAGCAGGCGCAGCAGAATGACTCGACGGGCTATCTTGTGCTTCCGGATCCAAAGACGTATCGCCACGTCATTGGGCCCAACGGCTCCAAGGTCAACTCTATCCGGCAGCAGAGCGGCTGCAAGATCCAGGTGCCGCGGGATCAAGCCAAGGACGAGGCAATTGAAATTGTGGGCAGCGAGGACGGCGTCGAGAAGGCCAAGGATCTGGTTCTGGCGGCAGTCCGGGAGGCGCTTGACAGGGCCAAGGAGTAGGCTAAAGGCCGATTTCGAGGTTTCGGTGCCGGTTCAAAAAAAACCCCCAGAAAGGCTGGGGCTTTGGCTTCCGAGGCAATGCTCGTGCTGGGGCGAAAAAGTGAGGCAACGGGGCACTATATCTATATATACAAGGCAAGCTACGAAGCTAGTGAGGAGTATTGCATCGCGACTGCACAACCTCGGCGCGATGTGGCGGAGGAAGGGCCTTGGGGGTTCTGGGGGTCATAAGCAGAAAAGCTAGCTAGGAAACAGTCTGTCTACAAGTGCTGCAGATTGATGCTCGAAGACTCGTGTCATGATGGTGGGCTGCTGGTGACAAAATGCGGTGACGCTGGACCCGCACCCGCACCCTGCTAGGACCCTGCTATGAGCTTTGGCTCTTCGTACCCGTAACCTTGACGGCAAATACTGTCTCACATGCTCGGACGACGACACACTCTCTCACCCTCAAAGCCATTGGCGTTTGATTGTGCTGCTGTTTCTACACCGCAGTTTCTCCCCTTCCTCCGACCGGCCAGGATCACCACATCGGAAAAGCTCGAGGGCGCACGCCCCCATCCTTGCCTGGCGAATCAACGACGACGGCCGACGACGACAAACACGGCGAGGTTGAAGGTCACGGAAAACAAGTCATGGTAGCCAGCAGCGCATCTACAACGGCGGACAAGGCCGCGCCGTCAGCGCCGTGGGAGTCGGCGCCGGCGCACGAGCAGCTCTTCGTGCTCATCACGGGGGCCAACAGCGGCGTCGGGCTCGGCACGGCGCAGCGGCTCGTCGACGAGTTCCTGGCGACGCGCGGCCCGGCGGCGCACCTGGTGCTGCTGGCGACGACGCGGTCGGCGGCCAAGGCGCGGGAGGCGATTCGCGAGGTGCGCGCGCACGCGCGGCGCGTCGCGGCGCGGCTGTACGGCGCGGGGGGGAGGTGTGCGTGCCGGGATGCCGTGGCGAGGATTCATGTCCTTGGCTTGACGCTCGACTTGTGCGACTTGGCGGGCGTCAGGGCGTTTGCGAGGCGGCTTGTGCGTGGGCGGGTGAGTAACCCGGAGCCGGAGCCGGGCCACGACGATGACGAGTATCTGCGCGACGTGAGGGTGCCGCGGCTCGACTGCGTCGTCTTCAACGCGGCGTACGGCGGCTGGGAGGGCTGCAACTACCTGCTGGCCGTCTGGTCCATCCTCACAAAGGGCCTCATCCAGTCCGTCACCTGGCCCGACTTCAAAACCGCCCTGCCCACCGCCATTCTCAACGAGCAGCGGCAGAGCTACGGCTACTACGTGAGTTTCTCCCTTCCCACGAAAGGCCCTCGTCTCTCTTTCCTCTGTGCGGTGCCGTCCGACTCCCGCTGAAGAATGTGCTGTTGATGTCGGTACAGCCCGCCTCTCCTCTCCTCGGCGAAGTCTTTACCGCCTGCGTCTTCGGCCACTACATGCTCGCCCACGAGCTCCTCCCCCTTCTCAGCCGGCGCCCCCCCTTGTCGTCGTCTACGCCAGCACTCGCCCCCGGCCGCATCGTGTGGTCGTCGAGCCTCGAGGCCGTCAGCCGCGTCTTCTCCCCCGACGACTTCCAGTGCCTCAACGGCCCCGCCGCCTACGAGTCGGCCAAGCGCCTCACCGACGTGCTCGCCCTGACGCACTCGCTCCCCGCCGCGCGGCCCTATTCCTCCCGCTGGCTGACCATGGATCACGACGACAACGACGACGACGAGAAGAAGACGCAGCAACCTCCTGTTGTCCAGCCACCCAAAGTCTACCTAACACACCCGGGCATCGTCGCCAGCACCCTCTTCCCCGTCCCCTGGTTCCTCTTCTGGGCCTACGAGCTCTCCCTCATCCTCTCGCGCTGGCTCGGCTCCCCCTGGCACACCGTCGACGGCTACAGCGGCGCAAAGGCCGCCGTGTGGCTCGCCCTCGAGCCCCAGGACGCCCTCGACGACGCCCGCGCCCACCGCGTCAAGTGGGGCAGCTCCTCGGACCGCCACCGCCGCGTCCACGTCAAGAAGACCGAGGTCGAGGGCTGGGGCTGGGAGGGCCGCGTCCAGGTCGTCGGCGCCCACGACGACGACGACGCCGCCGCTTCGCCCTACCAAGTCCTCCGCAAGTCGATTGGCCGCAAGCACGGCGTCGTCGACGCCACTGCCGAGGACATTGTGCGCTTTGAGGAGCTTGGCGCCACTTGTTGGAGGGAGGTGGAGGAGATGAGGGCCACGTGGGAAGCCATTCTGGACAAAGAAGAGTTGGCCAAGGATGTCTAATGTGGCATCCATCGTGACGCTTCTTCGCCAGGACTGTGCACATAGGTGGTATTTAATTAGTCCCATGGCGAGGAAAATGGTACGTCTCTCAAACAAGTTTTCTTTCGTTGGAACTAGATCCAAAGAGCGTGAGGTCAGTCGCCGTGGAGCGACGCGACCGACTCGGCTAAGGGTATAACTTAATTCATTCACATTTGCGACATTAACATGGTCATCCGTCAAATACTTTGAACCCGCCTCCAAAGCGCCGTGCTGCGAGCGTATGTTGGCCAGCCACTACATGACGCTTGTGCCGCAAAACCAAGTAAAATGCCCATCACTCGGACAACTTCCGTCTCCTTGGCTATGCCGCGAGAGTATTCCCGCTCCGGTCGCCCATCTCGATGCGCCTCAACAGCACCTTGTCCTTGCGCCCAAAGGCGCCGAGGAACAGCGGCAGCGGGCAAACGACCATTGCCAGGGCACCCTGGAAGATGAGGTTCTTCTTCATGTTCATGGGCGGGTCGCCGTCGGGCCCGGCGGTGAGGGGGGTGCTGATGATGACGAAGATGGCGCCAAAGAGCTGTCCGCCGGCCCAGGCAATGGTGGATGTGACCTCCGGGCTGAGGGGGTGGCTGAGCTCGATGAGCAACTCGAGGGCGATGGGGACGTTTGCGAAGCTGGCGGCGCCGAGGACGGCGAGGACGATGTAAGGCCCGGTGACGGTGCGGGTCTCGGGCATCCAGATAAAGGCAAGATAGCAGACGGCGATGATGGGGATCATGGACTTTTGAGCGGGCAGGAAAGCCTTGGTACGGTCGAGGATGGGGGAGCTGATGGCGGCGAAGACGAGGCCGACGAAGATGAGGATGGCGCCGGCAATGCCGGCCTCGTCGGGGGTGAAGCCGTAGGGCACCAGGAACTGGTTCAGGAGAGACGAGAGGGAGTTGAAGAAGCCGACGAAGACGAAGAAGGGGATGAGGATGAGCCAGATCTCGAGGGAGCCGGCGACTACACGGAGGGATTTGCCGAGGCTGAGCTTGGGGGTTTGGGATGACGGACCGGCGGGAATGGGGGGACTGGCTGGGACGAAGATTGCGGGGACGCAGCAGACGGTGGACTGTGGGAGTGTCAGCATGAGGTTTGCACTGCACGCTGCTGGGTTGCAACAGGCGAGCGGTCGAGCGGCCATGTTGGTGAGGAAAGGAAAGCGGCATGGGGGAAGGGGGAAGGGGACATACAATGATGGAGACATAAAGGACCAGGTTGGAAATGTCGCTGGCCTTCTTGACCAGAAGAGGGTTGATGAGCTGACCGAGGGCACCGCCCAGGGGGTTGGCCAGACTAGTGACGGCCGTGGCAGCGACACGGCCGCGGTCGGTGAACCAAAGGTCCGAGTAGCGCGTGGGGGCGGCGAGGATGAAGGGCTGGGAGAAGCCGATGAGGATCTCGCCCGCCATGGCATGGGCGATGTGGCCGCCGTTGGGGTTGGTGGAGCCGGCATAGCGAATCCAGTTGCCGATGAGCATGAGAAAGGCGGCGACGAGAAAGGCGGGCTTGGGCCCGCGGTGGATGATGGCGATGGCGAAGGGGAAGACGACGACAAAGGCGAGGAAGAAGGCGATGCTGAGCCAGTTGATGGCTTCCAGGCTGACGCCGTAGTACTCTGCCGAGGCGTCGGCCACGGGGGCGTACGTGAGCCACTGGGGACTGTCAGAGAGCGGTTCAGGGGTTATTACGGTCGTCGAGGCGAGACTTACATCCCAGGACACGACAATGTTCATGAGAGACAGCTGGACGAGGCCGAACCAGCGCCTCTTGTAGGTGCGATACTCTTTGGGATGGCCATTGGCAAGACTGCCGTCGGGCTCATCGATGTGGTAGGCGCTGGGCTGGCGCTCGACGAGGTCGTACTCTTGCAAGTCGAACTTGGTGCCAGGAGAGCGGCTGCTGCTGCTGCTGTCCTTGGCCATGACGAAGAGCAGCGGCTGAGGAGGAGGGCGGGCGAGAGTGGTAGGGGGGACCGGGCTTGGGTGGCCGGCCGCAAGAGTAAGTGCCGCCAGGAAAAGACGAACTAATTAGCAGGAACAAGGGATTTGGCTTGGCAGGCCAAGGCCTCGCATAGACTCGGTAGCAGAAGAGTTGAGGACCGGAAGCACGAGAGATGGAGGCTCGGCGTCGTTTTGGGTTGCGAGTGATGGCGCACAGATGGGGTCATGCATCAGCTCGTGGCGGACGGCCGGTGACGTACGACTGGCATGTTGAAACGACTTTTGGCGCTGGAAAAAGAGCGAGGAATGGAGAGAGAGACAGAGGAGGAGGAGGAGGAGGATTCTGAACCAGGAGCCTGGAGATGCGAGGAGGACGAGGACGAGGACGAGGGAGGGGGAGGGAGGACGAGGTCGAGGCTTGTATTAGTACCTCGAGACCAGCACAGCAGAGAGGGTCGAGGGTATACACAAGACGATCTATGGTCAGGGAGTTGAGGCAACCCATGCTCCACGTCTCGCCACTGAAACGTGGGGCCAATCCCTATTCGGGCGACCTATACTTAGTAAATCATTAATCTACGTAAGGTATCAAAATGCATTTCATTCCTCCTAATCCTGCTCTTATTAGTTAGCCACGGCTAGTTGGGATTAGTAGAGCTAATTCAGGATAAAGATGGTACTAAAGCTCAAAGCTAGCTATAGAATATGTTGTCGTATTTTTAAGATAGTAACAAGGAAAGCACCCATTGTAAAGGTATCTATAATAGCTAAATAATGCATGAATTCAGTTAATCTAACCCATGCTCTCTACTTATAACATTTCCAGCCAATGAAATGCTCTTGACCATATGTCGCCTGAGTAGGGATTAGCTCCACCTTCAGTGGGGAAACGTGGAGCCTGTGTCGCCTCAACTCCCGGACACTTCAGGACAGGCCTCGTCAACACGGTCAGCTGTACTTCAGAGCACAGGAAACGCCATGCCTGGGGCTCTCTACAGTGCACTTGTTGGTCGATCCGGGGGCGACGACGGGGAGCCAACGCGCCACCACTGCGGGGCGAGGGTGCCCGTGGCAGGGTAGTTCACTGCGGGGACCGCCATTCCCAATACGTACATAAGTAACTTACTTCTTCTATACATCAACGTGGGTGGAAAATAGGGCCAACCGTTATAGAAGGTATGGAGCCTGCAGCGCTGCCAAGGCGGGGGCCAGTGCTAGTGGGCCAACCTTATCTCACTGTCACAGAGAGAGACCTTGCTTTTTCCACCAGACACGTTCCAGCTGTCTCCTTTTTGCCCCGCTGCCTCTTCCCACAGGCCGCGCACACACGGACAAGACCCCCCGAGCTCACCGACGTATGCCCGCTCCTCGCCCCGGCTCCCGCGGCATCGGCTTCTCCGACAGTGTCGCTCGTCGAGCACCCGCTCTGCGTGCCTGCTGCTGCTGCTGCTGTTGCGGGCACATGGGCCGTCAAGACGCCTCTTTTCCATCGGCGAGCTCAACCGGCCGAGGGGGGGGGCGTCGCTGTCACTGCCTATCCATATCTACCGTGTCAGCGGGATGGAGGCCACAGCTTTCGTCGTCTAGAACCAGCCGTCCCTGTGTGTGTGTGTGTGCGCGCGCGCGAGAGGCCTGCGGGCCGCATCCGAGGAAATGGGGCCGGCCAGCTGCTGCGTGGATACGGATACACACGAGGCGAGATCCATGGCAGCTTGCTTTTCCCACCCCATGCCAGGCCCGCGGACGAACCGGGTGGTATGAACAAGTCTCTTGCTTCTCTGCTGGGCCAACCGACGCTTCCGCACATGCCCTCCTCACAATGTTCCCTTCATCGTCAAAAAGCCACCACAGCCTGCAAGGCTGGTTACATCGGCCGTAAGCCGTGGTCGCCCACCGCCGCTACCTTAATAGCGCGCGCCCTACTTGGACGGCGTCTTGGTTCTCGGCTCGGCCACACAGGAACGCAAGACATGGCTTTCGAATCACATGTGAGCCAGGGCTCAATGTAGCGCGACTTGCTTCAAAAGTTCCCACCCCTTCTGGCCCTCTCACTGGCCCGCTCACTGGCCCGACTACTTTGGTACTGTCTCGCCCTCTCCATCTGCACCCTTTTTTTTTGGGTCTTGATGTGGTCATGCTCCAGCAGGAATGCATGACGTCTGCCTCTGTACACGCCAGCCGTTTCCAGCTACAGGGTAGGAAGGAAAAGAGGTTCCGGGGACACCTCCGGCCTCGGAGCGTGTTGACCACGGCACCCAGTAAATGGTTTTTCTTCCATCATCCCTTCATCCGCAGCTGCCTCGGTTCACGGCCTCGACGACATTCCTGCCACGCATTCGTCCATCCCTTGTCCCCGTTCACCTTGAGACCAGCCCATCTGTCGTCACTGCACCTGTGCCCTCCTCACGCCTGGACAAGAAAAGCATCTCCATATTTTGTCGCATGTCGTCGACAGACTGCCGCCGTCCGTGGAGCAGACTCTGGAACCATGTAAAGCCGCAAAGCACCGACCATCATCTTCTCCTTGTCCAGCCATATTTGATCCCGACAGCGCGGGAGATCAGCACCCTCCCGGTCCGCCGCCGACTCCACTCCTCCCCCTTGCCCACGGAGCCGGCCATCGCCTTCTCCGGCTTGCCGGGCCTTTCCCTACTACACCAATGAGCTTGTGTGTGCTTGTTCTTGGCACACAGGAGAGCGGCTCCCCTGCTCCGCCCTCCCGTCCGGGAATGGAGAAGAAGTTGCTTGTACTGTAATGCACTCCGACTGACATACTCCTTGTAAAATAATATGAATGATGTAAGAGAGAAAGACGGGTGAGGGGAGGGGGAGGGTGTTTCCAAAAGAACACAACAAACCAAGGAAACACCCCCTCCCCAAATCAATTTCCATATCGCTCGACACCTCTTCGCCTCACATCTTCTCCAAAGTCCGTGTGACGGCACAGACCAAACAATGTTAGGTAGCAGTAGGTAGGTTGGTAGACGCGGCATCCAACCGCACAGTCCCCGCGGCAGCACCACGACCACGCCGCCCGTGTCCTGCAGGGCCCCAAGGCCTCCCAAATACCCATCCCCATGTCGCGGTTCACACACAGCAGCTTCCCCCGCCCTTCAATTTGGGGACCTGCGATGGCCTCCTGCCGCTTCGGGCAACTCGTCCGATCTCGTCGGGCCGTCATCGACAGGAACCCCCCTTCGAGGTTCTCGTGCAGCGGGTCCTGCCGCCCCCAAGTGACAGACATAGAAGCACACCTTGGTCTTGACGCTGGTTGAGCCGCTAGCAAACTCTCGGAGACAAATGTAACGCGTGAGACGGGAGTGAAGGGGGAGGGACGGCAACTCTCACCAGGTTTCTTTTGAACTTAGCAGATGCCGTTTTGTCGGTTGGTAAAAGCCTTTCGCTGCGTCGTTTCAGCCCTCGACATGATCAATGTCCAAGTTTATCGTTGTGGCCACCGTGGACGGTGAACGGTCTTGTCTGAAGTCTGCTGAACCCACTCGGCCGCAAGTTTCGTCGGCCTGCGTGCGTCGAGGCCCGACGAGCACCCCAAGTTCAGCACGACTGTCGTCCCGTTCTGCAGCAGCAGTGCAAACCGGCATTTCCAAACATCCAAGCCTACCGTGCCCATACGACTGGACCATCCCATTCGAGACCCAAGTGCTGGAAAAAGTCACCGCAGAGGCAACCCACAGCGCAAGGTTAGTAGAGGGAAATTTCTATTCAAGGGCGCTGCAGCATTATGATACAGGCGGGACCGCCGAGCCGGAAAGGCGACGTCTCTCCATCAGGGCCCATGACTTCCAGTTTCACGTAGATCGTACAAGGACGCAGCTCTCCCGGCGGAGCAGTTGCCGGCTCGCCCCAAAAAAAGTGACAAGAGCTTGTTGAAGAGCACCGATTTCCAGGCCTCTCCTTGTTCAGACGCCCCGAGGCCAAAGACGCGGTTGAGTTCTAAGCTTGCCGATGCATTACTTGAGCTTCGACCAGAGCTTGGGGGCTGCACATGCCGTGGCGCAGTGCGCGAGGTGGAAAACTGCAAAAACGTCAGCGGCGTTGGTCCGCAGAGAAAACCGTCTTCCACATGCCACGTCTGGCAGATGGGAAATATTGGGGGCTGCGTACATTCTTCCACGCAATCCTCCTTGGCCTCGCCCTCGCTCTCCTGTTGCTGGACGCGCTCCACACAATCGTCAAAGTGATGCTTGGCGGGGGCGCATTGCGCGGACTTCTTGCACTCTGGAGGTGGAATCGGTCAGTACGCATGCAGCAAAGGGACAATCAGGCCTTCCAAGCGCTCGCCATGTCACGGTGCAAACAACTGCCTCGAGTCGCCAGGGCATCCAGGCTCGATGTGCAAGAGGGCCTGCGACGCGACGAACCTTCTTCGAGAGTTTCTTTGGGGTCGATAATCTCTTCTTCATCCTCCTCCTCCTCTTCTTCCTCCTCCTCCTCCTCCTCCTCCTTGGCGTCCTCAGACTCGGCCTTGTCCTCTGCGGGGGGGCCATCGTCTTCGCTCTTCGTCTCGGCAGCCGGATCCTCCTATAGCGTTGGTCAATCAAAATGTTCCCGAGAAGCTTCTTCGACCAGTCCGCCCCGGGTTGCCGCAGCACAGGGCCAAAGGTCGTCGAGGGATCAAAACTGATTGGCGTCAGGGGCAGTTCGCACCTTGGGCTCCTCGGATGGGGCTTCGGCCTCGACGACGCTCCATGGCGTCACGACCCCGACAATCTCGGAAAAAGCGTCCAGGAGACCCATAGCGACGAGGTGGTGCGATGATGGTTGTGACTTGCTGTGTCTGGCCAGAGCGTGAGAGGTCGGAAGCTCTCGGTCCAAAGTGACGGAGCGAAAACTGATCCGGAATTGATCCGGAATTGGCGAGCTTTGATTGGCCAGGTGGCCGCCATAGTTAGGCACGTGATGTGTCACGCTTCGGATGCTCAGCTGTAGGTACGTACCCCTAGTTCAATCAATGAAGCTACCGGGGCTCTATCCCGTCCTTCGTGGAATTATACTTCGTACGGTATACCGAGTAAGCGAGACCTTTTTTCCCATCCAGCTGAATAATTTTCCACAACCCATGTTTGAAAACGCCGTCCCGCGTTTTGCCCAGCCTACTGTCACAGATGCCCTGCACAGTCGTTACACAAGCCCCCGTCATCATGGTTGTATTGTGCCAAGCATGCGGTGCCAATGCCCCCCCTGTCCGTTCAATCAAGGCGAAAGGTGCCCTGACAGGACAACATCTCTGGGCCAGAGGCGACTCGCTCCCACGTCAAGAAATATCTCAACGCCCTTTGAAGGGGTGGCTCTGGAACAGGGATTAGAAAGTGTCGGGGCCTCTATTGGATAGGCTGAAACTTCAACCCCCGGGGCACGATCCGGGGCCGTGTGTGCTCAGTAGGCTGAAAGGAGAAGATGCCTGGCTCGTCAGCGGCGCTACTCCTCTCGGCTGCCCCTGTCCGCGCCTTCGCGGATATGGTCCTCCAGCCGCATGCTGAGCTGCTGGGCCTGAGCCTCGTCGTAATCTGGAGGCGGTTCGTCCGGGGCCCTGCGGCTGGCGGAGCTGTCGGACCTGTTATTGCGCGGTACCTCGGGCGTCGCCAAGGGCTCCGACGGCTGGCCTCGCTGGGGCTCGTAGGCCGGCAGCGGCTCGTCGGGAATATCAGCACCGGGCCCCATTTCCCGGCGCATTTCCTGGTATTGGAACAGACGTTCGCGCAGGCGGATATAAATCTCATTGAAATCCGTCATGCCGCCATCGGAAAAGGTAAACTTGACTTCGATACGAGGCAGATCCGGAGGAATGCCGCCGCCCGAGACGGGTATGCAGTCTGATTTCCAGACCCAGCCCCATAGCATGGAGGAAGAGGTGCTCGAGTCCTGAAACTTGAGGATTGGAGCACTGAAGGACTCAAACCTGGGCTCCTGCGTTGGCTTGGCCGGCAGGTAGACAATCTGGAGAGGGACATGAGCAACAAGACCTCAGTCATGTGCGGCAGAACTCACCCTCTTGTTGGTGAGGAACAGGGTTCCCTTGTCGCTTTTGCGGTGAAAGGGAGTGCAGCGGGCTCTCAGCTCCTGGGGAACGGAGAGATCGCAGGATATCCTCGACTCGAGCTTCTGCAGGATGCGCTCGTTGCCGAGCTTGACAAAGCCGCTCTGGTTGAGCATAACCCAGCTGTCGGGATTGTCAGGATCAGCTGGACGGCGAAGGGGGGCTCGGCCGGTGAAGAGGTAGTCCTGGGGATTGTCCATCTTGACCAACTAAGACCCATGTGGTTCCATGAGGTCGAGAAGGGAGTGTGGGGGGGAAAGGATATGTATGTTTGTTGCTGCTACATGGGTAGAGGAGAGGAGAGAAAAGGGAAGGGGGGCTGGGGAGAGCAAAGAAGAAATTGTGTATGTAGATGGAGAATGACTCTGGCGAGTAGGTAGGGCAGAAGGGGGGGCGTGTGGCAAGGGAGTGAGTTGAGGAGACGAGTCGTTTGTGGTGAAAGGCTTACTTTATGGACATTGTCGCGCGACGGACAGGGTTCGGTGAAGCAGTCAGTCCTATCCGGATCGCTGGGTGACGACGGTGACCTCGCGTCGGACCTTGCAGCCAACTCGAACGGCTCCAGTCGGTGGGGCGTCGTCGGGCTCGAAGCCGGGTGTCGATTGGGAGCCCGGGCCTGGGACGAGGCAGGCAAGATTGCGAGCCGGCGGGTAGGTAGAAAAAACAATCAAGACGATACGGTTACGGGCTGGCTGTACGCGGCAGGGCGGAGGCTCCGGCGACGAGAGCCAGTTGGTGGTGCAAAGCCCAACGGTGGTAGTGGGGAGGGGGGCTTGGAGTCAAGGTACCCGGGCTGGGCCGTCTGTGGAGAGAGAGAACAGAGTCGAGAGAGTATGTAGGTGGGAGGTTTCCGTCGACGATCCGATGCGGATGGTGCGTGGTGGTGACCTGGCTCTTTTTTTTCCCTGGCGCGTTGCGCGGCCTTACCAAGCGGTACCTAGCACCTACCTTCTGTAGTGTCTACCTTAGGTCGTACCTATCCGCAGCGGGCGGCGGCGGTAGACGCAGAGGGCAGTGAGTGAAGTGGCAGCAGCGGCAGCAGGAGGAGTGGTACAAGTACCTACCTAGATACCTGGGTACGTCCAGAGGGGTACTTGGGGAGGTACCTTACCTACCTTGGGTACAGGTACCTACCCAGGAACCTACCTACCTACGGTGCCTGCGCCTTGTCTTTGTCAAGCACGCACAATGGAGGAGCCTCCTTCTCTCCCCGGTGTGTGGCGTGTCGACTAAAAAAACCCGCGAGGCAATATTGGAAAGCTTATTATCCAACCGCATGTCGGGCTACTTTGTACCGACGGTTCTGAAGCTCGGTCTGTACGTGCATGCAGTACTGGTACTGGCCTTGATCGTGGCAATTGGAATCGCCAGTCCCATCACCCTTGGGGAGATGCAAGCCATCAACGGGAGCATCGTATGCGAATGTATCCGTAGATCCTTGGCCTCGCTGCGTCCTACAAGCGCAATAGCTCAAATCGGAAAACGGGCTTGCACGGCTCGCCCTGCCAATTTCATACCGGCCATCGTCGACCACGCATACACCATGTGGGTACCCAATGCTCTGCCTTTGACCATCTACGAATACTCCCTACCTACTTGGTCCATACATCATCACGGTAAGGCAGGCATACATTACTTGTGCAGCTGTGCTAGTCCCGACAAGCACCGCACGCGTGGCCTGGGTTACCAGTCGCCATGGAACCCCTGATGCTGTGCAAATCGGGCATCATCATCGGTCAATCCACATCGATCTGCTATTCAAGCGCAACAATCTGTCCCTTTCACATGTCTTGCCCGTCTCCTTGCTCTGCCCACCTACGTATGTACTTTGATTGCCCCTGCCCTGCCCTCCCGTCCCTCCCGTGCCTCGTCCGTCCGCAGAAGCCCATTGTGGCCGCTGCTGTCCACCGGTGCGGCTGCAGCTCTCCTACCAACCGTGCTGCTATGTACTGTATGTAGGTAGTTTAATCATTTTGGCTGTTGCCGGGGCTGCATCTGCAACGAGGTCCGGCAGCCTTCAAAAGTATGTACAGTACCCGGAACTCGCCTCATCCGGCATGCGGCAGGGGTAACAGAGCATTTGATGCCGGGTGTAGCGGGGAGCTCATCTTGGTTGTCCGCGAATGATCTTTCTTTTCTTGGTCGTAGCCCATGTACGTATGTCGTCTACGTCCAGGACGGAGATGCATATGCATGTGTCACTCGAGCACGCTGAACTGGATCCTTGGCCTCACGGCAGGCGGCGGTGACGCCATCTACCATGTGTCGCGAGCTCAGCAGCATTGCAGTATGGCGTAAGACAATGACACGAGACCGAAAAAATTTCACGGCCAGATAAGGTTGTCAGGTTGCTCTCGGAGGCGTCTGCAGATGATGGGCGTCGGCGACTCGGGAGGGCCCCCGAAATCAGAAGCAGCACCACCTCGCCATGGCATTTTTTCCTGGGTGCTGCAAGATGCGACGAGTCGGCTTGGCGGTGCCTTCCTCTGTCGGAATCCGCCGTGCGACACCGGAGGGCGAGGTGGTCATCGTCTTTTGGGAAGCCCATCGAAACCTCCCCGGCAATGCTTCGTCACACTGCCGCGGGACTTTGTTTCTGGTGGACCCTTCCAGAAGGATTGGATTCTGCACCGATCGAAAACGCATGTGTTGTATGTAGGCGTGTATGTTACCTGGTACCGTGGTAGTATTCTTTGAGGGAAAAAGGAGCCCCTGTTTTCGGATACCATACCATGAGGCATGAGAGGCAAGACAAAGGGCTCTCTGCAACGTGAACTCCGACCTATCCATGTACATTCTCAAGTCAGTCGGGCAGAGCAGTGCAAAACATAACATACACACTGCAACTGCTGTAGAATGGTAGCTTGCACTTTCCTCTGCTGATGCTCTCCCCGAGTTGGGTAGGCAGGTGCGGAGCGCCCAAGCTGGTAGGCAGGCACGACGATGGACACGCCCAAGGAAGTAACTCGTAATAGTTACGGGTACTCTAAACTTGAAAACTCACGTGCCGTCCAAATTTTCTCTTTCCCTCTCACTCCCCTCCACCTCTCCCTCCGCAACGTTCCGGCGGTCCCCAGGATCCGGTTTATGGTTGCCAAGAGCCTGCAAGCCACTGCTTGTTACCTCACTGGCTTCTGGACGCGCTACCTTGGTCCTTCTGTGCATCAGCCTGCGGTGTGGCTCTCATGTCTCAGTTTGTGGCTCTCTCTCGCCTCGCCATCTGATCGGATGGACGGCCTCTTCTTCCAACCACGCCTCTTCATCCGAACCGGCCAGGCTGCATCATGATGACACAGTCTGCGCATAGATCGGTCTCGTCGATAACGGACAGCCTCGTCGCCTGAGCATGCTAGTCTCTTATCTCTCCTCGCAGTGTTGGGTTTGGACTTTAGACCGTCAAACTTCTCCACCAAGCTATCTGCAGTCGAGCCCCGGCATTGATTGGACAGACGCCCCGTGGAGGGTGCCCTTTCTTCCCTTGTCGAAGCCACGGGCGGGCGGCAGCAGAGTGAGTCCGCGGTGAATGCACCAACAGGAATGCCGAGGCTGATTGGCGCGGATCCGAGTTACCGGCAGCTCCCGCTCCCCACATTAAATCCAGAAGCCGGGCCAGCTCTCCGTGCCTCCGCTCGGACCGACATCGACTCCCGCCATTGACCGCGCCTGGTCTGTCATGTTCCAATCTCCAGCTCGTGTCTTGACAGCCTTTGCTGCTCACCGACCACAGCAGCCAATCCGCTCCTCTCACCTTGTTTTGCGCATCCGCCGTCGTCATCTGACGTCACCAGCCATGGCTCCCGTTCCCACGCACCTCGTTGCCCAGCTCCAGGCGTACACGGCCTGCGACATCTCGGATGCGCTGCTCAAGCTCAAGGTGCCTGGCGCCGGCTTCATCGCCGATCTGAACCTCTACAGCCCCCACGCCAGTCAAGACGCGGTTCCGACCATCGCCCTCGTCTCGACCGTGCTCTGGGTCGCCAAGGGCGAGACCCCTGCCGAGCCCACGCCGAACCTCCCCGATGGCCTTCATTGGTCCGACGCCATCGAGCCCGACTCCTTCATCGTGATGAAGCAGCCGCCCGGCCAGACCAATGCCGTCTGCGGCGGCATCATGGCCCTCCGCATCAAAGTCCGCGGCGCAAAGGGCATTGCCGTCGCCGGTCGCGTGAGGGATTTGCCTGAGCTGAGGGGCACAAACCTTCCCGTGAGTCATGCTTGCAACTGGCAATTCACACTTCTGATGCAAGACTTGTCAAGATATTGGCATACGGCACCTCGACAGTCGGCGCTGGTGGCGGCAGCGTTCCCTGGGCATTGCAGGTCCCCTTGGAAATCAAGGGCACGTTTGTCAACCCTGGCGATATTGCCTTCCACGACCCGGCAAGCGGCCTCGTCATCATCCCCCGGGACCAGGTGACCAAGGTTCTCGAGTTGCTACCCAAGCTAACCGCCGCCGACGACAAGGTCAAGACGGACGTCCTCGGCGGCATGTCCGTTCACGAGGCCTTTAAGCTACACCGCGGTGCATAGGGGGTCGATAGGCCTCAGCCCCGGACTTATAGTCCACGTCCCCCCCCGTGAGAAAACACGTGTCAGGCCAGCTCAACCTCACAAGGCTAACGTCTGGCCGCATGCATGGCGCTAATCCCTTGCTGTCCAGGCAGCGCTTGTGCTCCAATGGAGCAGTAGGGACTTCAGGTCGAGGCCGACGGGTGCGCAAGGTGACTTGATACTTCATGAGGTCGTTAATTCATTTCATGCAATCATACAGGCGAATAAACCCACAACTATAGACAATGCCAACCCTACTTGACAGCTCCTGACCCTACCCAACGGACCGGAACCGGGGGCAACTGCTCTGGGGAGACGCAAATAACAAACTGCTGATGAATCCAAGCAGCCTCCACCTCTGCTACCGAATTCTCGTCACTCGAGCCCAGCGTATCCGTGCACCTGGTCAATCCCAATCGCGCATCTTCATCCCCGACAACGTGTTTCTGCCATCACAGCCAGGCGTCGTCGGCCACTCGTGGCCGGCCCGGCTCAAAGTCGAGCTTGGGCATGTCGAGCTTGGGGGCTTCGTCCATCTTGACCTTGGCATCGCCACCGCCGCCGGCCTTGCAGGGCGACTTGCGCGTCTCGGGCGACGGGCCGAACCGGACATCCCTGACATCCCACCCGTCCTCGGCGGCAGCGGCGACCCACGTCCGCAGCGCCGTGTGCACGGAGCCGTAAAACTTCTCCTTGCAGAGGCGTAGGCTGCCCCCGAGACAGCGCTCCCAGCCCGAGATGCGGAACTCGGACCGCAGGGCGTTGCGCTCGTCGGGCGTCGGCGTGCATGCAAGGATGGCGTTCATGACATCGAGGTGAGACGCCAAGTAGTTGGTCGCGTCCCACTCCACGCCGCCGACATAGGGGGCAGCGGGCACCGGCGGCCGCTCGGGCGGGAAATGCCGGAGCATGTAGGCGTAGGGAGCCTGGGACGCCACGTCGTCGGATGTGGCACCGGCTGCGGCCGTCTTGGCATCCTTGTCGGACGGGAGAGCCACGACGTTGAGGTTGTGGAGGAAGATCCAGAAAACCTCCTTAGTCACACTGACGACCTCCTTGCACCAAACGCGGTACGGACGCTGCTGTCTCATCTCGAGGACAAAGGGCAGCGGACGCTCTTCTTCTTTGGGCTCCTGGTCACGGAGATGGGCCAGGACAATCTTTGCCCGGGCCACGCGGTCTGCCGGCGCGGCCGACTCGATGTAGGTGAGCAGCACCGACGTGATGATGTTTCGCGTGGTAAACTCGCTCGGGCCCTTCTTGTCGGGGTCGAAGAGCAGGTGCAGCAGCCTGCGGAAGAGGTCCGCCTGGACCGAGTGGAGGTATTCCATGGCGCGGGCCGTGGTGGAGAGCGCCTTGAGGCACAGCAGATTCTCGTGGAGCAGGGCATCTTCGTGTTCCTCCCTGAGAGCCGTGTGTTAGCACCCGTGTCTCGGGAGAAGAAAAGATTCGGGGGGCAATCACCTCCACTCAACTTCCATGATGCGGTTCAGCAGCCCGACAATCTCCTTCATGCCGCCCTGCTGGATAAAGTCCTCGATCCAGGTGACCGTCTCGTTGCGGAGCAGCAGGCGCAGCTTGTGCAGCTTGCCCACCTCGACGAGCTCGGGCTTCTGCACCTTGCGGAGGTACGCGACATAGTCGCCGGGGCCTTGCTGGAGCTTGATCTTGGACAGCAGGGTGGAGCCGGTCGAGTGGCCCGACGACGAGGGCCGCTCGGGGGCCACGCTGTCAATGGACTTGCTCCTGAGGTGGCGGCCCACGGAGCCCTCCCCCTTGGGCTTCTTGGAGGGCGACCTGGATTCCTTCTTGCCGCGCGAAAAGGTGAAGCTGCGACCTCGGGTCCGCTTGGGCTTATCGTCGTCACAGTCGGAGCCGGCGGGCGTCGTGGAGGCGACGTGTTCGGGGCTGCGGCTGCTCTCGGCCGTGACGGATCGGTCCATCCGAGCCGCCTGCATCTCGGCCCAGTCCTGGCGGATAAACTCCATCTTGATGGTGTCGTTGAGGTTCCGCATCTTGTAGCGCTGGTTCTCGGGTATGTTTCGGCGGTCCAGCAGGTCTTCGAGTTGCTGCTCGATGTCGTGCGGACGGAGGATGTGCTCGGGGTATTCCACCGTCGGGCTCGACGCGGCAGACTTGGACCGGCCGGCGTGGGTAAGGGCGCTGAAGGCATCGAAGACACGGCCCCTCTGCATGCGGCCCATGGGCTTCTCCGTGCTCGAGGCCTTGCGGGAGCCGGCGGCAGCCTTGGGGTCCGAGTATACCCTGGCGGCGTGCAGCGACTTGGGCCTGTCCTTGGCGGGGGGCGGGTTCGCGCTGTCGACCGAGCACCGCTCTCTCTGCCGGCGAGCTTCCGGGTCGCACGTGTACTGGGCAAAGATGGGGGGCGGGGCGGCCGGTGCGCTGACGGGCTCGTCGGGCTGCCTGTTTTCTTTGTCTCTCGACGCCCGGAGCTCGTCGTCGGTGGAGAGCTTGTAGAGGTTCTTGAGCGACTTGGGGCGCGAGAGCAGGCCGACGAGGTTGGTGCCCGACTTTTTCTTCTTCGGCTTCGAGGGCGACGTGGTGGGCGAGTTCCTGTCGGCGACGGGCTTGAGGGAGACGTTGCCCCATGTGTAGGTTGTCGTGGCAGCTTCGCGGCTGTGACGCAGCGATTTCGGAGGCGACCTCGGGGCCGACTCCTGGCGGTTGTGCTGGAGCTCGCCGAGGGCGCCCGGATTGTTCTTAGCAAAGTGGCCGACGGCCATGGCGCCGTCCTGCAGGCTCGGGAGGGGCGACGAGGGCAGAAACCTCCCGCTCGAGGCTCGACGGCGGTGCAGGAAGGAGATCAGGCCCGACGAGGGCTTGTGGTCCTGGTGGAGGGCGGGCGAGTCGGGGGCGTAAACATGGCCGTCTGATGCCATTGCCGGGCGCCGCGTGCCAGCGAGCAACACAGGGCTGGGCTAGACTGGGCTAGGCTGGTGCGACGGGTGCGACGATGATGATGATGCGAAGAATGCATGCAAGAAAAAAAGCCACCACGTCTTTTTCCGGCGAGACAAGGGCTGGAAAAGCAACAGTTGGATCAATGCAGGCGGGGACGATGCCAGGTCATGCCCATGACGCCCATGTGTAGATGGCAGCAGCAGAGAGAGCCGTTGCGGAGAGGGCTATCTGTGGGGATGGATGGATGGATGGGGACGGAGAGGAAGAGGAAAGGGTTTGGCCGTGGAATGGGGGATGAATGTTTATGGAGGAGCTGCGGTTGCCGTGGCGACGAGGGTGCCCCTCTGTGTCCTTTTTTTTCAGGGGGTTAATTAGGGGGCTGATGATGACGCAGCCTCCAGCGCGGGGGGGAGGGGAAGGGGGGAGCAAACGACTCTCGGGCTGGACCAGGATCGTCTGCGTGGAAATAAATCTGGTTGGGTTACGGCATCGTGTATTTCCTTTTCCAGTCCTTCTCCTGTTTCTTTTGGCGGCTCTTTTTCTTTTTTACTGAGACACGGGTGGGTTTTTAATGGGCTTCTTTGTCCGTGTGACGCTGTAGGTACTGTACAGTGACTACAGTTCCGTGAAGCGACTGCGGCAGGGCGCCTGACAGGTGCCGGCTTGGGGGGAGGGGGGTTGTTGCTTTTTCCCTTTCGCGTTATCAAGTGCTTGCGTTGTTTGGCGTTGCAGCCGCGGAAGCAAACGGGCGAGTGCCGGTGCATTAGAGGCCGACGTCAAACACGGAATGCCACTGCAGCTGCAAGATGGGTCAAGCGTCCATGTACGGATACCACGGAGAGAGTTGTGGAGACGGAGACTGGGACGTGCACATGCTGGGCATCTTCATCGTCTTCATCGCCTTCATTTCCGCTCACCTGAATCCACCGCACGGTTGGTCGGTGCAACGTCCCCTCGCTCGCTCTACTCTGCACGAATTCACTCTCGCGTCGAGCTGGAATGAACCAACATGGCGCGCTGTCCTGGCACATGCAACATCCCATGTCTCCGCCAGAGGCACCGCGCAAAGCCCGTGGCGCCGCCTCGCGAGCTGCCCATTGCAAGAGAAGATAGGAGGCGCCCCCCCCCCCTTTCCCAGTCTCATTTCCCTTGCCCCTCCCCTTCTCATCGTATCATACATCCACAGCAGCCGTGTAGCTGCCGTCGTCGAACTTCCCCCTACAAGGCAGCCAGCCCGTCGGCCTGCGCACATGCATGCGAGTCTAGAGCGACGGCCGCGGAGGCGGCGGCTGCCGGCCCTTGTAGTCCTTGGGCGACAGGACGAAGTGGTACTCGAGCTCGAGCTCGGCCTCGGGGTCGCCAGCGAGCGGCCGGAAGTCGACGACGAGGTCCGGCTTGACGGCGAAGACGGTGTCGGTGGCGAGCCAGGGGTCGTCGCGCGGGTAGAGCTGCGTGGTGCAGCCCTTGAAGTCGGGGTGCGTGACCTGTGGCGTTGCGATGAGTGGAATACAATACCAAGGCCTAGGCTATGCCAAGTATATATATATATATATATATATATATATTGAAGGAGAGAGAGAAAGAGAAAGAGAAATAGACAGAAAGAAAGGAAGGAAGGAAGAAAGAAAGAAAGAAAGAGACACACCATCATGTGAATGTGCGCCGGCCGCATCGGATGCCGGTCCATCAGCCGCAGCAGCTCATAGCTCGGCCCGTCGGTCGGCAGCGAATACGCCGTCGGCCGGTAGCAGTACAGGCGGTAGCGGCCGTCGGCGTCGGTGCGGAACTTGCCGCGCAGGTTGTTGGGCGTCTGGCGCTCCGGGTCCTGGAAGTCGTACTTGCCGTTGACGCTGGCCTGCCAGATGTCGACGACGGCGCCGGCCACGGGCTTGCCGGCCACGGCGTCGGTCACGGTCCCGTGCATCCGGCACACCCGGGCCCCCGGCGCCGGGTCCTGCACGATGCTGCTGCCGTTGGGCCGCCACGGCGCGTGCGGGGACCAGAAGGGGCCGAGGATCGACGACGACGTCGGGTCCACGTCGCCCTCGGCGGCGATGATGGTGTTGGCCATGTCGTCGACCAGCCTGGCATGCCCGCATGTGAGCTTTTTTCTTTTTGGGAGGGGGGAAGGGAGGAGAGTTGAGGGAAAGTAGAGAGAGGGTAATATCAGACACACACACGGAGAGAGAGAGAGGGAGAAGAGAGAGAGAGAGAGAGAGAGAGAGAGAGAGAGAAAAGAGAGCCAGAGAGAGAGAAGAGAGAGAAACTCACGACTCGAGCCCCAGCACATCCGAGATGCGATGGGCCTCGTTACGCACCGGCGACCAGATGCGCCCAATCGAGTTGACAAACTCGACGCCCGCCATCCACTCGTCGTGCGTCAGCTGCACCTCGCGCGCAAACGCGTGCAGGTGCCGCACCAGGCCCGTCATGACGTGCCGGGTGCGCGGCGCCACCCCCGGGCCCATGGTGTCGACGACGAGCTGCGCGAGGTCGTTGTCGGCCATGGCGGGAAGAGCCTCCATGTCTTGCTTGCGTCTCTCCTGTTTCTGGTTCTGGACCTTGCTTTACGTGAAGCCGCTTTTCTTCACCTGCTCTAGGCGGGCTCGTACGCAGGAGAGATGGGGCCGGGAGAAGCAGTGGATCGGTGGTGGTGGTGCTCTTTATACTCAGCCGTCGAGAGAGGCAGTGGATCGGTGGTGGTGATGCTCTTTATTCACTTAGCCGTCGAGAGAGGCAGTGAATCGGCGGCGTTGGTGCTCTTTATACACAGCCGTCGAGACAAGTAGTGAATCGGTGGACGTGGTGGTGGTGGTGGTGGTCGTCGTCTTCTTTATACACAGCCGTCGACATACGTGCTCACGCCCACCGGCCTCGGCAACGGGCTTGGTAGCCATGCAGATACGAATAGGCACCGGCCCATCCCGTGCACGGCTTCATGGACCTGACTTGTGCTGTATCACGCCTTGCCGAGCTCACAAGCCGCAAAGGAGGGGAGGGGGGGGGAGGGAGGCCAGACAGACGCCCACCCCCGAGCCAGTATCTCGTCACAGCGCCCTCGGCCGCGACGCCAGCCTGCGCAATATTAATAACCGGCATGCATACACACACACATGCTGGACCATGTGTTCGATGAAAACCAGCATGTCCACGCCTTGGGCATGGCACGTCGTCGTCGCCCGCCGCTCGAGGAAACACTCCCCCTCCACTCACCCCTGCTGCCGGCCATCTGGCTTCCGATAGGGCGGGCGGGGTGTGGTGGAGCCACGCTTCCCGCCCCGGGTTGCAGCACCGTTGGCCTGGGGTAAATGGCCAAAGCCGGGCTGCCGACCCGCCAAGCCCGGCTGCGGCCCCGCCTCGGCCGCGGCCTCCGTCTTAGTTTCCAGTGCCCCTGTCGAAACACGCCGGCATTCGGCATTTCTTGCACCTGATGGGCAACAAACCTGCATGACTCCATGATCCAACCGCAGACATCCTCTTCAGGCGGCCCTACATAGCCGGCCGGATGCCTCGGGCCTCACCCTCTACTCCTCCTCCTCCTCCCCCCCCCTTCCTCCCTCCATCTTCCATCCCGCCCCCATGCTGCCACCATGCCCGTCCACCACCTCATGGTCGGCACCTGGACGCCGCCCGGCGCCATCTTCGCCTTCGCCTTTGACGATGCCGCCTTGACGCTGCGCCTGGTCAGCCGCACCGCCATCCCTGTCGACGAGCCCATCTCGTGGATGACGTTCAGTGTGAGTCTGCTTGCGCTTGGACTGCGCCGTGGGCCATGTATCGCTCGCTCATGCTCTCCTCGACATCCGTGTCCGTCCTGTGCAGCACGACAAGAAAGCCATCTACGGCGCCGCCGCCAAGGCCTGGTCCAGCTACGCCGTCGAGTCGCCCACCTCCATCGTGCACCAGGCTTCCTTTCCCATGCCCCATGACCGTACGCCTCCTCGCTCTCTCATAAAAAGCCTCTCTCACAGACACATGCTAGCCCAAGCTCTCTCCCCTGGCGCCGACACCCGCGCCATCTTCCTCCTCGCTGCCGACACCCCCCCCTACGCCGTCTACTGCAACCCCTTTTACTCCCACGCCGGCGCCGGCTCCGTCTTCTCCGTCCGTGAGCCCTCGGGCGCCCTCGCCGCCTGCGTCCAGAACTTTGCCTACCAGCCCGGCTCGGGCGTCCACGGCACCGTCTTCCACCCGGACGGCCGCCATCTGTACTCGGCCGACCTCTCCGCCAACAAGATCTGGGTCCACCGCCGTCGAGCCGAGCCCTCTCCAGAGCTCGACCTCGTCGGCGCCGTCGACGCTCCCCATCCGCGCGACCATCCGCGCTGGGTCGTCGTCCATCCCGCGGGAACCGCCCTCTACGTCCTCATGGAAGCCGGCAACCGCGTCTGCGAGTACGCCATCGCCTCATCGTCGCCTCTCCCCGTCTTCACCGGCCGCCACTTCTCCCTCGTGCCCCCCGACGAGGCCCACCATGCCTTCGCCCGCTACCGCGGCGACGTTTGCGCCCTCTCGCACTCGGCCTCGCACCTCTTTGCCTCCACCCGCGCCTCCGACCCTGACCGCCCCGGCTACCTCGCCGCCTTTGAGCTGAGCCCCGAGGGCCGCCTGGAGCGTCGCCTCCTCCTCCAGCCCACCACCACCAGCGGCGGCCACAGCAACGCCGTCTCACCTAGCGACTGGACCGACGAGTGGCTCGCTGTTGTCGAGGATCAGTGCGGCTTTCTCGACATCCACCGCTGGCACAACCACACCCTTGAGCGTGTCGCCCGTGTCCAAGTGTCCGAGCCTGGTTTCGGCATGAACGCCATCTGGTACAATTGACCGCGTCCACCTTGGAAGGCCCCGTCTCGACTTTACTTTGCCATGCACTCTGCAGTCACATGGAAAAAACCCTTGTTGCAGTAGAGATTGCCTCTCTGGCCATCATCATCGGGCGACCACACCGTCGACACCGCCTGTTGTTTGGTTAAATGCATTAGCAACTATGTATCAACAGCCATCTCTGCGAGTTTGCTCGACAGAACATAAAACTCTTCCGCTTGGTGACAGTCGCCCTCTGCAGCTCTCCCTTGTTCACCGACGACTCTGTGCGAGAATGCAATGTGCGTGCGTGCGCTCAAAGCCACCTCCCGTTCCCCTCACTCAATGTTCGTCCTCGTCATCGCAAGCCGCCGCCATCTTTTTTGCCGCGTCTGAGCCATACCTAACCTCCAATCGACCTCCATTCGCCATCGGGTCCCGGATCAGGAGCGGCGTCTCCTCCGTAGTGTCGGCCGATTTCACCGCCGTAGGCACCTCGGCCAGCTTCCCGTTCCCGCTGGTGCCGACCAAAGTCGTAACGCCCAGACCCTGCTTGATCTTGAAGACATTGGTTCGGGTGTTGCGCGGCTTCGCCGCCCGGTTGGCCGGTCCGAGTCGGAGCTGCTGCCTCATCTCGTCCAAAGACGCCTTGACGGGGACGGTGCCGCTCTCGGGCTTCCCGTCTGGACCCGCCGAGCTGCGGCGCTTCATGAAGATGGCTGTCTTGGGATGATGCTCCTCGGCGACGCCCGTATCGCTCTGCGCCCCGAGGGAGCCGACAGTAACGGCCCGTCCATCCGGGTGCTCGGCAATGTCCACCAGGAGCGATCCGTCTCCGCTGGGCTTCTTGGCCGCGAGTGCGGCGGCCGTGGCAGCTGTGGCGGCCTCGTTGTGAAGCCGTTTCGCTCGGGGGGCTGGTGTGAGGCGTCTGATGGCCTTGTGCACGTCCACGTATACATCCGATTCATCCACAATTTCTCTGCCGCAGAGTCAGCACAGCTCCGCCGGCGCAGCCCGTGAGTGCAGGAAAAGACTTACTCTCCAATGAGCTCTTCAATCACATCTTCCAGGGTCACCACTCCCATCGCGCCGTGGTCCGAGCCCGGAAACTCGGACACGAGCACCAAGTGGGACTTGCCCTCCTGAAAGAAGTTGATGATGTCAAGGCAGCTGGTTTCCGGTCGGGTCTCGACAATGGCTCCAAGCTGCACGTCGTGTACCGGAATTCTGTCTTCGGGGTCGTATGTGATGAGCGTCTTGACCAGAAGCATGCCGACAAAGTCCTTCGGGCTGCCGGCGCGGTAGATGGGTATTCTCGAATAACCAGAAGACAGAATCTTGTCCATGGTCTTCTCGTCCAAGATGTGATCTTCGGCAAGGGTGAAGACGTCATCCATCGGCGTCATCACTTCGGACACGGGCTTGTCCTTGAGATCCAGGACCGCCGTAATGATGGTGACCTCATCTTGATTAAGTCGTTCCGATAAATCTCCCAGCGACTTATGGAGGGTCACGAGGGTCTTGAGCCCACTCTTTTTGTACACGGTGCCGTGGTCTTCGCCGAGGATCCAGTCGAGGAGCTTCGCCGTCGGCCAGGCCACGGGGCCCAGGAGGTACATGAGGACGAGGACGGGCTTGGACATGTAGCCGCCGATGGGCAAGCCGTATCGGACACATATGGACTGTGGGACGATTTCACCAAAGATGACTGCGACATGTCAGCGCCAAAGAGTCGACAGGCAAGATTTGCCACGAGGGAAGGGTCTCACCGATGAGGATGGTACTGCCGACGACAGCAGCAACGCCTCCACCTAGGGTGCGGTCGAGGACGACGGGCAATGACTCGTTGACAATGACGTTGGCTAGGAGGAGCGTGACGAGCAACCAGTGCTTCCCCTTCTTGAGCAAGTTGAGAACCCGCCCGGCATTCTTGTGCTGTGGCTCCGTGGGATCATTCGAGACCACCTGAAGGTAGATGCTGTCTTGCCCCATGAACCTGATGTTACCTGTCAGCACGCATTTGAAGCCAAGCGTCCCCCAGCCTGTGGTCAACGTACGCGATGGTCAGGCCGGCAAATGCTCCTCCCAGCAGCACGAGAACGATGGAGGCGACAGCGAGGACCCAAGTTGGAGAGCCCTCCTCATCGCCACCGCTCTCGCGAGCCGCCAACGGCGCCGCAGCCACGGCCGAGATGCTCATGCCGAGTAGACGTCCGACACCAAGCACGGCTGGCCGCACGCTGGTAAACCTTGATGACGCACCATTTCTCCTCATTTCGACTTTTTTCTTCTTCGATGGTATCTCTTTGTGAGCGTCCCCCCCCTGGTATTTCTTTGCCCTCCTTCACCTTGGTCCACTCGCGTTAGGGCGGAATACTTCCCCCAATAGCGCGTAATTGTCCGTCGAAAAGATGGGATAAGACGCGTTGGGGGAACTCGGGCAGTTGGGCAAGGACAGAGTTTCTGGCAATTGGCGTAGAAAGCAACGCTGAATGACCTTCAAAGCCTCCACCAGTCACCGGCTCCAACAGTCGTGCAAGTGCAGATCGAGATTCGATGGCGTCGGAAGCCTCTGGTGCGCAACCGGGTGCGACCTGCGGGCGAAGTGGGAGGGAAGAGGTTGAAGCAACAAATCAGGTCGCCTCGCGGAATTGAATCAGCAGGTCAGTATAAGGGGTACCGAGTACGGAGCGAGGTACGAATTATGGGGACACGCATATGCAGATCGCAGCCACAGCGGGGTAGAGGTACAAGAGTCCCTCGGGGAATAGCGTGGCGAGCGTGAGATGGGCCGTGTACCTGTACGCTTACGGAGCACACAGTAGATAAGGGTTCGTGTACTGAGCGCCACGGGCATTTGCAACAGGCGGTTAACGGTGGGTCAAGCCACAGCTGCAAGCGGTCATGACGACAGCTGACGTAGACCACAGGGTCTCCTGATTGGCCGAGTCCCATCGTCCCAGGTTCCCGAACATGTGCACCAAGGCGGGCAAGACACAAACAGCATGCCGCGACCATGTACGCAAAAATCACCATCAAGGCGTCTATTGGCGTCACGGCTGGCCATGTAAGCTTTCTACCTACAAAGAGCCGTCTCCCAGTGGGCCAATGGTGAGCACGGCCATGCACACGGTGTGGGCTGTTGTGGATCGCAGCCGGGCAACAAGGGACAGTGGACAAGGGACAGTGGACAAGGGACAGTGGACACGGGTGAGCATGCGCCTGTGGCGTCAAATTTCCATTTCTCCGCGAACCAAGGCGTCTCCGTACCCGCTCAGAGTCTCACCAGACTGACATTGAGCACGCCGTCCGCCTTCCTCAGCTCGTCCAGCAAGTCATCGTCCACCTCGCCGTCGACGCCCAGAATCATCAGCGCCTCGTTTTCCATCTGCGGCTTGGTCGACTCGACTCCCAGGCTCGCCACCTGCATGAACCGGATATTGATGCCGTGCGACCCCAGCGCCATGCCAACCCCTCCAATCTTGCCCGGCTCGTCGTAGTTGTGCAGGATGATGAGCGTGCCCTGGGGGATGAAGGCGGCGTTGAAGCGATCGAGCCTCGAGATATAGAAGTGCTTGTCCGACGTATAGCCCTCTATCAACTGCTCGCCGCTCGATTCGTCGCCCTCGGCCACGGACCTGAGAGTCACCCGGTTCGAATACGTCGAATCATGCGCCTGCCGTGCGTACGTCTCGTTGATGACGATGCCCTTTTCCCGCGCGATGAGCGCCGCGTTGACAATGTTGATGTTGGAGTCGCTGATGGAAGCCACCAGCCCCTTGACCAGAGCGGCGTAAAGCGGCTTGGTGTTGGGCATGCAGCTGAGGTCGCCGTGGTAGATCAGCTCGAACCTGCGGCCGCCAACCGTGCCCCTCTTGCTTTTCACAAAGTGCTGCGTGTACAGGCGGCCCATCTTCTCGACCAGCTGGACAGACGGCTGCAGTTTACGATACTCCTCGGGCAAAATGATGGGAGCGTTGACGGCGCTCGTGGGCGGTCCTCCTCGGAGAATCTCGAGCACCTGCGTGCACACGTCCATGGACACATTCTCTTGCGCCTCCACCGTCGACGCTCCCAGATGCGGCGTCGACACGACCCTGAGATGCCTGGCAAGCCGCTCCGTCGCCGAGTCGGCTGTTGGCGGCTCCGACGTGAAGACATCCAGCCCGGCCCCGGCGATCCAGCCCTCGTCGAGGGCCTTGAGCAGAGCTGCTTCGTTGTACACGCCGCCCCGCGCAACATTGAGGACGCGGGCCGTCTTCTTCATGGTGCGCAACTCGGACTCGCCAATCAGATCCATGGTCGTGGCCATGAGGGGCGTGTGAATCGTGAGGAAGTCGACATCGACAAGTAGGTCCCTGAGCTCAGGCACCAGCTCGACGCCAGCCTGCTGAGCCATGTCTGCATTGGCATAGGGATCGACGGCCTTGACCTGCATACCCAATCCCTTTGCCATTCGGGCCACGTTGAGGCCGACCTTGCCCAGGCCTACAATGCCAAGAGTCTTTCGTCCCACCTCGACGCCGACGAGCTTGCTGCGTTCCCACCTGCCGTCTTTGACGGAGGCGTCTGCGCGACCGACATTGCGGGCCGTGGCGAGGAGGAGGGCTATCGTGTGCTCGGCGGCGCTGAGGATGTTGCCCGAGGGCGAGTTGACGACGATGATGCCCTGGCCGGTGGCGGCGGGCACGTCAATGTTGTCGACGCCGACGCCGGCACGGGCAACGACCTTGAGCTTCCTGCCGGCCTTTAGCACGTCGGCCGTGACGGTGGTCTCGGATCGGACAATGAGGCCGTGGTAGCCCGGAATGATGGTCTTGAGCTCGTCGGGCGTGAGGCCCGGCTTGAGATGGACGTCGAAGTGGGGGGTCAGCAGGGCGAGGCCGTCCTGCGAGACCTTTTCGGGGACGAGGATGCGACAGCGGGCGGAAGCCGCGCCGGCAGAGATGGGGCTAACGGCCGACGGAGTCATTGTGTGGGCGTGCAAGGTAACTGGCCCCTGTGCACTCGACAAGAAGATGCAGCGAGGCGGGATTGGGCGGGCTTCCAAGTCGTTGGGGGCAGAAAAGGTCGAGGAAAGTGGGTGAGGTGAGGCGAGGCGAGGCAAGACGAGGTATGTCGACCAAGGGCGCCAGCGGGGCTTTATGTAGCTGCTGGAGGGAAGACATGACGTCTCGGCGAGTGACAAAATGAGGGCGAGGTGGTGGCACGCAGCCAAAGCTAAGCTGGGCTCAGCTCTGAAAAGGGCTCTGTGCAGGCGCAGAGCCAAGGTGACACACGCTATGAATGTTGGACAGCGTCCGCACCAGCGATCTGTCTGCGCACACGCAGCGAGCAAGGGCTGGCTTCAGTCCATCACCTTGAGAGACCGACGGAGGCTTCCCGTGGTCTCAGCTCGGCGGGGGCCCAGCTAGCGATGCCGGGCGACCTGGACTCCCCACGGTTGCATGCAGATCCTCAACTCTGCTTTCTCCCCTATCCTGGAGCCCTGCATCGCACAGGAGCAGCGTTGGGTGGCATCCGCCAATCAGACGCAGACGCTCTTGTGGATGTCGAGTCCCGAGAGACATGATGGAGGGTGGCCGTGGGGGACAGGTGGGGGGTGTTGTCATCCATGCAGCACTGCTTGCACGACGTTGCTGGAGAAAGTGACAACGGATAGGGGTCACGATTCCAGATAGGGCTTCCACCCTGCAGGCGTTACCCCGCGATGCTAGAACGGAGCCATCTTGTCTCGAGGCAAAGCAAAGAGTCATCGCGATAAGTGACTTGGCCTTGGTTCGTCCATCGCACGGCCTCAGCCCAGCCATCGGCAAACCCGATACCTTTGTTCTCACCGAGCACAGAGTGCGCGCGAGACTCTCTGCCCGTTGGGGAATGCACTGCTGCCCAGGGCGTGCCTGTCCAGACGATGCACCTTGATGAATGCGCGCACAACGGCTGCGCTGGTGCCCAGTCGTGGCTTTCCTGCCATCTTGCACTGCATGACAAGCGCATGGAGGGGCGGCACCTCGGATGACGGGCTGACAGCGCCGTGCAAAAGGGGTCAAATTCCTTCTTTGTTGGTTGCAATGCGTACAGTAAGTGAGAATCTTTTAATAACCACCAGGGTTCCAAACAACAAGCCTTCATAAATGCTTTTCAATTTTTCATCTGAACCATTTCGTAATTCTTCACATCCTTGAGGCAAAAACTGTCCCGTCCCCCTTTCACACCTTGTGCTCGTTGCTATACCTCGGGTTCTGCACAATCTCGACCCAGTAGCCATCCGGGTCCAACAAGAACGCAACGTTGCGCATCCGACCGTCGGTCAACCTCTTCTTCCAGCTGCATTTGAGGTCCTCGAATCGCTGACAGGCGCCATCGAGATTATCCACCGAGACACCTGGGGCCACGAGCAATCAGCGCACTGCGTCTTCTCGGCTTCCGGAACCCTCGGGCAACTTACAAATATGGCCGAAGCCCTGGGGCTCCTCGTTTCCGCTGTGATACTTGAAACCGGCGTCTTTCTCGGTGCCGTAGTTCCAGGTCAGCTCCAGCAGCCCCTCGCGGTCGCTCGTCTTGCCGTCCTCGGGCGTTCCCTGCTTTCCCGGATAGCCGAGGAAGTACAGGTTGAATCCGGCATTCTGTGCTTCGTGCGTCCTCATGCGAGACATGCCGAGGACGTCTTGGTAGAACTTGAGAGACTTTTCAGCATCCTTGACACGAATCATGGTGTGGTTCTACACGTCTGTTAGCCAACCCCGACGCCTCTGCAGCAACAGTAGTGGGTGGCTGGCAGGGCCTACCATGCGATATGTTGAGACGTCTGTCTCCTTGATGTTGGCCGTCTCCTCGAGAGGCTTCTGGCCGATAATCTCGACCCAGTACCCATCGGGATCCAACGCAAAGGCAATGTGGTTCATTCGCCCGTCTGATAACTTCTTCTGGAACCGGTAACCGGCATCCTCGATCCGCTGACAGGCGGCCTGGATGTTGTCCACGCTAATGCAGGTGTGGCCAAAGCCACGGTGCGGCTCGGCGTTGCCGTTGTTGATCTTGAAGGACGCGTCGTTCTCGGTGCCGTAGTTGTGGGTCAGTTCGATCAAGCCTTCACGGTCTATGGCGTCGTTGCCGTGCGAGAGCGCCTTGGGACTGTCGTAGCCGAGAAAGTACAGATCAAACTTGTTGTCGGGGAACTCAAGCTTCTTGAGCACCTTCATGCCCAGGAACTCGTAAAACTTGACTGCAAGGCGACAAGGGAAGAAGAGGTCAGCGTCGGATGCCATGAGTGGCTTCAACCTTGAGCCTACCAGACTCCTTTGGGTCCTTGACCCGAATCCTGAGTCCAGGTCAGCCGGGGCAAAGGGCCGGAGTGAGGTTGCGAAGAGGCTTACATGGAGTGGTTGAACTTGTAAGTGCGCGGGTCTGTTGCGTTGGCCATGGCAAAAGTCTTGAGTGTCTGTTTAGTTGTAGGAGTAGGATGATAAAGAAACCTGGCTCCGGTGGCAAAGTCCGAGGCGATGCCCCGCCTGATAAGAGAGGCAGTCGCGGCTACGTTCGGGTAAAAATGTGACGTCAAAGAACAAGACGTGAGCTTAGCAAATCCTCGACTAAACGGCCTCTCCCTCTCTAGGGTAAGTAGCGAGAGTGGGGAGCGAGTCGCCCGCACACGAAGCATCATCGCCCACTCTTGAATTGCCTGGGACTAAGAGACGACCTGGAACACAAGCAATGCCAGCAGTGGAGCACAAAAAGGTCTATCGGTATTATTACATAGGTCCGTGGAAGATGACCGAGCCCCCCAAATGCTAGCCGTAGGTAGCCTCCCCTAGTAGCTAGCGCCCTGTGGGAGAATGGAAAAGCGGTGCTTTGCGCCCTGTGGGGCCATTGTGTCAAGTCGAATCGCGGTTATGTAATTTATCGACGGAGCCGGGCCCCGCAATAATGATCGCAATCACCCCGTCCTGCCTCGCACTGGCGTCGACAAGGTCCGCGCCAGACGAGACACGACGTCCTTGCGCTGCGACGCCATCGACACAAGAATGTCCGGTATGTTCGAGCTCCCCGCTGTCGTCATGCCGTCCGGGACCGAGCTCATCGTCATCGAGGAGTAAACCAAGCTTCCGAGACCGACAACTAGCGACCGCCTGACCGCCCGAGCCCACTGGCCCTCGTTTGCACAAGGCCGGCCCCTCGAGATTTGTTGAGGCCGGCATGGAGGGCAAGCGCGGAAGCCTCGTCGACTACCCAGACGACGACTCGGCCGTCACGGACGGTGACCTGGCCAGCAGAGACCAGGCCGAGCAACCAGACGCAGACGCCCATGCCTCTTCCCTCAGACCCCGGGCCAGGTCGCCCATGACCAAGACGCGATCCTTTTCTGACGGCGGCGGAACCCCCTCCAAGCTATCCGCGTCACCGCACGTTGTCGAAGCCTCGCGGAGGACGTCCAAGGACGATAGCAATCTCCACGACGTCCAGCCCCCGGTTACCCCGCGGAGCTCTGACTTCAAAGCCCTGTCCATTCAGGTGCCGACTCGACAGTTCACCCCGCCGCCAGCTGCTTCGAATCCTTACGTCAAACCCCCGCCACTCTCGCCCCAGCTCGACCACTCCCACATCTACGCCTCGCCCACAAACATTCTGCCCCGCCGCTCGCGCGGTCTCGACTTTTCCCGTGCCGCCACGAGCCTGCACCATTCGACTCTTGCCGAGCAGTCGTCTCCCGACTCGTCACCTACAATAGGCGACCGCGCCATGGCCATTCCGGGCCGGCGCAACCATCATGGAGGAACAGAGCAGTCATCGACGTCGCTGTGGTCAATCATGGGGAGCCACGACAAGGTGAATGCGAGCAGCTCGCTCGGCAGCACTCCCGCCGTCGGCTCTGATACCTCGACCTCCTCTGACGATGAAGACATCATGGACGAAGACATGGACGAGGCCTACGTCACGACGCCCATGGCAAAGGCCAGTGCATCCATGTCTCACGCCGCACCCGGCGGCCCCTTTGGCTCACCGGCAATGAGCAGCCTCATGAGCTTCCAGCAAAGACAGCGCCCCCGTAAGCATCCCAAGAAGAAAGTTCGCGGGCCTCTGGGCCTGGGCTTCAACCTTTCTGCCGCTTCCCTCTCCAAGTCCCCACCCAATAGCTCCGCTCGGGCAAGGAGGGAGAGCATAAGCTGGCAGGCGAACCAACTGCACATATCTGGCGTCGAGACGGAAGAGGGAGCCAAGTCTCAGAGCGACGCTGACGGGGGAAGCGGTGACGGACAAAGAAACGTGACGCGGCGCCCAGTCACTCGTCGCGGGAACCTGCTGGTAAGGACGCCGCGCAAACCACCAAGATTGGTGAAGCTGACTCTGACACTCGCGCAGCCCAAAACCAAGACGTTTGCTCGTATTCGAGCCGCCTTGGCCGAAGAAGGCGCCCCGGCAGACACAGAGACACGGCGCGAAGCAGAAGTCGTCAAGCAAGTCCGCGAAAGTGACGTGGGCCCAGAGCCTCGCTTCCCACCTCCGGCCCCCGAACCTCTTGTTCCTGCCAGCGCACTCTCGTCGCCCAATCTGACAAACCAGGAGTCGGCCGACGATATGCCCGAAGACGACATGATGGGGGACCTGGCTTCAGGCCTGTCGAGCAGCTTCAAACAGCATGCAATAAAGAACTCGAGAGGCAAAACCTTCTGGGACACGTTCTCAGAGTCCAGTAGCATGGGCGGCGCTCGGACGACTCCGCCTCCAGCCGCATTCCTCCCCAGAGGCTCGTCCTCGGGGATAAGCGAGGATACTACCATGGACTCTCCGTCGCTTGCCGGCCCCAGTGGCTACTCGGTATGGGTACAGTTTGTGCACTCGTGCGCCAGACGCACACGTTAGTCTGACAGTTCACAGGGCTCTCAAAGAGGCGGCACTCCGGGCCCGACCGCCGCCGAGATTACGCGCCGAATCAATAACAAGCGACGACGCGACGATGACCTCGATCCCATCAGCTTCAAGCGCCGGGCCGTCAGTCCTGGGATGAGCGTCCACAACTCGCCGATCCTGCAGAGTCCGATGCAGCGCGACTCGGGGCCGTGGGGATCTCGACCGGGCAGCACGGGCGGCGACAAGGGCGGCAGCAGTGCGCCGAGCGAGACGGGCAGCATGACCAGCACGCCGGCGAATCCTTCGGTCGGAGCCGGCGGGCGCTTGAATGGCAAAGGGCGGGTGGGATTTCAAGGCATGATTGATACTAACGATGGTATTATGCGGATGAGCATTGAGTGATGGATCGCGGCCAGCAATCGTCTCGGGACCAGACGTCGGGGGCTGTACTGCTGCGTGGCCTCGGAACTGGCGACATGGAGGTGTTGCGGTATGGCGTTTTACAGGCACAAGGGACGATGCTCTAGTCCTTTGATTCTTCTTGAAGCGGCGTCCAGGCGATTTGCATTGCGTCATACTTAGGAGACCATGATAAGATACCATTGCCTAGAGCCTTAACTTGTAACTGGAATATTTTCTTCAACTCATGGGTGCTCGGTGCCACGGCTCAGGAGCAACCAAGCCATCTCAGTGGCAGTCATTTAAACTTGAATGCCTGCTTTCCTGTTGGTATCTACCCGAAACGCCCGCTGGCACAAGCCAGGCCTGAAAATGCCACAACATGAGTACGTATAATGAAATGGACCGTATGTATTGTTCCCCCGCTCCACAAGCCGTGAGGATGACAGGATGGATATTCAAAAACCAGCGTGTTCAGTCCGAGACCATGGAGCCGTCTTCTTCGGGGACCCGGAGCGTCCCTAGCTTGTCGTCTAGCCAGCGCGCAAGCTCGCCCGCGTGTCTCCTCATGGCCACGACGGAGGCGGCGCCGGCGCTGTCGAGGCTGCTCATCGTTTGGCCGCCGGCGCTGGTCATACTTTCGACCTCGCTGGGGCTGCCGCCGGGATCGCCGTTTTCGTGATGGTGGTGGTGGTGGGCGTGCTGCTCTGGCTGATAGTCCTGCGCCGAAGGACCAATGGTGACAAAGAGGAGGCCGCACTTGAGGCGTCGAATGACGATAGTGCCGCCGCTGAGCTGCAACGTGACGGCGGCGGGCTTGACGGGTTTGACAGCGCCCCTGCGCCTCGCCTGCGCGCGGCCGTCGATATCGTCACGCCCGTGCTCGTCAGGACCGAGGTGATGCTGCTCCTCCTCCTCGTCGTCGTCGTCGTCGTCGTCTGCGCTCTCCTCGCTGTCATCATCCGTATCGGCGATGGGGGAGCTGGCGATTGGGTCCGGGGTGCAAGCGCCGGGGAGGGCCGAGGGGACGTCGACCGAGGACGAGGCGTGAATGGCGAGGAGGGAGGCGGCGACGGTGGCGTGGGTGCGCAGCAGGGCGACGGCGTGGGGGCTCACGTGGGCAAGGAGCTTTCCGTGCGAGGTGGTGAGCAGCAGAGTCGGCAGCTGCGGGCTCTGGTTGGCGTGGAGAAAGGCGTTGAGGCGTTTGGTCAGGAGGAGGGGGGGCGTCGGCGGGTTCGGGCTTGGCTGGGACATTGGACGGGACGTGGGAGCAGTTTCCGGCGCCTTTGAAGAGAGAGGAGTCGAGTGAGAGGAAAGAAGAGGCCGAGGAAGTGGCCGCGCCGCCGAGGCCGGCGCCGAGCTGTGCGGAAGAGGTAGCTATGACGACGATGCGCGGGATGAGGCGTTTGTACCCGCGAGGAAACGAGTGCGAGGGCTTATGCGTCTGGCTTGGTCGGACGGGTCGGGCGCTGGCTGGCGAAGCTGGTGATGACGCGCGAGCTAGCCCGGGAGCGTCTTTGCGGTGCTGAAGCTGGCCAAGGATGGAATTTGCAGGAGTCGCTCGGGTGAGCTTCCGGACCTAACAAGGTCAAGAAGGTCTGGGCGACTTAGTAATCGGGCACACTTTGTGGGGTTGTGATGGCTGAAGCTGGGGATGCTGGCAGGCATGCATGCATGCTCGGCGGTTACTCATCTTACTAATCCACCGAAAAGGCGCGGAAAAGGCGTCTTTTCGTGCTGTCTTGAGAACACCCCCCATTTCGACCGAAGCACCGTCAAGTGCACACGACTCTATGCATGCAGATTCGCCCCGGAGCCTCAAAACACCACACAGTGTGCAGGACACAGGACTCCTGGAAGCTCAACGTGGCAGCGGTCAAGGACAATCGCTCTGCCCTGCGATTGTGACGGGCCCCGATCCATTGCCCAAGTCCGAACGGGCGCCCGATGTCGACGGGAATATAGACATCTGGCCAGTCGACAACCTCACATCCCTGCTGCCGGCGAGCCGAGTCTACATCTCGATGCCCGTCGGAGTAGTGCAGAGGGTCTTGCCAGGTACGGCCTTGTCGTGCAGTGGGTTCGGTGTTTGAGACGTCCAGCCATATCCCGAACACGCATTTGAAAGACCACCCGGCAAGGGCATTTTTGCCCAGTCCGGGAGTTTTAAGGCATTATGGCGATCCAAACGCCGCCGGGATATTTTCCACAGCCCCGCCCGATTCTAGCCGGAGAGGACCCTTGAAAGAGCGACCGCTGACGAGTCTACGAGGTCCTCGTTGACCTGACACTGCATTGCATGGCGACGAGACTTGCTCCAGCTTTTACTCGGGATTCAAGTCTTTTCTCTTCTCCCCAGGAAACTGCACAGGCGGTCAAGTGAATCGAAGCGCCACGAAACCATACGAATCCACAAGGTACAGGTCCCAAAGGCGACGGGCCCGCGGAGATGGCTGCTTAAGTCAGGGCACGTGAAGACGGTTGCGCCCGACTCGGAGCAGTAGATGTCAACGCCGTCGTCAATCCCGCCCTAGCCGTCTCGTACGTATATGCGTGGACACGTCGTGTAGGTACTAGAGGGCGTGCCCACAAAGGCCAAACGTCAGCCAGAGGTGATCGTGATCGTCCGGAACGAGGAGGGACAAGAGCCGACGTCGCCATGGCTGAGCCCGTGTATGAAGTACAGAGAGGAAGATTTTTGGATGAGACGAGGCTCTGAAACAATGACGCGCAAAGCCCCTAAGAGTCTGCTCACAGTCTCATTTCCAGCATTAGCTGGGGGAAGTGGCTGGTCAACGTCGTTGGGGAGAGTCGTGGGGAGAGTCGTGGGGATAAGGCGTGGGGATAAGGCGTGGCAAGCACTGTAGGACAGCAGGCAGCAACGAAGAGGAAAGGGCACGCACTCAAAAGCAACCGAATACAATCTTGCATAGACATGTACGAGTCGGTTGGGCAATGCGACGTCGTCAAATGAGTCTGTTAGGGTTGTCCAGACTCGAGGTCAAAGATGTCATGAAAAGTTTCACGACGACGGGTCTCGGCGACTGCAGTAGCACGCAGCCAGTGGGCGAATCAAATCAATGAGGGAGCCCATTAATACAAGAGATTGGCGTTGCGCGTTTCAGTCGTGTCATCCGGTGTCGTTTCGTGGAGGTCGACGGGCGCGAGAGCCAGGGCATGGACAATGAACGCTTGGACCTGTTGGTGATGACGATGGCTGCCCTCCGTCTCCGGCCCTCTGCTGGAATGCAACCGAGAGCCAGGGCGGCGTGGACGAGTTCCATCACCACTGGCTGGCCACTATTATTAATTAACTTACCACTGTAATTAACTGGCGACCGCCACTGAAGGTAGTAGGTAGCACAGTAACTGCTTTCTCTTTCGCCCTAGTGGACCCGGGCGTCTCAAACGGCGCCCTCGACGACCAATCAGGCACGGCGGCCCGTAGCCGAAACGCTGGGCCCCTGCAGACAGGGCACCAATCAGAGGCCCGCCCCCAGACTCGGTGACGCCAATGCCGCATGTACTTTGACCACGCGCGCGCGTGCCCTGCAGATGCAGGTACCTGCACGCCCTCCAGGCGCTAACATGTCGGAACTGCGAGAGGCCTCTGCTGCCAACTGTGCCTACCGTAAATGGAGAGTGCAGGTCATCACAAGGAGGCCATGTGCACGCTGAAGAAGAGCCGCAATTGTAGGCGGGGTACGGAGTACATACCGAAAGTACCTCGCGGCTGCCCGCTCTCGCCCTCGCCCTCCCTCCTTTCCATACTTGCCCATCCCTTGATTGCCCCCTCTTCGCCCGCCCTCCCCCCCACCACCTCTTCTCGTCTTCCGCTGGCTGGACCGCAACCATCTGTTCTCATTCCAGTCAGACAACAGCCTCCTTTTCATCTCTCTTCCTCTACACTCTTTTCCGTTTTCGCTTCCCTTCACAGGTCTTGCCCTGCCACTTCCGAGCGCGTTTCCCCTTCAGCGACGCTTCGGCTTCGTCGATCCAACACGGAGTCGTCTTTCATTGCCGCAGTCTCCCCCTCCCAGGAGGCGATCATACGGGCCCTGGAATTCCTTCCACACACTCTTTCTTTCCTGGCCTGGCCATTTGGAATAGAGACGAGTGCCAAGCGTCACCGTTTCCCCCGATCTGGACATTCTCGTCCATCCGGTGTCGGCGTGCCCTGTCAAGCGAGAAGCGCAAGCGGCCGCCAGCCCGGATGGTTTCTGGCGACATGACAATTGCTCAGTGACACGACGACTTATGCCCTGGTGCACTTTCCGCGACTGAATTCCGGCGAGCCCACAAGTCGGCCGCCTGCAACGGCTGACTCGCGCCCCTCGGCCGCCATATCTCAGCCTTGGTACGACGCCCGTCTTTTCTCTTCACGACACGGCCGCTACAAACATCGACATCGATTTCTAGTCAACATTCGGTCGCGATAGGGGCACAACCGACACTTCGCAGGCGAGGATCGGTGTGCGCTCTCGGCAGGTCCGCAACCATCGCCCCCTTCCGCCTTCTCGCCCTCGAGCGCTCCATCTTGGCCGGCCGTCTTCGGACGCCTCATTCGCCTCAATATGGGGTGCCTCAGCCATCGCAAGAAGCAGGCCGTCGAGTTTAAAGACCTGAACTGGGACTTGATCAATCTTGCCGACTTCAAGGCCAAAGGCTGCGGCCCCGGCTTCTTCTACAGCTACCTGTGGTTCTCCCTGCTGCTGTCCATTGCCGTCTATGCCGTCGATAGCTTCACCGCCGTCAACCTGCTTGCCTTCAACAAGTGGTCCTCCAAGATCGAGCCAACCATCCCCTTCGACGTGTCCAAATGGATCTTCTCCGGCTGCATCATCGCATCCTTTGTTAACATTGCCTTCGAGGGCGTCCGAGCCATGCGGGTCATGAAGCGCGGCAACGTGGCCGAGTGCTACATGGACAGCCTGGCCGCGCGGTGGGAGTCGACGCGGTTCGGGTCTGGCCAGGGCTGGAAAAGGTTTCTCGTCTTTACCGAACTCACCAAGAGTAAGAAGGGCGCCGAGAACGTTGCCTTCTTCACCTACTTTAGCTTTCAATGTAAGTTGGCCGTGTCATGCTCTAGCATCCGCCGGCCCGTCACTGACGCCCACCACCAGCCTGGATTCGCGTCATTCTCTGCTCGGGTCCCCGCCAGGTCGTCAATGCCCTCACTCTCAGGTCTGTCTACGAAGCCAAGCTCAACCCCACCGCCGACAGTGTCGGGGGCTCCATTGTTGGCTTCTTCGACAAGATCAAAGCTCTCGCGACAGAGGACTACCAGCAAGCAGTCATCCTGTCGGGCATGTGCTTCACCCTTGTCGTCTGGATCTTTTCGGCATTGTTCCTGCTCATCGCAGTCCTCTTCTACGTCTTCTTCCTCTTCCACTGGCTCCCGCGCGCCGACGGCGGTCTCACCGGATACTGCGTGCGTAAGGTCAACAAGCGACTCACCAAGATTGTCACGACAAAGGTCAACAAGGCTCTCGCCAAGGGTCAGGCAAAGAGAGAAAAGGCCGACAAGTTTGGGGAGATGCCGTTTGAACGGTCTGCCGCTCTCCCGACCATCCCCTATCTTGGCATGGGGAGTAAGGAGGACGGCCTTCCGGAGATGCCAGAGCTGTCGCGGATCGGGAGCAACAGCACCCTCCCCCTGTATTCCTCACGCCCGGGCACGCCCAGCAGCTTCGAGCTCGGCGCCCTCCGTCAGCAGCGACCGCTCCATTCCCGGTCCGGCACATCGGGCTCGGGCTCGGGCTCCATCTTTTCTGCGAAAGCACCCCTCATCGGGGCTGCCGCTCACATGGGTTACAATGCCCCCTCGGACGCGAACGGCTACCCCAAGACCGACTTCGCCGCCTTTCCCCCTCAACGACCCGACACCTCAAACTCCCAGGCAAGTTTCGGCTCGCGGTCCGGCTTCGGTCGTGCGCCGCCTCTCGGCAGACCGTTCGATGCCTACAGCTCAGAAGGTCGCTCTAGTCCAGCGCCATCGGTGACTTCGTACCGGACGGGCTATCCTTCTCCCTGGGCTTCCCCGGCGCCGCAAGCCGCGCACCAGCATCAACCCTTGAGGAGCATGACGGGACCGGTTCCTCAGCGCGCGCCCCAGTATCCTCCCCAGCGGAACATGACGGCTCCGACGGGCCCGGGTGCTCGTATTCCCCCATTTGGATACGACGTTGAAGCGCAGCATAGGCCTGGGTACTAGTGCTGGGTGGCGCTCGCCTGACGGCTGGGACGGGAATCATCAATCTAGATAGTCTTCAACACCGAGCAAATATGATTACGACACGGGAGATGCTCAGGATATGGGGCGCATCGACATTAGTTTCCATTAGCTGTACCTGTCTTGTTGATATACCCCCATCCGGCATTCGGCCTTGTGGCTCGCGGGTTTATCTAGCCGGCCGTGGCTCGACTGCACCTGGTATGGTCTACTATTTAGAAATGCATGCTGATTTTATACCTGCGCTATGACGTCTCGGTTTGCGTACACAGCTGCAAGGGCCGCCTTGTTTTGTCCCTTTGACAGCAGAAGCGACGCCATATATGGGCTGGGGTGGTCTTGCCCTCGAGCAACTGCTCAATCTGCATGGCAGGCTTCCTGTTCATCACGTACACTAAGCGAGCTGTCCATCCGTCATGCCGTGACGTATGATGCCCCCCCCGCGCGACGCCCAAGTTCCACTCACGGGAAGAAAAATGCCAGTTCTGCACACCTGCCATTCGCCATGCGTACAATATCCAATGCCAGGCCCCATGTGCCTCCACAGCCCCCCCGACCTTCCACAGGCTCTCCAAGCCATACCAAAGTTCCCCATCAACATTGTACCTGCGACAAAGTCAGTCCACAAGACGTCAGCGCTCCAACGCTTCTTCTTTGAATCCTCCAAGGCCTCAAGTCTCATCCTCGTCGCCGTCAGTAGTACTGCTCTCGTCGTCCTCGTCAAGGTTGGGGGGGTCTGGCATGACGATGCTGTTGAGGAAAGAAATCTGCGGCGGCAGAGGTGAGCTTCAGCACGTTGTCGGTTCTTTTTTTCTGGTGTGGCACGTACGAATCCCGACATGGCCCGCACGAGCTCTTCGACCCGCTGCTGCGCGTCGTCGCCGCATAGCATCTCGGCGTCGATTTTTGTGCCAATTGTGTAGTTTCTCAGCTTCAGAAGCTCAATGTCCTTGTGCGTGACTTCCCACCCCTGTCCACACCAGGCATCAGTCAGTCAGTCAGTCAGTCAGTCAAGGAGGGTACCGCTGGCGGTCAAGTACCCCATCAGCGGATAAGCAGGCCAAAGAGGGGCTCTCACCATGGGCCGCTTCTTCAGCGCATTGTCCTGGTTCTTGCCCACAAAGGCCTTGACCGCCTCCTCGGGCCCCGCGCCGGCCTTGAGCGCGGGGAAAAACGCCTTCTTAAGGAGCGGGTCGCCGAGGGCGCGGCGCCAGCGGCCGGGGTGCCGGTCGATATTCCGGCGCAGCTTGGTCACCAGCTGCGCCTCCGGATGCCACAGGCCGCCGCCGACAAAGGACGAGCCGGGCTCGCAGTGCACGTAGTAGCATGCGTAGGGGCCCTTGCGGCCTGTGCGGGACCAGGCGGCGGAGAAATGCGGCTGGGACGGGGAGTCAGTGCTGCCGCTCAACGATGCCTGGAGGGAGCATGCCTGGAGGGAGCATGCCTTGTAGGGGGTTGGGTCTTTGCTGAAGCGTATGTCCCTGTGGATGCGGAATATGACGTCCTTGATGGGCAGCTCGGGCACCGTCTCGTCAATCTCGATGATGCGCTGCGTCGTGGTTTCAACAAAGGACTGCCAGTCCTTCAGGGCTCGACGATACTCGCCATCATGCGCTTTGCCACCTTCCCGCTTAGCGGCCACGCTTCCTTGTACGCAATGCCTTGGAAATCTCAAAACTCACACTTCAGCCACGGCCGCTTGTTGTTGGCCTTTAGGTCCTTGAGGAACAGCAGCGTATTGCGGTGCAGCCGGTCGTCCTCATACGCAACGCCGCCCGTGTCTCTCATCTTTTCCAGCGGAATAATCTCGACCCTAGGCGGCGCATCCTCGTCGTCTTCATCTTCGTCTCCATCATCCTCGCCGTCCCTCGCCCCCTCGTCCTCGTCCTCCTTGTACTGCTCATCCTCGTCCTCGCTGGCGGGAGGAGGCGGCTGCGTCTTGCGCGGACGGCCGCGGCGCTTCTTGGCAGGCGGCAGCTGCTGCTCGTCCTCGGAGACTGCGGCCTCTTCCTCGTCGTCCTGGAAGTATGCGCTCTTCTTGGGCGTGCTGGAGAGACGTCCGGATCGGCGGCGGGCGGCGACGGGTGAGCGTTTGCGAGCTGGCATCTTCTTCTCCCCTTGGCTTTCTTTGGGTGTCGTGGATAGCCGTTGAGCAGTATTTACAAATCCAGTGGCCTGGGCATGAAGCTTCCAAGAAGAGTATCGAAATGAAACTCGTAGTGGTTGCGTCATGGCCCCCTGTCTCGCGACGGGCGCGTCGTCCAGCACGCCATAGCTCGCCGCGCTGTCACGTGATGTGTCGGTAGACAAAGTAATCTGCATGGGTTGATGAGCTAAGCTTGTTGTGTCACTAGAACAGGCGGCCAGATTCTACAAAAATACACCGGATCCCCATGGAACGGCTTGTCGCCCCGGGCTCTTACTCCCCGTCTGCCGATTGTAGAACCGCAGGTCCTCAAGGTCGGCACCCAGGTTCTGCAAAGCGAGATTCTGCAAAGCAATGACAAAAACAGGGTATTCTCTTGGCAGATTCAGTTGCCCGGCAAGGTGGGCAGTGGCACAGAGCTCTTGATTGATGACTCGCTTTGGAGTGTTGATCTGCACCAAGTCTGCCCCAGTGACGCCTCCGCTTTCTGCGAATTCCCTTTCAAAATTCGGCGAAAAGGAGGCGAAGCTTTTCTCTAGACCCTACCTCATTGTCTCAAGCCTCGTAAGAGCCCGCTGCTTTGTGTTGGTATCTGCATAGCAGCTGATGAGGTATTGCAAGAAGAAGTCGGGATCAAATCAGCCATCTAAGCCATCTTTCTCGAAGAAAGCAGCAGCCATCGATTAAGGGGTTTGGTTGAGCCTTGCGGAGATTTATGCAAACTAGTCCGAGCAGGAGCCGGCTGCAGCACTGCCGACACGCAGCTTGCTCTGCATCTCTAGTTGCCAGGCCTGGGACCTCTTGCAGGTCCCGTCAACGCGTTGAGGAACAGCCTAATAGGTAATGTGGGTTTCTTCTTCGGCAGTCTGATCGGTTGCTTCCATCCTATTAAGCACGTTATTGTGCATGGATTCGCTTATTACTCGGTTCATTCGTCGAGGTCGGTGTCGATACAGCTGGGGAAATCAGACGAAACCCACCTATTTGAGGGGCTCCCCACTACCAAGGCTGCCTTTATCGTACTGCTTTGCCAGGTTTCAGGCAGGCATATATGAAACTTGAAAGACTTACGGAGGAGCACTTCAAAAGTCGTGACTTGTTAGCCCCCGGCAAGCCCCCTGCAAGCCATTATGGCTTTAAAAGCTTCTCCATATTACTGCCTCATTCACCCCCCCATGCTTGTCTGATCCTCATGCCTTGTCATGCATAATTCTGGATGCCGAGAGTCTAGGTACGTAGGAGAGCTAAGAGCCTAAGACTGCTTCCCTCTTCCCTCTTCCACCCTGTCTAATTGCTCTTTTTCAACATGAACCGCAAACAATCTCACGCAGAATCTGTGAGGAAATAAAGACCCTCTAGTCCGTGTTACTTCCGAAACTCGCCTCTACCGCCAGCCCAATGAATCTGCCGACGAAATTGCACTTCATGATATATTGCATGGCCCTACTGGGTGTCCTAGGTCAAGATCCTAGTGTATCTGACTTAGGAAGCAAGTTCACGTTGGTTCCGTTTGGAAAAGCAGACCAGCAGCTCATTGCCTTCCTCGAGACTTCTCCAAAGGGACAGTTTTGGGTAGTGTATGCTTGAAATTCGACCCTCTGGTACTTTCCGGCCGACTGACAATCCTGCAAGGCTCATACATGGAGGAGCTTGGCAGAGCGGAAGCGGCCAAGATTTTGTGCCGGCCATTAGAAATATGCTTGGGTCTTCAGATTTCAGCGATCTTCGCGGGTTCGTCACCATAAACTACAGGTTGTCGGGGGGGCAGCCGCCGGCGCAGCACCCAGACCACGTCATGGACGCCATTTCCGGGCTCAACTTCTTCGACAAGAACATCCGGAACGGTACCAAATATATCCTGCTTGGGCAGTCGGCTGGCGGGACAATGATCTTTCAAATGTCCATGGGCGAGGCGGCCCTCAAGGCCCCGCCAGCCACGGGGCGTCAGTCGGCGGAGTCCCAGGCCCAGAGCTGCTCGGACGACCCGCCGCCAACGGCACAGGCGGTCAATGCCTCCCAGGACATGCCCAAGCCCGAAGCAATGATTAGCCTCGCGGGGATACATGATCTCAACGGGCTGGTCGAGGAAGCCAACGACAGATTCTATGACAATTTTACCGAACAAGCTTTTGGCAAGGATAGAGGCTTCTGGGACCAGGTATCTCCTGCCAAATTCGACGGAAAGTACAAGGACGCGTGGCCTGGCAAGAGTGTCGTGATGCTGGCACGTTCCGACCAGGATGAGCTCGTTTTTGAGTCGCAGCTCACGGTTATGCAGAAAAGGCTTTCTACAGAGGGCATTACTCCAATTGTGGTTGGGAATCTCAAAGGTGACCATTTCAAATTCGAAACTCAGGTCCCCCCTCTCATTCAGCAAGCACTCAGCGCGTTAAGAGCTCAGAAACAATAAACATTGTTCCAGAAACACGAAGAAACCCACAGGGTTCAATGTCTACAACATTTGTTCCATTAGAGCCTGCCTGGGCGGACAAACGGTTCCGTCTACTCTCCGTTATTGAAACTTATAAGTCGTAGAATAGTAGTTAGGTCTGGTGACGACCAGCGAACACCGGCTGCTGTATGCGCTCTCTCCCTCTCTTTTTGTTGTTGCGATTTTTGCCGACTTTCTTCCGAATTTCTCCATTTCTTGCGATGGGTAGTTCAACGTGGGTGATTTGCCTGGCGGCAGGGTGGTGGGTAATAGTGGTACTTGCGGATGTGGTGGTGTAGTGACGAAAGGGCAAGATTTCCTGCCACGCCTACCACCTCTTCGACGCTGGCATGACAAGCTTGCCCCCATACCAAACCCTCTACACGACATGTTTCCTCCGCATCCGGCTCGGGCTTGGAGATCCGGTAGTCGCCTCCGCTGCTGGCCTGGCGCCGGCCTCTTGAAGAAGCGAATATCGTGAGAAGTCGAATGTTCTTGATTTCGGCCTTGATTGGAGTCGTCGTTCGTTTCGTGGAGTGATTGGCGACGACGTCTGCTGCTGGGACTGGGGCTTTTGCCGAGGAGGCTGCTGAGGTTGCTTCGGAGGCCGTACGCTCGCTCCTCCTGTTCCTCGCCCACCGTCTTGTCGCCCTCCCCCATCCCCGGCAGAACCGCCGCTGCATCGCCTCGTCCATGGCCGCAAATATATTCGCCTCCTGTCTCGGCGCCGCAGAGCCTCTCCAGGATATCGCAGTCCAGCTCAAGGCCGCTCGGCGGCAACGCAACCGCCGAGCTCGGTACGCCCCCGTCGGGAAAGGCAATGGTGTAGGTCGCCCGCGCCCTCGCACTCGTCATGCTCGTCTAGGCTATTAGGAGCCAGGTGATTTGCGAGGCCACGGCCTGGACGTCGTCGACGCTGTCGAAGCCCCCGCGCTCGAGTTCCTCAAAAAGCCGCTCGAGGGACTCGACGAAGTCCCTGCCTGGGGCTTTGCGTGACAAGGCTCTGCGTCTAGTCTGAGCGTTGCGGTGCCCTGGTGATTGTCGGTTGAAGTGACGAGATGTCGTGTAAGTAATCTGTCCGTATGATTGAACACAATGCGACAGCAAGACTCTTCGTGACTGAACGAGAAGTGCTGATGGTTTCCCTGGTCAAGACGAGCGAGCTTTATACCACTCGAGGAAGAATTGAACAATAGCCTCCTTCCTCGCCAATGTCCTATTCACGGCCTTGCCTTCCTTCTACATCTATTGATGTGCTCATTCATAAACGCAGACCCACTTCACGCAAACCGCTGCCATTTATCTGCTTCACAGTGAGGGAGAGCCGCCTTGGCTGGCCACTCACTCACTCGCAGCACCCATGTTCACGAGCTTGGCGGTGGTGAAACGCCGTCGGGCATCGAGGTTGTTTGCCCGAGCTCAGCTGACTCCTCCACTCATTGCTTCACCGTCCGTTCTCTCACTTTGCATCGCCGCCAGGCCATCTTCAGACAAGTTATATTGTGTGTGCGCAGCGACTCTTACAGTACATCAACCGTCAGATTTTATAATGCCCTAGGTAACCGCAGTGATCCGCACACAAAACACCCGAAACAAAGCTCTTTGGCCTTTGCGCTTTTGGAAACAACGTCTATGCATTTACAACTCGTCATGGAGACCACCCTCGTCCTCCTTGGCGCCCTCGCCGCCCTCGCCGCCAGCTCCCTGGTACATCTTGGATGTGATGGGGTACGCCACATTGGACAGCTTCTCCTTCTGCTCGTTGAAGTCCTCGGCGTTGGCGCTGGCGCCGTTCTCGTCGAGCCACTCGGTAGCCTCCTTGACAGCGTCCAGAATCTAGTCATTTGGGTCAGCATGTATCCGGCCAGCGGCGCCTTAAAAGCTTGGAGGCTTACCGTCTCCTTATCCTCGGCATCAATCTTGCCACCAAGACCCTCCTCGTCGTTGACCTGGTTCTTGAGGTTGAAGGCATAGTTCTCCAGGCCGTTGCGGGCCTCGATGCGCTCACGGGTGGCCTTGTCCTCCTCGGCGTACTTCTCGGCCTCGGAAACCATACGGTCAATCTCCTCCTGGGTAAGGCGGCCCTTGTCGTTGGTGATGGTGATGGACTCTTGCTTGCCGGTGCCCTTGTCGTGGGCAGACACTTTGAGGATACCGTTGGCGTCAAGCTCAAACGACACCTCGATCTGGGGAACACCACGAGGGGCGGGGGGGATGCCGGTGAGCTCGAACTTGCCGAGCATGTTGTTGTCCTTGGTCATGGAACGCTCGCCCTCGAAAACCTGGATAAGGACCACGGGCTGGTTGTCGGCGGCCGTAGAGAAGATCTGACTCTTGCGAGTGGGAATGGGAGTGTTGCGAGGAATCAGCTTGGTCATGACTCCGCCAGTAGTCTCGATACCAAGCGTCAATGGGTTGACGTCCATGAGGACAATGTCCTCTGTGCCCTCCTCGCCAGATAACACGCCAGCCTGGACAGCGGCGCCAAAGGCGACGGCCTCGTCGGGGTTGATACCCTTGGAGGCCTGCTTGCCACCGAAGTGTTCCTCAATCAACTTCTGAACCTTGGGGATACGAGTGGAACCACCAACGAGGACGATATCGTTAATGTCCTTCTTTTCGACCTTTGCGTCCTTGAGAACCTGCTCAACAGGCTTGATTGTCTTCTTGAAGAGGTCCATGTTGAGTTCCTCAAACTTGGCGCGGGTAAGGGTCTCAGAGAAGTCCTTGCCATCGATGAAGGCCTCAATCTCAATGCGCGTGCTCATCTGCGACGACAGGGTTCGCTTAGCCTTTTCGGCCTCGCGCTTCAACTTGCTCGTAGCCTTGAGGTCCTTGGAGACATCGACGTTGTGCTTCTTCTTGAAGAGCTTGGTGAAGTGATCGATGATTCTCTGGTCAAAGTCCTCGCCACCAAGATGGGTGTCACCGGCGGTGGCCAGGACCTCGAAGACACCCTGGTCAATGGAGAGCAGGGACACATCAAAGGTACCACCGCCGAGATCGTAGACAATGATTTGGCGCTCGCTGCCTGTCTTGTCCAGACCGTAGGCGATGGCGGCGGCGGTGGGCTCGTTGACAATTCGGAGGACGTTCAAGCCGGCAATGATGCCAGCGTCCTTGGTGGCCTGTCGTTGGTTGTCCTGTAGAGCACATTAGCCAGTGTTGTCGCCGGGTTCGCTGACATGAGAAACTTACGTTGAAGTAGGCAGGGACAGTGACAACGGCGTGGGTGACCTTCTTGCCCAGGTAGGACTCGGCCACCTCCTTCATCTTGCCGAGAACCATGGCGGAGATTTCCTCAGGGGTGAATTTCTTGTTCTCTCCGTTGACCTGGACCTGAACGATGGGCTTGCCATCCTTGTTGATGACCTTGTAGGGGAGGTGCTTGATGTCGGCCTGGAGCTGCTCGTCCTTGAACTTGCGGCCGATGAGTCGCCTGAGGGGGTGTCAGAAATTGCAACCAAGGCATTCAGGAGGGGGCCATCTTACTTGATATCGAAGATGGTGTTGGTAGGGTTAGCCGCAGCCTGGTTCTTGGCCGAGTCACCGACAAGGCGTTCCTCCTCGGTGAAGGCGACGTAGGAGGGAGTGATTCGGTTGCCCTGATCGTTGACGAGAATCTCGACCTTGCCCTTTTGCATCACACCGACGCAGCTGTATGTCGTACCCAGATCCTGCAACCAGCGGTTAGCAGGTGCTCGCGTCGGCGCAAAGAGTTGGAGCACTCACGATACCAATGACGGTGCCGTAGCTCTCAGTGTCGTCTGCCTGGACCTTCTGGACAAAGGCGAGGGGCGCGAAGAGAAGGGCGATCCAACAAAGGAGCCCAAGGCCCAAGGCCATCGAGCTCCGTGAGCGAGCCATTATGGCAGAAGTGTGCTTGGCCTCCTCCCAAGAGTACTGCCAGGAAAGAAGAGGGAATGAAGGGAAAAGTCCAGCGCACGAGGTGGCCTTGGAGGGTCCTCGAAGCTTCTCCGGGGGTATCTGTGGTGCGGAGTTGGTGGAAAGAAAGGATGGAGTTGGGAGAAAGAAACGGCGCGTGGGATTCTTTTAAGAAGGCCGCCTTGTTAAGCCGTCGCGAGAAAAAGTCAAGGTGTCCAGAAAGTACCAAAAAGGCCAGATTTCACGTCTAGGTTCCCTCGACGCCACAAGGGCCCCCCTTTGGGTGCCTGGCCCCACGTGACGGCGATCTCGCGGCGGCGCACTGTGCCCCTGTCCATGCGTTCGCCCAGGCGCTATTCCCCCCTTGGCCGCATGGCGCCTGCTAGCACGCAGTTGATGCCAGATTCTCGACCCTTGGTCGGTATGCCAAAGCATAGCCCGTGTTTCTCATGGCCGATGAAAGGGACAACAGCGCCCTTTGTCTATGGCCGCCCTCGGTATCAATCTTTGGTAAAGAGGGCGTACCTCATCGAGTAGCCTCGGGTCCATCCCGCAGTCGTGACTTTAACCAGCTCTATCCCGTTGCTGTCCCCGATATTGCAGTTGGTCGAGTCTCAAGCTATATAAGCTTTTCTCCTAACCATGCGCAAGGCAGGGACATTTAAACTTCTTTGGATAGAGGCAAGGCAGCCGATGCCACCGTGTCGGATCCAGCGGCCAGCGCATGACATGGAACAACTGGCCTTTTCTCGTGAATCGCTCGGCGATACCCCTTGCTCGCATAAACCATTTTCAAGCCGCCAATATTTCCTCATCTATGCTAGGCTTTGAAACCTCTGGTAACCCTACGTATGTACATGCGCTTGAATTGTCTCACAACCGTTGTAACGGGTTCTTCGTCGCCTCTCATGGGCAGAGTTCGGCTCCGTGGGTACCTGGAGAATATTCTGGCATTCTCTTGCAGCTTCCACCACCAACCTAGCCCCTGCTCTGCCGGACAAGCGGACCCATGCAGGACATGCCGGAGAAATTTCCAACCCAGTTGGCAAGCCACGCTACGAAGCCACATCAAACGCCTAGACTTATCTACTCGAGCAAGCCGGCCGCAATCGTCTCTCCTCCGCTCCGTATCACCACTCTGTGCCCGGCTTCCAGGGCCACTTTGCCATTCAGTCGTATCAGCATCCGAGCGACCCCCCCTGGCTGGACCACCTTGGGCTTCTTCTTGATAACCTCACCCGTCGTCTTGTCGAGAATTGCCGAAATTGACTGAATCTGACCCGGTGCATGAAGCCGGCCTCGGTGCAGGTCCACCGGCATCGGCATCACGTGGTCAAACGCCATTGCCTTCATCGTGAACGTGTCTCCGCACTTGATGGGGTCCTTGGCGTCGCAGACAATATCGCCTACTCGTATGTGAATTGGGTCGATGTTGCTCAGCGCAATGCTGACGCTCTGTCCCGCCACAGCCCAGTCCTGCGCGTCCGTGTCCACCATGATCGATTTGATGTATGCCGATTCTCCGCTGGGCTGCAATATGACGCTGTCGCCAACCTGAACGGTGCCCGAGTCGATACGCCCGGCCAGCGTCGTCGTCCCCTGTTGGGACCGAAACACCTCAGAAATGGGCATCCTAAACGCTTTCCTCAGTGCCCGCGTCGACGATGGTCCTGTGGCTTCCAGGGCTTCCATCAGAGTGGAGCCCTTGTACCATGACGCGGCCGCACTCCCAATCTTGCCAGCAATGTTGTCGCCGTTCAGACCCGAGATGGGGATGAAGCTGACGTGCTTGCCCTGAAACCCGAGGCCCGTCAGGAACCCGCTGACTTGCTCCGAGATCTCGTCAAAGCGTTCTTTGGACCATCCGACCATGTCGAGCTTGTTGACTGCGACGATAAGCCGTTGCACTCCCAAGCTTCGCAACAGCAACACGTGCTCTCGTGTCTGCCCCGTAAGTCCCCTCTCGAACGCACCCGTATTGGCGTCGACAACCAGAATGGCCAGGTCGGCCTGGCTGGCGCCGGCAATCATGTTTGGAACGAAATCCCGATGTCCCGGGGCATCCAGAATCGTAAACTTTGTCGTCGGAGTCTCAAAATGGTTGGTCGCAATGTCAATCGTCACCCCCCGGTCCCGCTCCTCACTTCCTTGATCCATCACCCAAGCCAGAGCAAAGGACTGCTTACCAGCCTTTTCGGCCTGCCGCCGGTACTTATCGACGGTTCGCTGTTCGATGAATTTGAGTTCCAAGAGTAGGCGCCCCATGAGCGTGCTCTTCCCCGCATCAACGTGGCCTATCGACGATCATCAGAAACGATCAGCTTCTTGAGATGGATATGCTGCTTACCGACAACAACAAAACTCGTGCTCTTCTTGACTTGGCTACTTTCAAACTCCTTGATGACATCGAGGCCCTTGCTTTTGGGTGGGGGCGCATCGTTGACCTTGAGGCCAGAGACGCCATTTGACAGTTCGGTCTGCTTCTTGGCGTCCTCGGCAGGTGTCTTCTTGACAGCTTTCGGAGCCGCTGCAGTCTTCTTTCCCGCTGGAGCCAACATTAGAATTAGCTCATCATTTGGTCCATGCAAACTTCGAACCTTTCGCCTGAGCCGCGAGCACAATGTCATCTGGACTTGGCTCTGAGAAAGCTGTGGCGAGGAAGGCGGGGGAGGTCGCATATGGCATTGCGAAAGAGTCGGGCCTATTTGCTTGCCGGCATTCCGGCGCAGAACCAAGGAGCGTCCGGGCGAAGGCGGATGGAACAGAGCTGGAGGCGATAATCACCACTTGGTCATCGTCGGCAGAGGGGAAGGGGGAGGTTGGCTTCGCGGCGCCTTCTCCCCCGACGTGTTCCTTGGACGTGCTGATGCCCTTTCTCGGCTCTCCATGCTCTTTTTGATGCCGCGGAGAGCCATCGGAAGAAGTGAAGTCGCGCAGCACCGGCTGAAGGGCCTGATTCTCCGAGCTCTTTTGTCTTTTGGCCGGACTCGGGGAGGCAGCATTACTGTGTTTGTTGGTATGGTCCGACAGAGATAGTCGTTTCATGCCATTTTCCGCCTGTGAAGTTTTCTCTTGCTCCTTTTTCTCATCCGTCTTCTTCTTTCTCGCAGCCGCGAGGGCCTGAAGCTTGGAAATCTTGGCGGGGCCCTCGCCACCTCCCAGCAGCCCGCCTCGAGGCTGCAGAGGCGGAACTAGAGTGGCTAATCGGTCCCGGGGTACGTTCAGCCAGGGCATGTCGTCGAATGTCCCCGTTGGAGAAGAGCATCTTGATTTTCGGAAGAAACTGCCCGAGAGGTAAGGGCGTCCAAGGATTTTATCCCCCTGTTGCCGCATTGCGCTCCGCACCAGACGTCCTTGATCTGCTCCGGCGGCCCTCACAAACAAGCCGAGTTTATCAGAAAAGAAGAAGTCACCTGACTTACCCTCTGGGGTTTTCTTTGCCGACTGTTTTGGCGTAGGGGTGATGAAAGTCCTTTTCAAGTAGCCGACGGATTTTTCGACATCGTAGTAGTAATGCCACAGCGCTTCTTGTATCTGGGTGACGGTGACCTTGCTGGCGACGTTTCCAAGGGCCTTTTGTACTTCAGCCGTGCCCTTGCTCATGGATGCCCTATCCTCGGGGCTGAGCTCTTCATCTCCGTCTTCATAGCCATCATGCTGGTCGGCCAGGTCGTCGTCGTCATAGAGGTCTGCCGGAGACATTGTCAACAGCGAGGTCGAGATGTCTCCGAGTATCCGTGGAGCCGGGAGGGCTGTAAGCTGGAACTTTGAAAAAGGGAGCTTGAATGATTCGTTCGTGTAGGGGCTTGCGGCGGCGGGCAGGATATATTTGAGTTACGAGGGCGGTGTAGGTGTTTTGGGCGTTGTTGATGTCGGCGGCTGAACGAAGCTGGAGAGGGAGTGCCGGAGCCTCGAACGGGGCATATGCAACAACGAAACGGGGGCTGGATCGGTGTCAGGCGCAGCAGCAGAAGGAACCGAGGTCCTGTCGCGAGACGTTCGTTGTACGGTAACAGCCAGACGTTTCGATTGAGTGACCACGAGGGATGACGGCAAGTCTCACGTAGGAGGGGCACAAGGTCGAGTGTCGGTGGCACCAGTGGTGGGCAAGGCGGGGCACCAGGTAACCTAGGGAGCTTTGGCTGGGCAGCAAGTCGCGGAATTTTCATTTCCCCGCGTTCCGCCTGCCTGCATTGTGACGATCCGGAATAACCAAAAAATTCGGCCACGACAAGAAAACGTCCTAGCTACAGCCCACGCCGCAGCACACTGGGCACCCTGTTCCCGTCGTCTCTTCCGCTTCCTTGTCTCGATCCGGTAGCGACGGCTCTGCGGGCAATCCACAGTCAATATGGCGCTCAGTAAGTACGGCCACGCTTCCAAGATGGTCGAGTGATGCTAACAAGCGGCAGACCTGGATGTCTCCAACGGTAAACGCCCCACGATGGCCGCCGAGGCCTAGACTCATCGCTGACATGAGAATGGCCACAGCGACGATGATGAAGGATGAGCAAGGCCGTCCTTTCATTGTCGTCAGAGAGTATGCCCACCTCTGTGCATCTCGAGACCAGCGAAGCTAATGTCCATACAGTCAGGGGAAAAAGAAGCGACAATTCGGCAACGAAGCTGTCAAGTCTCACATTCTCGCCGCTCGGACAGTCGCCAACCTCGTCAAATCCTCACTCGGTCCCCGAGGCCTCGACAAGATCCTCATCTCCCCCGATGGCGACATCACCGTGACCAACGACGGAGCGACCATCATGCAACAGATGGAGATTAGCAACCACGTCGCCAAACTGCTTGTCGAGCTGTCAAAGTCCCAGGACGACGAGATTGGCGACGGCACCACTGGTGTCGTCGTCCTGGCCGGCGCCATGTTGGAGCAAGCGGCCGACTTGATCGACAAGGGCATCCACCCCATCCGAATCGCAGACGGTTACGATCAGGCTTGCGACATTGCCATTGCAGAATTGGACAGGATCTCCGACACCATCGACTTCACGAAGGATGAAAAGTCCAACCTAGTCAAGGTCGCACGAACTAGCCTGGGCAGCAAGATCGTCTCCAAGGCCCACGACCAATTCGCAAACATCGCTGTCGACGCCGTCCTGTCTGTGGCCGACTTGGAGCGAAAGGACGTTGATTTTGAGCTGATCAAGGTGGACGGCAAAGTCGGCGGGGCTCTGGAAGATACACTTCTCGTCCAAGGCGTCATTGTGGACAAGGACTTTTCCCATCCGCAGATGCCATCGGAAATCCGAGACGCCAAGATTGCCATTCTCACGTGTGCGTTCGAGCCGCCCAAGCCCAAGACGAAACACCATCTCGATATCACGAGCGTCGAGGAGTTTAAGAAACTGCAAAACTACGAGAGGGAGAAGTTTATCGAGATGATTCAGCAAATCAAGGACACTGGCGCCAACCTGGCCATTTGCCAGTGGGGCTTTGACGACGAGGCCAACCATCTCTTGCTCCAGAACAAGCTCCCGGCTGTGCGGTGGGTTGGCGGGCCCGAGATTGAGCTGATAGCGATCGCGACGAATGGCCGGATAGTGCCGCGTTTCGAGGATTTGAAGACGGAGAAGCTCGGCAAGGCTGGCGTTGTGCGGGAAATGACGTTTGGCACTACGAGGGAGAAGATGCTGGTCATCGAGGAATGCGCCAATACACGCGCCGTGACGGTATTTGTCCGCGGAAGCAACAAGATGGTTGGTGGCCGCTCTCCCCTGCTTTCCAAGCAATCCGCGCCCCTTATTCTGACCCTGAGCACTTCAGATCATCGACGAGGCTAAGAGATCGCTGCACGACGCCCTGTGTGTCGTGCGGAACTTGGTTCGCGACAACCGAGTAGTCTACGGCGGCGGTGCGGCTGAGATTGCGTGCTCGCTTGCCGTCGAAGACGCCGCGGTCAAGACGCCTGGCCTGGAGCAGTACGCTATGCGTGCCTTTTCCGAGGCGCTGGATGCTGTGCCAATGGCTCTGGCCGAGAACAGTGGCCTCAACTCCATCGCAACGCTGGCCGAGGTGAAGAGCCAACAGGTCAAGGCAGGGCCGAGCGGCCGGGGCAAGCTCGGCGTTGACTGCATGGGTCGGGGCAACAACGATATGAAGTCGGCTTTCGTCATCGACCCGCTGATTGGCAAGAAGCAACAACTGCAGCTGGCGACGCAACTCTGCCGCATGGTGTTGAAGGTGAACAATGTCATTGTATCTGGTGTGGATGACAATGACTTTTAGAGGGCCAGGAGACGGCGAGGATAGATGGGGATTATACCAAAAACATGCGAGAGGGAATAGAAGCTGCGTGTATCCCGTGCTCGAGCTCCAGCGCGAAGCTCGTTTCCAACACAGAACCAGAGCACACACGTCCGTTCGGTGGCGTACTGCGGCGAAGCTGACGAGACTTGGAGCTCGGTTTATCTCGTCGAATGGCCAGTCTGCTTAGCGCAAGCCACGGTAAATACCGGTGAATAGAAGACAGGATCAAGGCCGCCTTATTGCTGCTCACTGTGGCATCGTCCGGTTCATGATGACAGGTCCGATTTAAACCGCGCCGAGTTGCGCCGGGCCGTGCGGACTCGCATGCGTCTCGACTTGAAACTTGCATCATATCTGAGTATCTTATTCGGGTGAAGTGACAAGAAGATAATAGAATGCATGGGCCACACCGAGACTCGGCAGGGCTGGACTCATCTCGGTCATGTTCGGCAGGCACTCGTTCATGCAGTAGGGAACGAGAAGCGAGAACCTCCAGAGGAACTACAGATTCAGGTTGGTAAGCAGCTGGCGGCAAGACTGTCCGCGCGGTCCTCGTCGCCGACGTTGCGAGACGCTCGTGCAGATCGTTGGATGGCAGTGCAGCTCGGACAAGGGACGAAGAGCGCCACTGCGGCTGATAAGGCTGACGGCCACGTTGTAGGGCGCTTGCTACCCCAGGCGGACGGGGACCCCGTGGGAAAGCCGGCCACGGGAGCGGTGACCGCTGTCCTCCTTGGGGGCCGTTCTGAAGGGATCCGGGCCACGACGACGCTGACTGGAGGGAGTCAGGGATGCAAGAGGGCCCTGTAATGACACAGCAAGGATGAGGATGCTGATGATGATGATGCGGGATGTTGGAGGAGTGGTCCCGAACAGTCAGTCGGGACCACAAAGCGGCAGCATCACCGACGACTTACATATACGCACGTGGGGAGGCCGGCCCTTGGCGCCGACGACTCTGTGCTGCCGGTGAGTTCTCCGTATAGTGGGTGGAAGGATGGTCAGGTCTATATTGGGAATTTAAGCTGGACCGGCTTGGGTGTGAGGCGCATTCGGGTGGATGCTCATATCTGGATTCAATGAAGACATGAAGGAGTGCTTGCAGATAGATGCAAACGGATTTTGGACGATGCGCTCGCTTTCGTGGGGAACCATTATTAGGCTCGAGGCCCTTGGACGTTAAAGAGGCACAGATTCACGGGGTAAGCCACCGAGTATGCCATTGTCGGTAGGCCCTTTCCCCTTTCTTATTCACTTATATCCTCTGTATTCTACAAGTTCGGCACACCGACTCGTGCTAAGGATCCCCGCTCGCGCAATGGACGGTAATGCTGAGCCAAGAAGCCGGCCAACTAAGAAGGAAAGAGGGGGGTGCGTCGACGGCATTGGTGTTGAGTCACAACTGGCCACGGCCCGCGGGAAAAGGGGGGGCTGATGGGCCAGCAAGGCGGGTTGCAGCGCAGAAGCTTCTCAGGCGGCCAGGGGGGGAAGGGATGCGCACTCCCCCTCCCTCGCCTTTTCTCTCCCTATCTTTTCTATTTTCTCGGCTCTCTATTTTAATACATTTTCTTTTTGCTTTGTTCATTTTTCTTTAAAATGTTGCCTGCTTGTTGGATTGGACGCTGACGGATAGCCGTCTGTCGATGCCGGCGGATGTCGATGCGATTCTGCACGCCTGTTTTCTCTGGGAACATGGCCAAATTCAATGCAGGGGCCGTCTTGTTGATCAACAGTGGATTCCACAGCGAGGGAGGTGAGGGAAACAAATAACATTAGAGCAAAAAAAAAGGACGGGGTAAAGGAAAGGCGAAACCAGGGCGAGGGCAATCCCACGGAGTCGGCGGAGCAAACAGCCCAAGGAGTTGTACAGAAGAGTAAAACATTTTGAATTAAGAAAATAAAGAAAATGAAATGTTTATCGCCCATTAATCATTATTCTTCATTATTGTTTTCTTGTCGCGCTTTATTCCCATTTGCCTCAGCAGCAGCAGCAGCAGCAGCAGCAGCAGCACCAACACCACTAACACCACCACCACCACCACCACCACCACCACCACCACGGCGGACGAGAAAAGCAGCTCGACGGCCCCCAAAAACGGCCGTCCGGCCTTCAGTAGTCCGGCTTTCTACATATCCTGATAGATGCATACAGCAGCCATACACGGCGCTGCTCACCGCCAGCCCTTTAGCTGCATCTCCCCCCTTTCTGCGCCTTGTCTTGACGGTCATCTGCCAGATGATTGCTGAGCTGGCATCCCACCCTCCTCTGACTCTCACCCACACTCGCACCCATCCATCAGCCTCGTCGACCAATCTCCTGGCTTCCCGGGCGGCGCTTGATTGACAGGGAAAACTCTTGTTCCCCCTCCCTTTGTTGCTTGTCTTGTGCCTGTGCCTGTGCCTGTCGTGTTTCATTTGCGTCCTAAGATTCGTGTACAGTACTCGGGAGACTTGTCTACACGACTCTCTTCCTTTGCTCTATTCCCATCTCCCTCCCTATCCCTTTTCGATATACCAAAACTGGAAATGTCTTGAACTATCATTCATTGTTTTATTCTCCTCGAATTTGTTTTTCTCGCAAGAGGCCGTGCCAACGCCGCTCGACGCCGCATCGACAAGGCCGACTCGGAGAGATTCATCATCCCCTCTCTGTCCCAGCCCTCCTTTCCCGTCCATCCCTTCCATCCATCCGCTCGGATGCCACGCCTCGGGTCACGTCCAGCGCCGACCTGCGGCTCACCTCACCTGCCGCGGCCCGCCGCCAATCAGGGCGATGAGGGGGTCACGAACTCGCCGTGAGCTCACCCTCGGCCACCCATCGCTCCGGAGTCGTGTGGACAGACACGAGCGGCAGAGAGACGAAGAAAAGAAAAGAGATGGACCTGACACGGCGTGCCCCGATGTCTTGGCCGGCCGGGGACTGGTACATACAGCCAGACGGGGAGTGTTGGTAGAGTCTAACCCCGAGAAGCGGAGCGACCGATCCAGAGATATAACGTAGATGGACTTGGCCCGCATGGAATCCCAAAACACATGCAATTCACATCAGATCACACAGCGGGGAGGCCGGTCCCTCTCGACGGACCCTCACGCACGGGGATTCCCACGAGGCAGTATCAAGTGTTGTGGTATGCTTATATATATATATATGTGTGTGTGTGTGTGTGCGTGTGTGTGTGTGTGTGTATGGTGTGCGTGTGTCGTGTCCCTGAAGGTCATGGTCAAGTTGCGTTGCGCTGCGTGTGCGTGTGGACGGGAGCGAGTGCCCGGCCAGAGCGGACCAACGCAACCGCCAGTGCGCCGCCGTCGAATCATCCAGGTTCCTCGGAGGGCCCCCGTTACAACGGCTGGTCGGGATGCCACTTTGGGCCTCCTCGATTCCCCCATGTCCATCATTCGTGCATGGCCGTCGCACCGGCTTTGGTGCGGTGCCGTGTCGTCGAGTGCCCGGACAGGCAGACAGACGCAGAGACAGAGCGTGTATGTATTCGTGCTGTATCCACACATACATACACACATACATGCACGCCATGCTCGCATCTCGTTCACTTGCTTGGCCGTCTCCGATTGCTTCTTCGCTTGCAGTCCGTTTTGTGTCTCCCTCCCGTTGCCGCCGACACGAGGCCTGTCGCGGCCGAATCATACACATCCCCTCACACCAGCCCTCCTGTCTTTGCCCACATGCCGCGCACAAATGCCACTGACTTACATGTAAGCACAAGTCATGACGGGAATATACAGTCAGGCGCCCGTGCCTATAGTACTAGACTGTCCTTACCGCATGCCATGTGTGGATGTGTGTATGTATGCCCATATGACGGACCTGAACCCATCGGTGCGATGTGTAACTTATCTGCAAGCAGACGGCCATCCCACCCCCTATTCCGCTGCCGACCAAGATGCAGCGGTGCAACTCTTTTGTTGTCAGTATAACTATTCGGAGGTATTGGCTGTACGGCTTGGGGGCGCGCAACCAACCCGGCGTTGAAGGAATCCATCCAGGCGGCCTGCTTTCCGGCCGTTGTGTAACCCCAGTCATGGCCTCTCACCCGCCGTCTCACGGGAAGAAAACGGGGGTAAGACAAGGAAGAAGAGAGGGAGAAGAAAGACTGGACAACTTGGCCACTGCAAGTCTCATCTCGACACCTCAAAGCGAGCCGAGTGGACGCCACGACTGATAAGAACTGCACGGCGTTCCGACTTCACCTCACCGTCCAAGAGACAGAGGTCTTTCTGCGCGCGTATGACAGTTGCCAGTCTCTGCTGGAGGGAGTCATTGTTCGTTGTGCCGCAGCGGAGATCCCTGAGGCTTCTCGTATCGCTGAATGCAGGCCTCGATGAAGCAAGTCCGGCGGACGAGTACCCGATCATTCACCTTGCCTGGAAGTGTCTGTCATATCGGCTCGTTGAGGACAGCGATCTCGGACTCTGCCTGCCGAGAAAGACGGGGCCGCTGTTGGTTTGAGACTGCAAGGCTGCAAAGTGATGGAGCTGAGTATAGGACGGTGCCTCGTGTGCTCCAGCTGATCTAGCCTTGTAATCTGACGTTCGTAGGCCCGGGCAAGGACGGGTTATTGGTCCGGGGTATGCGGGGGATCCTAGGAGATGCTATGAGCTCGAAGTCTGCGGGATCAAAGAGCAAGGTGAGCACAGAACAGGCGACGATACTGGCCCGACGTCGCATAGAATTTGCAGTTCCATCCGTCCATGTCAATAAGCTGAGCCAGGTGAGGCTCACGACAGATTGCTAGCGTAGAGCTTTCGGCCTACCCGGTAGTGTATTCGACGCAAGCTTGAGATATCGTCGAATAAACGTCAGTTTATCCAAGGAAACAGTCATGGAGGTGACTCACATGAAGCCATCCAGAGACGGTGGTGACTCAGACTGTGACTATGGAGCTAAACAGAGCCCCACGTCAGCTCGCCACTAACTGACTCCTTGGCAATCAACTCCATCGTCGACTTCTCATCGCCCGCTGCCTCTCCTTCCCTCTTCGTATTCTCTCATCTGTTGATTTCACCTTTCATTTTTTCTCCTTCTTCCTTGTTGATTTCCTCGTCTCCAATCCCCCGCACCTCTCGACGATATCGTATTCTCCCAGGCCGTCTCAAGGGATGATTGCCTTCAAGCCGCAGCCCAACGACGCCTCGGCGCGGACGCGCGGGCAGGCAGTGCGTGAGCCGTCAGCCTCGCGCGTCGTGGCACGGCCGATGCCCGAATCGCAGGCTCAGGATCCGCGCGGATACCAGATGGAGCAGCTGAGGAAGCGATTCGCACCTCAAGAGGCCACTGCCGACGACGGCGCCACCTCGTTCCTCTTCAAGCTCCGCCCTTCTGACCCGGATTTTCCCTTTGAGCTGGCCTATCTTGACTGCGACCTGCGCGTCCCCGAGCCCTATCCGGAGCAGCGGCCCGAGCTGCGCGTCAGGAACAGCAACATCCCGAGGGGCTTTGGCATCAATATCGAGCGTGGATGGCAGAGGCTCGCCGACGAGAGACGAGACGCTACGCTCCTGGCACTTGTTCACGCGCTGGATAAAAACCTCGAGAGCTTCCTGTCTGAGCAAAAGGCGGAAACGGTCAAATTCGTCGCCTTCAAGGACACGAGGCACCTTGCGCTGAGGCAGACCGAAGAGCCAACGCCCGCTACGTCCGAACAGCCCAAGCCAGCGCCCGAGAAACCGCCACCATCCAAGCCGTACATGGCCCTAGAATCCTTCACGAGGGACCAAGTCGCCGCGGCCAAGGCTCGGAGGGCTCAGGAGGTGCGCCAACTCGAGGCGCGCATGGGCAGACTGCCTCGGTTTCGGCGGTCGGCCGACGGCGTCGTCTTCACCGTACCCATCGAGCCCAAGCGGCGGTCTGAGCTCTGCACAGGGCTCCGATCCGTCAACAGCATGCATCTCATTGTGCCGCTGCTGTATCCGCTTCAGCAGCTGCGCATCCAGCTGAACGAGGCCGACGCAGCCGACGCAGACCCCGTAGAGGAGCTGTTTGCGGACAAGGCAGTCGAGCAGAAGCACATGTCACTGACCAGCCACGTCAACTATCTCGTTCAGAATCTCGTCGTTCTGGACAAGCAAGCCCAGGCTTCGGCACTAGAGGCCGAGGAGCTGATAGTGCCGCAGCCGCCCCAAGGAGCTCCGGTCGCCGCAGCTCCCGGACCGTCGGGTCACGCGACTTCTGAAATCAAGAGCCACGTTAAAGTCATCCCGCGGCCTCCAGAATGGAGCGTCTGTCACGAGGGTGACGAATCTGATGAGAGCTCTTCCGATACGGAAGAAGAAGACGAGCCCGAGGGAGGCGTCATGCTGCAGGACGCGGAAGCGGCGCTCGCCGAGAATGCCAAAGGAAATGATGGGGCGCAAAGAGGGACCATGGTGACGCTGCCGTCGGTCGATCTGCACGGGATCGAGCTGCTTCAAATCTCCATCCTCAGCATCAGTGTCAAATGCGGACGATGCAAGACGACCAACGAGCTGACGGGCCTCAAGCCTGGGGCGGACAGGATGTCGAGCTGCAGCAAGTGCGCGACGCCGCTGGGGGCCAGCTTCAGCCCGGAGCTGGTCCACGCCCACTCGACGCTGGCCGGCTTCGTCGACGTGACGGGCGCCAAGGTGGCCGACATGCTGCCGAGCACGTTTGTGCCGACGTGCGGGCGGTGCTCGACGGCGAGCCCGGGCCTGGTGTCTGTCAGGGGCGAGACGGTGACCAACGTATGCCGCGAGTGCCACGCCAAGTTCACCTTTAAAGTGCCCGAGGTCAAGTTCCTCGCCGTCTCGCCCGGGCCGGACCCGGCGTCTGTGGGGCCGCGACAACGGCGGTCGGACAAGAAGCAGCTAGGCCTCCACGCCGGCGAGCAGCTGCCGGACCGAGGCGCGTGCCGCCATTACCGCAAGTCGTACCGGTGGTTCCGCTTCTCCTGCTGCCAGCGGGTGCACGCGTGCGACCGGTGCCACGATGAGGCCGAGGACCACGCCAACGAGTGGGCGAGTCGCATGATCTGCGGGTGGTGCAGCCGCGAACAGCGCTTCGCCGTTGAGGCCTGCGGCTTCTGCGGCCGGGCCGTCGTCGGCCGCAAGGGCAGTGGGTTCTGGGAGGGCGGCAAGGGGACGAGGGACCAGCGGATGATGAGTAGGAAGGATCCGCGCAAGCACAAGAGGCTGGGCGGGTCGCAGGCCGCCGCCAGCAACAAGTAGCTTTGGCAACGATAAGATGGATGATGACGATGATGAAGCACGAGAGGGCGACAGCGGGCCACCGATGCGGCCGGCCGGGGCACTCGTGACTGCGTCCGCAGCTGTGGTGGCGCCACTGGGATAACAACTCATGTCCCGAATCCTCCTTCTCTCTATCTATGCTCTCGATCGCCCTTCTCCCGACGTACAATACATGGGGACACGGGGACAGATATGGTGACCGTGTTACAGACACCAGGCAACGTGGAGAGGCATGGACCAGACGGCCACGTCCTATCGGCTCAGCGCCGCCCTATGCAAGCTCGCTCGTGCACCGTCGACGATGCAAGCGCAGACGTGCTTCACAGGGCGCAACAGCTCATATGAAACCGTGACGGCGGCTGCTACCTACCACCGCCCATTCAGCACATGCATCCGCACAGAGAACCGAGCCCTCGTGTTTGCACATGCATGTGTCCCTCGGACGCATCCTCTCACTGACGCGGTCTCGCGTTCCATGCCCGTTATGCTGTTTTACACGTTCCCTCGGACAGTTTGGATACGGAGCGAAGCAATCGACCCGACATGTGCGACGTAAGACAGGTCAGCCTCACCGAGTCCCCTAGACGAGACCGGCAAGGATGCCGGGACAAGGCCGTCAGCCCAGGCTCACGACGCCTCTTTACATGGCAGCATGGTACCGGCAGTGGGTGAATGGATGGCGGTGGCTGCCATGTGACCCGTCTACCCGCCGGCAGGGCGTCTATTCGCTCCGCACGCAGTTGCATTGCGCAGCTGGGTGAGACGATACAGAATCCTTAGAAATCTATGTCGTTCACGTGCGGCCCAGGGCAGGGGTATCGGGTTCAGGCGTGCGCATCTCGATCCCATTCCCACCTCCTGTGTTGCGCAAGCCGGTGCTGACCTGCGTCAAGACGAGAACGTGACTATTGGCAAGGCAGCGTAAGAGGAGAGGAGAAAGGAGAAAGGGGGCCTCGATCTTTGCTGTTGGCGAATGGAGCTTCGGCGCTTAGAGAGACAGGTGTGGCGTTTGGGTGCTGAGATGATCGCTTGGAAGCGCGGGTGAGTGGTTGATGGACAGCCAACAGCTTTACATGTTCTTCTCTGCTCCGTATTCTAGTAAATCCACCATGATGATGAAAAAGAATTTAAGTGAATAGTGATGGTGGATATATTGAAATAAAAAAAGTAATTAATTGATCGATATTTGATGTAATGGATTCAGTTACTTGGTTCGCTCCCCCACCGTCAAACGCCTCGACGAATGACTTCACCCTCTTCCCATGTCACCAGAGGCACAGCCAACACCGCCCATGCTTGTCCCACGGGGAAGCGATTTCGTCTGTCTGGAGAGAGCCAACAGCCGTGTGCATCCTTGCTGTTGGCTGCCCCTCCAACCGTCACTTCCCCTATCCTTTGCCTTCCTTTTGCTGCTGCTCCCTAGACCGCCGGCAAGTCTTTCGTCGGGCGGACGTCTCTCCTGGCATGGCGGACCCCTACCCCGGTGTTGAGGAGACGGGGCCGTCAGCTGGGCCCGGCACGCTCCCATCACGGGGGTGCCAGGGTGCTTACTGACGGCTGCCTGCAGCGGTTGGGCAGTTAGCCTTACCCTTCTGTGACGAGTTCGTCCGAAGAACAGGATGGACGACGATGGATAGAGCGGGGATGCAGGCATGCCATCGCCCCTGGGAAGGGGGGGACTGAGATCCGGCACATGCTGCATGTACGCTTGCAGCATGCATTCTCTGGCTTGGAAAGGCTGGTCTACGCAGGGCTCGTGGGGGGGTTTTGCATCAGTCACCATCACTTCGTGTTTTTGCTGACGGAGATGTAGGTCAAGCTGCTTGAGAGGGGGAGCAAGATGTAGATAGTTGGATGGCGGTCGAGGCAGAGCGGACACGGACCGCGCCGTTGTCGTTGCCACTGTACGCGTGACGGCCAGTGTCCAGCATCTCCATTGTGCGAGATACAGTGAGAGTGAGCGTTTTGCCAGGCGGTGTGCCCATTGGTGGCTAATGGCGGACTGTCTTGGGGGACTGTCTTGGGACGGCGATGCCGTTCGCTCTCGACTGGGCATGATGGCCATGCCGTCTGATGTCTGGACGCGGTTGGTAGGGTCGATCACGGTTCGCCACCCGTCACCAAGACTCGAGATTGCGGTAACGATGGACATGCGGTTGGATCTCGAGATGACAAGCCTGGCCCCGTTGGAAGCCAGGCAAGGAATTGGCGTGGGGGTTTAGAGCCTGAATCCGGGTGCTGGCCTTCCCGCGATCCCTCTCTCCAGTCTGCCCTCGCGTCTCCTCCTTCTGACTACTGGACCGGTACTAAACGTCTCGTTTTGGGCCAGGACCAACACGCGTCCCGTACGTGGGTGTGCTTCCTCGTCAGCATCGAGTCCCCACAAGTGGCCAGCAGCATCTTCCGGGGCGGAGGTTTGTGCATGTTGGTCGAGCAACAAACCCGGCGCAGGCGGGGCACAAATAGGGGAGAGAGCTCTCGAGGTTCGAGGCCTTGGGGCGTGGAGCTGCCGTGGCCAACGCGGCTTAGATGGCCCTCCGCGTGGCACTACTGCACTACAGCTGAGTTAGTTATCCGACTCCTCGCCTGCGCATGTCTTGGGCTGAGGAGAAGGCTTACTCTGGTCCGTGGATCAGCAACGGGCCTGCCAACGGGACGGGAACATGAGGAGGCGCCGTGACTGACTGGCAGACACCCTCTTGCATTCCGCGGGGGCCAAGTCGCCTCGACGACGCGCGTGGGATGAATCCCGAACGACTGCACGGAGCTTATTCATGTCTGCATTCGATCGGAGCTTAATTGACTGCTGAGTCCACCTGGACGTGCAGCCCGCTTGGCCATATTCCTCGGAAAGTGACGGGGACCCTGGACAAAGAGAGATGGAGAGAGCGTGTGTGTACGGATACGAGGGTTGAGTAATTATACAGTAATGCGGTAAAAGACGGTGAAGGCGCGCCTCTGTTGCTTCAACCTTTGACAGAAGTCGCGTGTCCACATACAGGATATACTCCAACGCCTCGTTCAACGCCGGCGGCAGCACGGTCCGCCGCGTGGTGCCTCGACAAAGACGGTGTCTGTAGATTGTAGGCAGCCAGAACACGTGTATGTGCGCGCCGGTAAAGGTCGACGGAGCGGCACACGCGACACGGCTTTCGCCGCCGGCCTGGTTAGTCCTTGCTCGGGGGAGCACGGTAACGTGGCACATGTAGGGCGGTGGTGGTTGCACACTGCACGGATTCTAATCGTCAACTCGCCGGCAAAAGTGTTGGGAGTGTGTCCGCGTCTGTTGTCTTGGGAGAGCGCGGGCAGAGGAGCGGCGTCCAACTTCCCCTCTACGCACAAGATATATACATGAGCAAGACAGACAGGAGCAAAAAGCATCGAGGCCTGGGACCAATCCCGTGGTCGCCATGAGACATCATTGGTAACGGCTCCTCCACATCGCGAGGGTGCCCTTTTCCCCCCGGGGAGGAGGCCGGTTGGAAGGCCTTGCAAGTCTCGAGACACCGCGTATCGCCACAAGCGCTTCCGGGGAGGTGAAAAGAAGGAACGAGAAGAAAGGCCAGTGCCTGTCCCGGCAGCCGCAGCGGTCTGCATTCATTTCTCCGCCACCCCGGGCGGGCCCCCGAGACGACGATGCTTGCCGATGCCGTTGGTCGGTATACGACGGAGGTGGTCAGAAGAAGAAAAAGGGTGGATATCAGACAAAAGGAAAAAAAGGGGAAAAGGAAAAGAAAAAGAGATTGATCAACCGCGGGAAGAGCTGTTGCTACAGCACACAATGCCCACCCAAAGTTTTTAGATGGAAGCGGGTCGAGGCGCTCCCTGTCCGGCTGGCCTTGCATTCAACCATTCCATTGGCCCGTAGCCGATCATCCCAAAGGGCGGGTTCGAGTCAAGGCAGTCGGTTTCCGCCCCCTGGCGCGGATGGGGCTTCCGGTGCTGATGTCCAGGGGGGGTGAAGTAGGTGAAGCCAGGGGTTATGCAGTACAAGAGAGCTTGTGGGAAACGTGGTCCTGGTCGATTAGAGGCTGCGTTATATGACGGATGAGTTGAAAAAGAGAAATAAAGGGAAAAATCTTTAATTCGAGATTTCTAGATTTTCTCCTCCTTCTCGGAGCATGGCTAAAGATGGGGAAAAGAGAAGCCATGCAGAATGGCACCATATTAAACGTGCATGTGCGGATACGGAGCAGGGGGAGTGTGCGTGGTTCCGTTTATCCCTCGTGGTGGCTCATGGGGTGAAGCTCTCGCCGGCACTTGGACGTCACGCCAGGGATTGGGCAGTGAGAGGGAATGGCGAGTCGCCTCTTTTGGGACATGGCAAACTACGAAGCGAGGGAGGGGAGGCTGTTGCCATGAAAAAAACCCTGGGCACGGAAAGGCAACCTTGGAGGGACGAGGAGTGTCTCTTTTCTCGTAGACAAGAGCTGTCTACGGGCTCTCCGAGTCGTTTAGTGTCCGAAGCAGGCACGTCGACCATTGCTGCGACGGGTGAGCCTGGACTTCACCAAGTAGATATCAAATACGGAGCAGAAACATGTTCATTATTCGCAGTGTAAACGGACCGTCGGGCTGCGTCCAACGTCTAAATTCAAAAACGGAACCGTATCGTGTATGGGGCACCGAAGAACCAAGCTTCATTACTCTCCAAGACCCGAAATATCGTGGTCACGTAACTAAAAAGGAAAAATCGATAAAATCTTTCTTCCATCTCCATGAATCGAAGAAGAAAGGAAAAAAGAGAAAAAATTCCATGTCGTGTACGGATGGGTCCGTCTTGCCAAGGTGGGGACCGGCAGTCCTGGCCTCAAGCGGATGATCACCCGGCCAGGCCCATCCAGGCCGTCAAATCCTCTCTGGCCGCCTAGCTCTAGCGCCGGCGGTGTGCGCGCGCTTGCTCGCGTGGGCGTCTTCGACAGATTCCCACTCACCTACAGCAGTAAGATTGTGGCCACCCCCTCTCCCCTCTCTCCTCC